TTTAAATCATGATTTCCTTGAGTGTTCCTCTTCATTTTGCGACAGATAACCCTCACCCACAAAGAGAGGAGGAAACCTGGCGTATGCGTGTGTGGACATGTGGCAAGTCCACAAAACGTTCACGCTTCCTGCATCCTGTGTTCCTCTCTTGTTCACCGCGAGATGCACAATGAACTAACGCTCACCATTCACAGTCTCAATACCGTAGGTCTCGCACTGTATCCCACTCATCATCCTTTGTTACAACTGATAATGTAGTAACCAACGGATAATGTATCACCAACCGATAATGTCACACAAATTGACCGATACTGTATCACTAACCGATAATGAAACAGAAATTGACCGATAGTGTAGTAAATGTTACTACACTATCGGTCAACATTTGTTACATTATCGGTTAGGACGGATAATGTAACAGCAATCGACTGATAGTGTAGTACATTTTTACTACACTGTCGGTCAATTTCTGTTACATTATCGGTTAGTGATACAGTATTTCCATTTCATTTCAATTCATATTGGTTTATCTCAATCCATTATCGCAGTTAAAAACTAAATTGCAGTGGATTTAACAAAATCAGTATCGGTCAATTTGTGTGACATTATCGGTTGGTGATGCATTATCCGTTGGTTACTACATTATCAGTTGTAACATCCTTCACTGTCCGCACATCCGAATCGAGGGAGTCTCTTCCACAATGTGCTTCCCATCATTCTACAACCCACAGTCTTTCAAGAGCTTCACCAACAAGCTTGATCTCTCATCACTTTCCTAGTCTTATTTCCTGTGTCAGGAGTCCTTTTGGACTATAGTTGCTTCCTGCCTTTTCTTGGTAGTATCTACTTAAAAACAATGCTAGGTTTGCTGAAGTGTTCTTAAAGGGAATATACATCATTTGCTTTTGCTGTAATTTTCAGAAATGGATGGAATTGGGGGGTTGGAAATATATAGCAAATATAGTTACACTGACTTTTTTGAGGTTTTGGGTTCGAAAATGCTATAAAAAAACAAGAAAAACAATCATTTTCCTGTAGTCTGGTTCCCTGACTCCATATAAGAAGAAACAGAGCAGTTTACATACATTGGGGAAATTTAAGGTCAGGGAACCAGTCTAGCTGGCTTGTACCCGTTCATAGGTGTGTCATCGATTGCAAACAAGTGCGATGGTCAATTGGGGCCAGTATTTGAAAAAAAGCCAACGCTGGTCGGCCGACCAGCATTTGAATTGATACAAAAATACCACTTTTCTTGAAAATGACAGTATACCAGGTGCCATGATTTTACAGGATGCTTTACACTGTCATTCACTAACAGTCCAGCAAGGTATTTTAAAATGATTTGGTAGTTTTATTTTTTTGATGTTTGCAAATGTTGTATTTTCCCTTTAACTGAAGGAACTACAATAGTCTGAAAACTATGTAAGGAAGGCAATTTCGGGGGACAGATTGGACACTAGGATGTGGTATCCCCCATATATTTTTTTCTATAATTGAGATGGGGCCACAAATAGCAATGTTTCCTCGAATAGTTTATCGCAGTTCATAACATACTAAAGTCACAAGTTACTGCCACTAATCGTGTTTTGTTTGTTAACAGTTTGAACACCGTATGCTGCACAATACAATTTGCATGCACCATGTTGTTTTCGCAGGCGGCTTTTTTTTTTTTTTACAGTTCCATCAAAATATCAACTTAATAATTTATTACGTTGCCTTCACATTTTTGCTCTCGTATGGCTTCGTTGAATAACACTTAGATATGGATATACCACACCACGACCGGACCCTCCAAAATGTCAATATTTAATCACCTGAATTAAATTTGCAATAAATTCGACAGGTAAAGAACGGCGTGCAAACAAGACTGCCTGGAAATAAATTAGATTGAAACACTACAATATTTGATGCGTGTACTGAATTCCACGGTTGGCAGCCAGAGTGAAAGATGAATCTATATTTCTACCCTATGTGTTTCTCTCTTGATATAACGAGCTGTTCATTTCACAAGCGTGGCAAACCAAAAACAAACAATAAGTAATTTATTGATGGCAGGTGTACTCGAGACTGTAAATTGCCCTCAATGCTAAATTATAATATGGTTTTCTCTCCATTATCTGTTGATGTATTACCTTTGTGAAGTATTGACAGAAATTAAGAAAAATAGCATTCGTTGTTTGTGCCAATCTCACAGTTTGACGTGGCTGGTTTATTTGTGACCTGTTCTGTCAAAATCAGACTTTTCTGGGCATAAGGTCAAAAATGAGATTTTTGCATATTGTTAAAATATGTTCTGTTTCCTTTTAATAGGTGGTTTAATTTTTGAAACCGGTCATTCCTGCGCAAAGTTATGCTATTTGGAAGTTCATTGGGTCGAAAAGTAGAAAACAGAGAAAATGGACACACACGTCACAAAACAGACATTTCTTTAACTGATATACCTTAACAAATCATCAAAAATACTATAATTAGAGATCAAATTAGGGTTTCAAACTTTTATAGTATATTTTAGACATGCTCAGGATTACAAATATACAAAAATTTGAAAATGGAAAAAAATCACCCCCACAGCGTTTTTTGGCCCTATCTCAATTTCAACCTCTGCCCAGAAGCGTCTGCTTTTGACAGAACAGGTCAAATTTCTGAAGCGGAGAATCTTGCGATCTTATGATAGACACATATATGATAAATGTTATTGTTAGCATGTGAATTTGTCATGTCTGGATGCTGTCCGTGTGTCCGTTCCAGACAGATATTGACTATACGACTCGCTTCAAATCGATCTGTAGTAATTTCAAGAAATCATCCACGGCTCCTGACCTCCGAGAAAATTATCCGACAGCTCCGCACAATGTGATAACCTACACGGGGAGGCTCAATTAAACTGAAGTGCCCTTGGGTCAATTAATCCTAAGTAAAATGCTTGTCTTTGCGCCTTTGTTATCGTTGGGTGATTACCTTGGTGAATGATCAAACGTAATTGCTTGTAAAACGCTCGGATCAGAAAGAATGTCAAATTAATTAAATTCACAGGTCTCAAGCTGGACGCACTCCTCGTTACTATGGTTATAGTTTATGCACAAACGTCGACAGAAATAAACAGCCCATTGCTATGGTTGCCGTTAGCTTTTCATCCGTGTTTCATAAAACATGTAAAAGTCACATGACAAAAGTGAAGGTCTGTGATTGGACGAGATCAAGTATCACATGACATCATCGATGTGGACACTACGGGGCGCGGCCTTGGAGGCAAAATACAGCCTGTTATCTTCAACGCACGACACTAACTGCAGAACTGAAAAGGACTACGCACATATGCTAAAGCCGAGTTAGCACTAGACTGATTTTCGGAAGAATTAACCGGGACGATGGTAGCATCCAAATGGGTCCAATCTTCATCCGATATCGATGAAACTGGACGACACTGGTTGGATGGAAGATTAAAGGTGAGTTTTATGTAGTTTCAATGTAACATGGAGCAGTTCTTGTTCCTTTCTTTCCAATTGTAATGTTCACCCAAAATCATTTTGCAGTGTTCTTCGTAATTTTATAATAATTTTATAACAGCAGGCTATTACAAAGTTTGCATCGGATTACCTTAACATTTGGTATCTTACAATTATGTAGTCTTCGCTCTAACACAACATTGTCAGACATTGACTGGTTTTTTTCTAGTCTCTGAAAACTGACTGGAAATGTACTTATCGCTATAGAATACACAGGTCCATCATAATATGATCAGATTCGTAACTTCATTCACTGCATATTTTCCCGACTCGCGATATGGTTACATCGGCCGAATTGTACATGGTGAGTACAAAAAAAATATGGAACCCAAAACCAAAGAAATGTATTTCATATTTGAACAAAATTTGTAGCACCAAAATAATTGGGACTAGAGCCAATTTAATAAACTACTTTAAGATGAAAGAGATTACTTCAATTGCTCAATCTGTTCAAAGTATATCACCATTTAAACGAAATGATTTCAAGAATTGTCGTTACAATTGTCTCCAAACATTACCAGCGAGAAAACCTCAGTTTAAAAGTGAAAAGTATTCAACAAAGTCCTTTTGAAGGCCCGTCTTTTAAAACAAAAAAGGATTTTGTAAATCCTATTGTTCTGTGTCATTTTCCTTGTTGTTCCAAAGCAGTCAGAACACACAATACTTTTTTTTTGGACGAAGCTGATTTGAGGGTTACTTCGTTTAAATAGTGATACAATTTTAACGTGTAGAGTAATTGAAATAATTTTCTCACTTAAAAGTAGTTTATAAATGGGCTTCCAAGTCATAATTACTTTTGGTACTACATAGTTTTTGTATTTGAAATATATTTCTTTGTTTTGGGGTTCCACTTTATTTGACTCGTCCTGTAGTTTCGCCAAGCTGACTGCAAATGTCGAGTTGGGTCTTTTTGAGATCCGACTACAGTTTTACGAATGTGTATGGTTATACAAAAACATGTTCTTGTATGTAACATCTTATTCTTTTCAAGTTTTTTAGGGAACATGAAGAATTTCAGATAAAAAAGAGACAGCGTGAACGAAGGGACTGGAGATGAACACGGAACAAGGAATGAGTTACAATGGACCATCAAGATGACTAAGAACAATCACACGAAAAGATAGACAGACGGACGAACAAATAATACAGGCATGGACATACTCACACACGCAGACAGAATGGTGTGACGAAGAACACTTTTGTACCTTTTCTAAACTTATTGTTACTCATCATTATTACTAACCCACTATCTTTTTTTTTATTTCAACTTAAAATGTGTGCCCCTATTTTGCGCAACTGCAACGTCATGCGGCAGGCTGCAATAATTTTCGATGCGCGTGTTCGGGTGTTGTGTTGTGTTTTATGTTGTGTCGTGCCTGTATATTCTGTTTCAGTCTTTGTGGAAAACTCAAGAATTGTCCGTAGTAGTTTACGTGTAAATCTATTCATTACTACTTGAGCACACTAATTTTGATTTAGATTAATCTCCAGTAAAATAACATCTCTGATTTTGTCATTGCATTCACGTCCGTAGTGGAGTCAACAACTGAGGCACAAACGACTCCGCAATCCACCACGTCTGCTTCCGTCACCACCAAGACATCCACAACAATTTCTCAGTCAACAACCCAAAAGTCGGCAACTTCTCTCAAAACCGATGTGCCTTCAACTGATCCACGGTCAACTACTACTGCGTCTTCAACTGATCTACAGTCAACTACATCTGTGTATTCAACTGATCCACGGTCAACTACTCCTGCGTCTTCAACTGATCTACAGTCAACTACGTCTGTATATTCAACTGATCCACGGTCAACTGCTCATGCGCCTTCAACTGATGTACAGTCAACTACATCTGCACATTCAACTGATGTGCAATCAACTGCACAGTCTCCAAATGCACCAGCAACCGATACAGTTTCCACCAATGAACAAACGACAGCAGATTTATCCCACTCTACCGAGCAACCCACAACTGCACCGCAATGGACCGACACTTGGGCAGATTTGCCAACTTCATCGTTTCATCCTATGACATCATCTTTGACACCGTCAACTACGGCTGAAAGTAAGAAATGTTACGTTTATTCCGAAAGCGACAACAAACCCTTTTTTTAATTTTAGTAGGTTTAAATATGTGTTTGCTTCTGCCAGTAAAGTAGCCTTTCACCAAGGCCATCGTGGCTTAACTTGCCCGCATTCAAAGCAGCGAAAACGCGAAGCGACTGGAGATGGAGACCACACATGCGAGTGGCAAAGCCACGAGGGCCTTTTGTAACTTGTCGAGAAATTCCTATGTTTTTCTTTATAATCTCGATTTTTGTTACCCCAAAAGGGTAGCAAAATTCCAACCAATCATCAGCCTTTTCGTGCGTGCGTGGCTACTACCTGGACGCGTCGACGCGCCCGGATGCTTGCACACAATTTAAAAACAAAAAATGCGAGTCTAGTTTTCCACGAGATCGTGACCACGTAATTGTTCTTACATTATCTTATTTTAACTTTACTTATAAGGGTATTTCAAGAAATTATTTGAGGGTATGAACTTATTTTTCATCTGAACTTACAGTAATTTGCTCTTACGTTTTCCTTACTCCCCCTTCTTTTAAAAATGGAAGCGACTAGGCAAAATCTGCGTTGTGATTGGTTAACCTTCAGCACGCTTCTTATTTGCATAAAAACTATGAATAATTCAACAAAATCAAGTTGTAAAAGGCCTCGTGGCTTTGCCACTCGTGCTTGCTGACTTAATCTTTGCTCCAGTCACTTCGGGTCTTCGCAACTCCGCCGCTCTAAGCCACGATAGCCTGGGCGAAAGGCTACCAGTAAAGTAGCTAAAGGTTCGGAATTTAATAGCCTTGCTTCCGCTTAGTAGCAATCGATGTTTTTTTTTTGTTTATGTACCTGGCGTACATGTATTCAATAGACTTGTGTATCCAATGAGACATGAGCTGGACTAACTAGCATCCACAAATTGGTGTTTTGGGGAAATATAATGTATCCATTTATACGACTGTTTGTTTGCTGTAACTTTGAGAGTCACCCGTTCACCGTGGCACTATTTAATGCCGCCATGTTAGTTCGCATTATATGTCTCGCTTTGATTGTCAAGATGGCGTACCCAGAGTATCTCGGTGACTACATCCAGTCACTAGATTTGTAGTGATTATTTTGAAGTGATTTCAATGTGTTTTATGTCCATGCCTTTCAGATTCTCGATGCTTTGTGGGTCACATCGAGGTAAGATTGATATGTATAGTTATTACCTTTAATTTCTGCAACAATCACAGATACACTTATCATTAGCAACTAAGTGAAACTCATTGAAAAATGAAAGCGAAAATCAAAGTCCAGAAAATTTAAGGATGCGTTGATGCGTTCTTGGTCATGTTTCAAGGCGCTTAAGCTAACTGACACAAACATTGATTTTGTTTTCCTCTCATATAAGGTAACTTCAATTTGTGTGTTTGTTTAACGCAAAAACTAATTTATTTCGAGCTGGTGCGTCTGCAACCCTTTGGCAAAAGGCCTTTCATTTTGCGCACAAATGAACCCGCCCTGCGAGAGCCGAATTATTATCTGGCAGCCAATAAATCGATTCTTGGGAAGAAATAATTCAAAAACTTAACGTCGGTGGATTTTTTTTTGTTCGATGTCTCATTCAAAGTGAATAACATTAGTATCGTTTAGGCCAAAAAAAAAGTCTCCGGTTTCTGGTATGGAGCTTGCTCAAAAAGTGGTGCGGCGACGCGGCTTTTTTTTATTTTACCTGATTTTTTTTGCTTCAAATGTCGGCTGGCTGATGACTGCAAATGGTGCCCGACTAAACTTAGTGCAAATATATGTGAGTCCAGAGAGGCCACATAAAGCTTATTCTCGACCATAACCAAATCTAAAAACACGTTAAAATTGTGCAGCAGCAGGATTCCAGTCAAACCAGTGAGTTTGGCGGTTTTGAGACATCATCTTTCATTGAAAAAAAAACGTTTTCATTTTGCCGACGCGCATGGCTACGGCGACGCGCGCGCATACCAGAAACCGGAGACTTTTTTATTTTGGCCTTAGAAACTGGCAATTGATTTTTTTTCTATTTTCGAGGTGAAACTACTAAATAGCTCGGGAACGCATCTTTAACATGATGGCACGCTATCATTGTACGTTGACGGAGGCTACTTCAATGCCAGCCATTGTACCAGGCAACTGCCTCATGACGGATCAATAGCTATAGCACAATGTTTTCGCCATTGAAGGGGGCCTTCGTGATATATACCGTGACAGCGTGCTTGCATTGGTCTAAACACTGTATCTACTGAAATTTAGAACCAGGCTGGAGTGTTCGGTTTTTTTTTCTCGATGAAAATGTAATCATTTTATTAAAGGGAAGATACAACATTTGCAAACATCAAAAAACGAAATGATAAAATTATCACGAAATACCTTACTGAATTGTTAGGGATTGGCAGTCTAAAGCATCCTGTAAAATTCTGGCTCCTGGTGTGCTGACATTTTCAAGAAAAACCTGTATTTTTCCAACGCTGGTTGGCCGACCAGCGTTGGAAAAAACTGTCTTTTTCTCAAAAACTGCTCCAGACCTATGATTTTTTCATATTTAGTTATTCCGCATTTTCTTTGCAATAGATTACACACCTGTGAAGGAATACAAACCTGCTAGAGTGATTCTTTGACCTTACAATTCCCCAAAGTCGTTACGTTAGTTTCATCTTAAGTGGGGTCGGGGAACCAGACTGCAAGAAATTGATTAGTTTTCTTGGGTTTTTTTTTCAGCATAAACAAACCCAAAACGTGAAACAAGTCAGTTTAACAATATTTGCTATAACATACTAATCCTCCAAATCCATTTATTTCTGAAAATTGCAGCAAAAGCAAATGTCGTACATTCCCTTTAATCAAAGTTATCTTACCAATCCAATTTCAACGTGGATTTTTTTCACTGAAATGAAAATAGCATACCTTGAGACGACAAGCCAATTTAAGTGCGTAGGCCTATATCTCTAAATTCTATTAATTGAGGCAACTTGGTTGAATTTACGAAACATGAGCAATAATTAATTAGTAATGTCGGGTTTTTTTTTAACAAGCGCTTTCTTCTCTTTGATTTGATTGTAACCTTGTGTGTGGTCAGTTTGATTGTTTACCGGAGTCAACGACAGTAGAGGACATCAAGAATCGAACCTCTGAAGAACAATTGCCACTGCACGATCTGCTGGCGTTGATGACTTGGATAGCTGACCATGACGTCATACCGGCTGGAGTCGCAAATGTCACAGACTACGCCGATGTAAGTTCTTACAATGCAACTCCAAAGGAACAGGGAAGCGACTCAAGTTCAGCATCACTGCAATTTTACATATAGTTTATGCTTGTTACCCTTATCCAACTGCACATGATCGATATTAAGTCAAATAAGGGACATTAATTCACAGTCATGTAAGACTTGCGGCACGTTAAACAACATCGGATATAACAAAAAGAAACTCATCACCAGTCACTTTTAATCAGCAATGTCATCATTTTGATTTCATTACAACATTTATTATACCTGAGTTGTACACAACGGTGTGAACTATAATGCTCTGTCCTGAACAAATCCTTTTGATTCTTCAATTTTAGACCTACGTGGACAATGTCGATAACTTGTTAGATGACCGCTTTGTGGAAACATGGGATACAGCACAAGCGGTGAGTAACATAAAATCTCGTTCACTTCATTTTCAAAAGTTCAGTAATTACTGCACTGAATGGAACAACCGAACAACAATACGGAAGTCGCCGGTCCCTGAACCCGCTCCAGTCGATTTTCTTCACCGAACCTTATTATTCTTCATATATACAAGTGTTTATGCATATATAAGATTTCTTTGTGGTTTATTTGAGGGGGGGGGGGGAGCAAAGTCAGGCTTCTTTTTGGTTAATGTTGCGCCACGACGTACGTTCACAAGTGGCCGTACGACGTTGGCATGGCCCACCGTGAAACACGGACGGAAATACAAACTGCCCCGCCACTCGCTCAGGGTGCAACCAAGAAAATATGCCTAACATACGTCCGCCGAGCTCATGAATAATGGTTATACATTCAAATTATTTATATCAGCGAGTTCTGAGAGTCATGGAATTGGGTACTTAAAGATATTATGGCACTGCACTTCTGGCCTGGACTTGGAGCTTTCAATTCTGAGCATTTCAGATGCAATTGGGTCTGAAAGTGGCGCTATTTAGCCATGTTGTGGAGGGATCCTTTTTCAAAATGGTTACTTTCCAGTTTGAGAAATATAATTCGTTTTAGGGGTGGTCTTCTCTAGGTGAGAATTTCTCCAAAAAGTCATCGGTCAACCCACCAAAAAAAATATGTTGATCATCATTTTTTTCTGTGCAGCCTGAACACCTGTGAGAGTTCTGGGTATTTTAAGAAGAAATTTAAGAAGTATCGGGATTTATCACTGGTCTTTATGGGACTTGATTTACTTGATTTCACCACTCATGCCAGGCACAATAACACGCTACATAATCATGATATACCGCTGTCATACACAGCCTGACTAAATTTTCTCGCACGTAGGCAATGCGATACCTTTCTATTTATATTGTTCGCCTTATCATAAGAGGTTTGAGCGTTTTATTGAGACAACGGATTTCATTTGAATGGTGCAGCATTTGTCAATATAGGCCTACCAATACACGCAGTGGCGATCAGTACGAATTTCGCCTGCAATTTCATAATTCCTAACCAAATTTGAATAAGCAGCCTCTCTGTTGTAGCGGGAGACATTCTGTCATGAATTCCTGGGGTTAGGTTAGTTTAAGCTTGAACTGTCAAAAACTGGTGGTTGTGTGCGAAAATACGCACAGTACGCGAGATCAGTTTGAGTGAAATTTATGTCCAAATTTATAGTTGTCGCAACTCTCTCTAAACAGTTCTGATTTAAGGTCAGCGCAGTCAGAAACTCTAGCAGGAATAATCAAAACAGATGTTCTCAAACAAATTTACCAATAGTTCATTTCGTTCGTTGTTTAATAGGTACCGGACTTTGCCACCAACTTAGTCCAATCTTCACAGAATCTGCTGGAGGACCTGGCGAGGAAGGCGCCCTCAGAGTATCAACACGTCCGGAAAGCTAACAATCTAGGTAGGACAACTCCATTATTTGCATATCCTCTATTATTTTGTTACTGACAAGTGTACTTGTGTTTTGTGATTTTTGTCAGGTCTTTATGAGTGAAGTAACATTAATGTAGTTCGCGCGGTATATAGCGTTTGGGGGTTGATTTTGGGTCTCGCTTGGGCGAGTATTTTTATACACACACTAGCACATGTGTTTTACAATACTGATGAGGACCTAATCCTTTCCTTCTTTAGAGTAAACATGAATATCAAATATATCAAATACCTCCCAATCTAGTTTCTAGGCATGTGCAGTCTATTTATCGTTACACAAAACCGATTGCCGGTCTTTACAGACAGATCCATCCGCTGCATGGACGCACGTTCTATTTTTAGATTAGTGCACATAATACAGCTAGGCTAGTCTTGGCAATTTAAGGGCGAGTAGGCGAGCGCCCTCTGTTGACCAAATTTGTGAAATAAACACTCCACATTAATATAGCATCCATTTTATTGATTGACAAATAGAGTACGAAGTGCTGAAGTCCACGAATATAAGTGAATACAGCTTCAAGTCACGGTCGTCTGATGACGAGTCTTCAAGTACGTCAATAACTCTGGAAAAACAAACAATTGACAACTTGATGTTGCAAGGTAAGTTTTGTCAAGTTATATTAACTTAAGCCGGATTGTTTGACCATCTCACAGCTGGTGGGGGGGGGGGGGGGGATTCCGCCCCCCCCTTCAGTTCTCGGCCATCGAGTGACGAAAGGTTATGAAACTTGGTCCATGCATAGAACACTTTAAACATACCGAAGAAATTTCACGACTATAGATTAAGGGGTTTTGGAATTATCTGATAATTCATTATTCAATTTTTTTATGCACCAATGGTAATTCTGCTTTGTGTACACAATATGGGGAAATTCAGTTTTAACGACGCATAGCGACTAAACAAATTTGCTGCGCGGTAGCCCATGGACAGAATTGTATGTTTTTGGTATCAATGAAGATGCGCAAGACTCGAGGCTAAACAGTCAGGAAAGCTCAGATCGGGACATTTTTTTTGGCACTGGTATCGCGGAAAAAGTTGGGGCGAATCTTAAGGTTTAACATGCATACCCCGTGCTCTTAAAACAAAAGGGATTTTTGTTCTTCTATTGGAATTTTGTTTTGTTTTAATTAAAGAAATATCTACTTTATTTCTATTTTGGGCGTCTGCAAGCCTCTAAAAAGGGGCTTTCATTTGCGCACAAATAAACCCGCCCTGCGAGAGCCAAATCATTGTCTGAGAGCCAGTAATTAGAAAGGTATAAATCAAACACTAAACGTCGGTGGGTGTTGCTTTCGATTTGTTTTTGTTGTGTGTCTCATTGAAAAGTGAATAAACTCCAATATTACTCTAATAAAACATTAAAAAAAGAAGATGTATTTTTCACGGTGAAAATCGAAAATGGCGCGATAAACGAATCTTTGGGCCAAACTAATTTATAAAATTGGGAAAATTTTTATAGCGACTGCAAGATTTTATTTAAAATTCCTTTCAGTTTGTTGGCTACCTTCAACATGCATTAATTTGTTTTCATTTTGCAGGAAACGACAATCTCTCTTTCACAACTTTGTTAACAAGGAAAGGGAACCTCATTCACGAAAGGTACGCGTCAAAACATGGAAAAACAATTTATGGAATTCCATAGTCTCAATTTTTTTTTTAAATTGCCAAACTGTTGTCTGATCGGTAGCCCTGTTCATTGTCGTTCTTTCTATACAGATTGTCGAGGAGACAACCTGCTAGCCACGTCATCGTTCATTCACTGCAAGTTTCTGGTCAGATCGTATCCGTTCCAGTCACATTACAACTGAAACTTCTTCAGGTAAATTTTTACTTTCAGTTTCATTAAACAGTGATCGTTTCTTACTTTTCCAAAGTACAGCATACCATTTTATATCACACAGAAGCTAATAAAAAAGACTTAATTTTATTTCAATTGTAAAAGAAAATTATTTAAGAGTTCGCTTCATTTGTAGGAACGAAAACCAAATGAGGAACCCGTGTGCGCATTCCTGGATGAAAGTAAACGGTAGGTTAACAGTCTTCAATACCTTATAAAAAAGTGACATAAAATTACAGTACAGGAGAGCATCATACAGAACATGCAATGGTGCTTTATGCTAGCTTTGATGGTAAAACAAATGAAATTCATTGTGATTGTGTTATTGTTCCACTTTGGAAATGCAGACAGTACACTGCAAAAACCGGAGTAATAAATTTACACCATTGGTATCTAAATAGGACCATCTGGTGTCAAATTTTACTGGTGTTGTCCTATATAGATACCGAATGGTGCTAAATTAACACTACAGTTTTTGCAGTGTAGATGCAAACTGTTTTTATACGACAGGTTCCACTCCACCAAATACGCGCTCGTAGAAAACAACACCAAATCGGACAGAATTCCAATGGAAATGAAAGATAACGACCTCTAGGACAATTTTCTTTTAAATTTTACCAGATATAGCTCAATATTGGTTACCCCCCCCCCTCCAAAAAATCCTAAAACGGTTGCCAATCTATCAGCCCAGGTCTAAATGTAGCCCTCATCTCTATGCGAAATAGGCCCACCATTGGGTTTTTGTGTGTACGGAATCCCCAGTGTTGGAAGCCACCAGTGCTTGATCTCCAGTGCTAGTGACACATGCTTGATGACCAGTAATATTTCTACAATCTGTCCTAAGTATATATGCGACAAGGACCTCTTATTCAGAATAACCTTTTAGATCACAAAATATTTAGCGCAGTGCAGAAGTTTACATTCAGTTTTTTTGGTGGTTTGCACCCTTCAGGTCAGGAGAATGGAGTACCGTTGGTTGTTACGTGGACAAAAACAAAGATACGTCATCGTCCATCAGCTGCAAGTGCAACCACACAACAAGTTTTGCAGTACTCATGCAACTTCAAGATTTTGAGGTAATTATTATAGCACAACTTTAAACGGTGCACATATCTTTTAATATACAGTGATAGTTGCGTTACAGGGTTCCCTTTCACTCATTTGCAGATTTCTGAAGCAGACGAGAAGGCTCTTGAGGTCCTGACGTATCTCCTGTGTGGTCTGTCCATCATGGGTCTCATGACTACTCTGTCTGTGTTCATGGCTCTGAGGTAACTTGTTGATCTGGTCATCTTCGGGTATGCTGGCACATTGCATGATTGTCATGAGTGATGTTTATATTACTGAATGCTGTGTACGAGCGACAGATTTTGCTAGTCTCGTCTGGATTAGGTTGACACGCCCTTTTGGGGTGACAAATTTGTGTCGCCCTATTGTCAGACTACCCTTAGAACAATGAATGTTATTGTCGCGACCCATCTAGATCGATTCCTCGTGGTCCAATTATTATAAATACCGAATTTTGTGGAGAAAGGATAAGGTAAACTTGGGTTAGGTGACAGTTTAGGTTTGTTCACAAGTCTATGGGACAGTCGCCCTATTATAGCATTAAGAGTTATTATTATATTAACAAGTATAACCTTTGGGATACTCTTTAGCGTCATAAGTTATACCTTTTGGAGACATGTGCCCCTACTTAGAGGCAAAAATGGTATCGTTGCAAATAGGCTATTGCTCGTGGTCCAAGTAGAAAAAATACCGAAATTCGTGGGGTAGGATAAGGTAAGATTGGGGTTAGAGGTCATTGAAGTTTGAAAAAAATGTGTGCACACGTCTATGCGAATGTCTCCCTAATACTCAATTATCGCTAATAATAATAATTTTTATTACTGATGTTTGATGTTTGGGATACCATTGTTGAATTGTATCTCATTTAACCGCCGGAGAGTTTGAATTGAAGTCGTGCATGTTGTGTTTCTGTTCATTTAGATCTTTGTTGAAATCTGAGCGTGTTACCATCCACATGAACCTATCCGTTGCACTCATAGTGGCGCACTTTCTCCTGCTTGTCTCTGGCATGGCTGCGAAACAACAGGTAAGTAGTAATGATATGTTTCCCTTTTCATTTTGTTTCGAACCATGACGAAAACATAATGACAGTTTAGGCAAAAGCGTAAAAGGAACAAATAGTGCTTAGAGTTTAAACACTTTTTCTAACCACTTTGTTCACATGTTTAGTCTAAAGTTTAGGATTTGTTCACAGTGTGAAAGCCTGATAGTGTCAATGATAAATACTTATAAAAATGTCAAATATATATTCTCATGTTCGTTTATCTGAGACAGATGATGACAGAGGTATGACAAATACTTATGTGCAGCTAGCCTGTCAATTGACTTCATTAGATTCAAACATGTGAAGACAATGGCCACAATTAAGTGTTTAAAATGTGTTTAAATTCTAAACACAGTTTTTGACAGTGTACATGTATGGCTTTACGATAGAGGAAATATCCTTTCAGACCTCGAACGTTGGGTCTTTTGTTGCAAACGGTCCTCGATCGTATGGTTATGTGTTTAGTCTTTGGGAGAGTGTTATACATATTACAAGAACAACGGGATTTGTAAGGGAAACACAAAGCATTTTCCTCGGGCGTATAGAAATTCACGACTGTTTGTGCAGTTGTGTGGAAACTGCACAATGTGATTCACAAGCAGATTATAGGGGAGGACAACCATCACCAGATCATATCCCAATAAAATAACATATACAAATAATTACATTATTTTGAAAACCGATTAATCACACATGACACTTACCATCAATAATTTTTACCAGTTATCAGTTAGAAAAAAACACACATTTTTTTACAGATAATTTACAAGATATTCTCTTTTTATCCAGGTTGTCTGTCGTATCGTCGCTATCCTGATGCACTATTTCTTCCTGGCTGTGTTTTGCTGGATGCTCGTTGAGGGCGCTCACCTCTACTTCCAAATCGTGCGAGTGTTCTCCAACGGTATGGACAAAAAGAAGACTTACATGGTCATCGGATGGGGTAAGGACATTCTCTGACATCCGTTGTTCCTTATGAAATTACAACTTAAAGGGAATGTACAACATTTGCTTTTGCTGCAATTTTCAGAAATAAACGGATTTGGCGATTAGTATGTTATAGCAAATATTGTTAAACTGACATGTTTCACGTTTTGGGCTTGTAGATGCTGGAAAAACCAAGAAATCCAATCATGTTCTTGTAGTCTTGTTCCCCGCCCCTACTTAAGATGAAACGCAGCAATGTATAGACTTTGAGGAAGTGTTAGGTCAAAGAATCAGTCTAGCAGGCTTGTACCCATTCACAGGTGTGTAATCAATTGCAAAGAAAATGCAGAATAACTAATATGAACAATTAGGAGCAGTTTTTGAAAAAAGCCAGTTTTCTCCAACGCTGGTCGGCCGACCAGCGTTAGAAAAATACACTTTTCCTTGAAAGTGTCAGCACACCAGGAGCCACAATTTTACAGGATGTTTTAGACTGTCATTTTCTAATAATTCAGTAAGGTATTTCGGGATAATTTGATCATTTCGTATTTTGATGTTTGCAAAAGTTGTATCTTCCCTTTAAAATATTAATTAGTATCTTCTCTTCATTTTAAGTGTATACCGTTAAACGAATTTCGGATAATGTCGAAGGCTACGGTCGTGGCCACTAACTGAAAAGTCAATTCAGGTTCTTCGCTTTATTTGCGGAGGGGACCACTTTGCACATTTTTTTGTGGATGGTTAATTGACATCGATGAGTGACTTTTTTTTTCTTATTTCTTTTTAGGGACACCTAGCGTGGTTGTCATCATTTCGGCGGCATCACGGTGGGACGATTATGTCAATTACGACAGGTATTCCTTTGTGTTTGTGTTTGCCCTCGCCTCACTTTAATTTGATCAATGGTAAATATCGCTTATGTTGATATTATGCTGTAATTTTCTGTTTCAGTTGTTGGTTGTCTATGGAGAGCAACGTGATCTGGGCATTCGTTGGACCAGCATTGGCTATCATCATGGTAGGAATGGGACTGTTTTAATATTAATGACGTTTACAAATAGACTTAATCTCGAACACTCCTTTGTTGCAGTTAAGGATAGTTAGGCCATCAGCCTCGGTCCAAAATTTTGGCAACCGGTATCACATGAGGGGAATAATCGTCATAGCGTTTTTTGGCAAGGTATACACCTCCAGAGTTGGAAAATATGTGATAGCATTGCAGCGGTTGCAGCTTTGGGTGTTGTCACCCTTTTTTTTCAAAATGTCCATCAAATGCTTGTTATACTCTAGGGGCGGTATACCTTGCGCATGCGCACTATAATCATTTATGCCCTGATTTGATACCGACCAGACCCCCAAGCTGATGGCCTAAGTGACTGAGAACTTCGCCGTCTGGTCTTAAAAAGTTCCCTTTCTCATAATAAGATCTCTACACTTTAAGAATGTAGTTCTTGGGTTTACCCAAACTACGTTTTGACCATGGTTTTGTTTAAATTCATTTAGATATGCGTACTTGTGCGATATACATTCAGATGCCGCTTTGTTTTTACATCAACAGGTGAATGTGATTGTTCTTGTGATGGTTGTACGAATTATCGTGACGTCAGCTGCTGCCAATAAAGATAAGGAGTATGATCACGTCAAGTAAGTAATCCACAGATCCTCTGATGACTGTTTTTATCGAGTAACATGATTTGTCTCGCGCGGTTGGCTTGAAGTAATGGCGGCAAGAGTAATTTAATATCCGAATGTCCGAAGCGTGGACAATTTACTTGGAAAAGGCCTGTTAAAGGATATATCCCCGTAACTTTTCTACTTTATTTTGTATTCGAAAGAACGTTAGAAGAATATGACGCCCTTAACCAAATAATTTATTAATTGCCTCTTAATTCGGGCGATTCACAATGCAGTGTGCCACCAAGAGTTTGCCATGGAGAGTTCATTTTTCAAGTTTACAGTTGACAAAACGTGGCCCATTTGAATGAGTGTCGGTAGAAAACTTGAGCTAATTTGTCATAGATTGGGGCATAGCGTTCTGCCGCCTTACAAAAAACTCCATATTGATAAAAAGAAAAGAAAAGGGCAAACATTATATTCGAATCATACCTTTACAAACTTTCTGGCTGGAAAAACTAACAATTTCAAATGTCCCGCGCTGCGAATTTGTCGCCCATCTCCCACAATGCACTGGGAAAATTGAACTCTCCGTGGCAAACTCTTGGTGGCGCACTGCATTGTGAATCGCCCGAATTAAGAGGCAATTAATGATTCATTAGAAATGGGAGTTTGGGATGTTGCGCTCGGTTCACGCTCGAGCTGAATTTAGACTTGGTCCTAGTCGGTTGATGCGCTTGGTCTGTGCAGTATGCACGTACAGACACTGAGGTGATACGCATGTTAATATGGCACTTGTTGCACTTTGGGATCGACGTTGATGAAGTAGTTCATGGATGGGTTCTGATTACATTGTGTGTTGTGGATATCGACTTGAGTCCAACTTGAGTCAAGTCTAAGCTGGATTAGGAGCATTCCGCTCCTACTTTGAAAGCTGAATTATAAAACAATGATAACTTAGGGTGGATTGATGTGTTCGTTGCAATTCGTTCAATGTCTCATTGGAAAGTTCACAACTGCTGTAATGTTAACAAAAACAACTGCTGTAATGTGAACAAAATGACCGATTCAGTAGGGCGCCACACCCAAAGAGCACGTGAACCCTCAACTAAAAATGTATCCCAAACAAACAAATGTTTATAAGCTAATGAAGGTCAGCAGACTGGTGTTTGGAAATGGAATTGTTGTGTAAAGAGAAAAAGAAAAAAATATACCTGTATTGAAGCATTCCTCCTTGGAAATATTTTGATATGAAGCGGCAGGTGTGTCTGTCCGGGAGGGGGCGGTAACGCTGTGCGTTGTTATTACGCCAATTATTCGGCAGCTCAACGACATCAGGGGCCAATTTCACGGCGCTGCTTAGCACACAAATTTGCTTAGCACAAAAAAGTCTGGCTTATAAAATCAGGTTACCAACCAAAACTCCACGTGATGTATATTGCTAGGGACTAGTATTCAGCTGTTGTTTGCTTAGCATAAAAAATCACATGGAGTTTTGGCTGGTAACCTGCTTTTATAAGCCAGACTTTTTTGTGCTAAGCAAATTTTTGTAATTAGTAATCCTGTTTCTTACCGTTACAGAGCTGGGTTGAAGGGTTCGTTGTTTCTGCTACCGATTCTTGGCTTGACGTGGGTGTTTGGTGTCCTGTCAATGGATCCCAACACACTCGTCTTTCAATATCTCTTCGTCATCTTCAATGCCCTTCAGGTAAAAACACTTGATTGCATGCTTGTGATTTTAATACAAACTTTGCTAATTAAATGGATCGCATGATGTATAATATACAAAGAAATAAACACTAGGTACAGTGACATTCCTTATCACTATATCTGAAGTTGTTCTGTTTTGATCACGCCAATGTTAATTTAATTTTAATTAATGATTGATTGTTGATTAAAATCAACGATGCACTAGATTGAATTTTCTGTTCAATTTGCAAGTAAGTACAACAACAGTGTACTTTATTGTTAATCACTTCTTTCGTTAACGCAGGGAGTGTTCATTTTCCTGATCTACTGCGCCTTTAACAGTGAGGTAAGATTACAATCAAATTAAACTAATTTCAATAGAATTGTGCAGGGGCCGACTGGAACCCTTGTTATAAATTACAAAAATGTCTCAATCAATAGGTAGCACGGATGTTACAAAATATGTTATTAGTGACAAAATACATGTGCGATTCTTTGACGTCAAATGTGTTCGTTTTGCACTGCAGGTTCGAAGTGCAATCCAGCGAAGCAGGGAAAAGCGCGCCCTCACTCGTGGAGACGCAATCTCGAAAGCTTCGACTGCTGAGAACTACGGCTATCCTTTGGTATGTCTCTCGTACACCCTGATTTCTATATTTCTGAGTTCAACAGTTCGTCATGATATCCACCTACCAATCTTCATTTGAATTTAAGATTAATTAATTTTGTCTATTTCTTGTAATGAAACCAAGGATTCCTCAAAATTGCCATAGGCACTATGGCTAGCAAGCTTGAAGAAACCTTTACAGAAGACAATGAGAAGAAATTAGTTTTAGAGGTGGGAGTAAAACCCACGAAATCAGGTAGGGATTGAAATCACATACACTCTGGACCAGAACAGTAGTCGGACCTAGGCCCTAGCAGTGGAAAGACTGCGCCAACTTGACTCCTCCTTAAAGATCAATGCGATCAATTGAGTAGTGGCTAATTGCAGTCATGTTACTCAGTAGTTGAACTGAAGTCCTTACATGACCGCTACTGCCTTTATGTGAATAAACAGAAAGGTGGTTGGGGCAAACGGAACCGTGTCGATGTGTCCACTACCTGCTCATCGGGCGAGCCTCAGGGACAACAGATGGCGACACTGAAGATACAGACCAAGACAACGACTCACATCACCACACGTATGTTTACATATATCATCTATATCTCTCACTAGCTTCATTACAAAATATGTGTAAATGCTACATGTTTCCCATGAAGAGTAAATGTCGTTCTTTCTATTTCAACAGATATGATTTTGACTCCCGCATCGGATGGATCTTACCTTACACCAACCAACGTTAAATTCGCTGCGTGGAAGCTGGACGAAGAACGATAAAATATTCACAAATCAACAATCTGGTTCGTAAGTGTGACGTCACTTCAGTTTAAACCACGCCCACCTCATGTAAAGCAGTATTGGAACCATTTGAACCGAAAGTGCATAACGAAAAATGCAAAGGGCGAATTATGGCGTGCTTGCATAGCCTACTGTAATTTCGTTGGTTTAGAACAGCCACGTGTTAATAATAAACGTTTATTTCGTATACGCGTTGAATATAAACTATTCCATGTATACTGCGTTCCATTATAAATAAAGTTCATTATACACTGCGTTGCTTTTAATTACGCGCCTTGCGCACGCGTGTAGGGATTGCCCGGACGCTCGCGACTGAGTGCTGCAAGAAAGCCTGCAGTTATCAAAGGTTACATCGCAGTGACGTCATTTATTTCGTGCATAGTAAGACGTTAGTTACAAGCCTTTATCTTTTCGACTCGTTGCCACATGGTGATGTGGGCTATGGCATTTCTAACCCCCTCGGGCGCATAACGCTTTGTGCACCTCGGATGTCAAAAACGTCATATCCCACATCACAGCAGTCAACAAATTTATTGTTAAATGAATGATAACAATGTATATTTCATAATTATTCCGTTCAGGATATGTAATTGAATTATTTATGCGATTATGAAATGATTACCCTTTCCTTAGCCTTTTTTAGCATATCAGTTATCAAAGGTATTTGTTAGGTATCTGGACTTAATATATATTTAGAAACTATTCTGAAAGGTGACGGAAGATATTTTTAGATGTGAAATGAAAACATACAATATAAAAAGTGAATTTTAAATTGTATCATAAAATTGTAGTCATACGATGATTGGAATGTTCATAACCTATTGCGTGTTCTAATAACTGATGTAGACTCTAATGATCAATTTTAGTAATTTCAAGTTGTAAGTTTGAGTAACATTGGTTATCATCTTATACGCTCTAACTGTTTATGTCGATTGTGTATTAATATAACTCACTGAGTGGGAATTCTCTGGAAACTTGATGCCCCCTGTCGTAGAGGTCGTCCCAACATGACCCTGAAAACATCCATCGAGTTGGAAACTGGTCTGAGTGGATCTTCTCTTTCAAACACCATGCTTGACAGGGGGACAGATGAGCCCAACTCATCATGTCATCACAACAGTTAATGATCAAATGAATGAATGAATGAATGAATGAGTGGAAATTTAGTTAGCGAGCCTGTCAGCGAACTCTCGAAATATAATATCATAAAATGTAAATAGTATTGAGTTCATGTCGAAAATTATATGCTACGTAAGGACAATCAGTGAACTCCAGCGAACTTTAAACAATGTCATGTATCCTTGTAAGTGCACTGACGATGTGGCATCATGGCGATACACGTTCGTGTGAAGTTAAAGGTTTAGCTCTTGTTTATCCCTATCGCAGAAAATGGATGAAGCTAATCTTATATTATAAGCACAAACCAGCAAATGCTGAAAGATATTTGTATCTGGTACCGAGGAATCGCATTTGAAAAAGAGATAAAGAACTATAACATTACGGGCGTCGCATGTAAATAATGTAAAACACTGCCACATCGGTCCACGGATTTCTCGAGAATTTTGTTTTCACAAAACAAACATTTGACTAAAGAAAAACATTTACGCATGGGTCTCTCACTCTTCGTATTATATAAAATTGGTTTATATATTGAGAACTCCAAACAATATGTTTATAGAAGTTTCTCTCAAATTTTCTTTGAGTTCTTCAGAGGATCTTCCGTAGGTTGTCTATAACCCTTCACTAAACTTTAAGCAAATTTAAATTGATCAAAAAATTGTGAAGCTTTTTATGAAGTCGAGTTATTGGTTATGCCTGTAGACTGATTATATCATTGTTGTAAAACTAATTTTACAAAAGTTGGAAAGTATCGTAGTTGATACTAATGAAAGTGATTATGCTCAAAATTATGTAGATCAGAAGATAAGGGACTTTATTCACTGAAAAATGTAGACTTTATTAAAACGGTAAATCCAAGTTAAATAAAAAAGTCACCCATTGTTATAGGAATGCAGACAAAGTATGGAAGAGCCCTGTTTTTAATTCTTTAAGTTTGACAATGCAATTTGGGAATTTGGGCTTTACGTCTCACAAGACCGACAGGGTGCACTGGGAAGGAAACCAACTTTTGACAGGAATTTTAACTTACTGTTTTTATAATGTAGGAAAGTATAGCTCTTTAACCATACGTGGGTGAAAACAAATTGAAAAAAATCGCAAGGATAGTCTTATTATGCTAATTTGAATATAAGTCGCCAAAATCACTGTTGTCCACGTGTAAGTCTATGTAAATCAAGCTCCGGAGCTCATTAGTCAACCGGATCGAATAAGCCATCTGTGGACAAAAGGGTTTGACACATGATATTTTTAAAGTATATGCCATACCTATCTCAGAGACAAAATATGCATTTTTGCAATACTTTTTTGTGTCACTTATGTATAAAGTTCAATATTTTAATACCACAAATTTGAATTTCTATAAGTAGCTTAAGAAGTAGGTGAAAAATGCTGTCAAGAGTGGGTTTTGTTCTGTTTGCACCTCCCTGTATATAGCGAATGCTGCTGAGACAATTAAGAAATGAGAATTCTCATCAAACATTGAGACGACTTCCTGCTAATGGTTTTATCGAATACGTGCTTGTGTCAATACAGAAATCGTGATATTGGGTCTAAAATTACACCATCCCCTGATTGAATGGTATACAAATATTGAGTGGCTCAGCGTGGAATGGGAGGAATATTATCGCAAGGTAAAATCTGGACTTTTCCATTTCACGAGGCGAAGCCGAGTGAATTGGAAAAGTCCAGATTTTACCGACCCCTTCACGAAATGTTTGAACCCAACGATGTAGCGCTGGCTCTTTAGAACAATACGCGCTACGCGCAACGCTGAACGCACACACCAGCATGTATTTGCACACAAATACCGCGTCATGATCCTAACTGCTGAATATTATTTCCCATTCCCCGTGGGCGGATAGTACTTTTTGAGCCGCGGCGTGAATGGGAGCAATAACGAATGTCACGTGATGTGAGTTCCACCAATCAAATGACAAGGATCTGTATGTCGGTTATATAATAATTTCTATTTATTTTGTATACGTGGGAGTTTGATATTCAACGGTCAAAGTGCGCTATATGCAACACTGGAATTCACAAAAACAACCCTTACAATGCGTTGTTTGTATTGTTACATGGACAAAAAACAACTTTGCGAAAAACACCAGTAACATCCGACCAATATTAAACACATATTTAGTGGCTCAGAGTGAAATGGGAGGAATATTATCGCAAGGTAATCATGTACTTTACCAAGTGATTATATTCCTCGCATTTCACAATTTAAAGTCTCTCAATATTTTAATTTTGTTTTATATAACTGACATATCGATTCTTGTCAATTGATATAGGCCTAGGCTACTTGATCTTTTATTGCAATACAAAGAGGTGGAAATGTGTTTCTGTTTTCCAAACCACCCCATCTCGAAAAGGTTGAATCTATGGTTGAACCACAGAGCCCATTGATCGTCGTCTTGTCAATGGGTTCAACCGAACTCTGTAGCGCTGGCTCTTTGGCACAATACGCGCTGCGCGCAACGCCGAACGCGCACACCAGGATGCATAAACCATAGATATAGAATCCAGAAGGGTGCTGAACAACTAACCTGATGAAGTTTCAGCTCAGAAGTATATTCCGAGAAAAACAGCATTCTAGGGTCTCAATTTCAAATCAAAAGTTGCTAAATCATGTTTTGAATTGTTTTGAATTTGCAGCTATATGCCATGTCGCGCGCAGATCCGATGCCATAGCAACTGCGCGCGCCTGTGCGTCGTGCCAACGCTGGTCGCGCTGCGCCGAATAACAAAACGAACCACTACATTTACATTTTCCTACGGTGCTTCTTGCTTTTGTGGGCGTCTCAAAAACAATTTACATGGCAGGCCTTTACAAAAGTCTTGTGTCTGATGTAAGTCGGAATCCGGGCTTTATTTGGTCTGACACTTTCCTAGTCAAAAGGTCACTTTTGCTATTTAAAGGTTCCGGGTCAACATGGCTTGGAAATGCAGTAAGTATCACTTTGACCACGAAGAATGACACCAGCGATACTTACATTAAAACTGGGGGTTAGTGACAGCTTGGGGCTCAGTGAAGTTTGGAGGGCGGGTTTGAAATGCAATTCAGGAATACAATCAGGTACATTAGCATTTAGCTTATTACTTTGTCCTCCTTGTTCTAGTATGAAATTAGTCAGCGGCTGAACGGGGACGATGCGCTTGAAACTCCACCCCTATTAGCTCCGTGCGCGACCAAATGAGGGCGCGTTTTTGAGCTTCGTGGACGGGGGACACAGCGTGCGCGTACTTTACTGTACTGGTCATAGATATAGCATAAAAAGACTAGATCGGCAGCGCGTCCACACGCGCCCATTCACTGTGCGATAACTCTCCGCCATTTGTGTTGTCCCTCGTGGACGCGCAAGAAATTAACGTAAAGTAATGGAGCTAAATGTATCTTTCCTCCAGCACGTGACCAAGCGCAACGCGCGCGGAACTAGAAATGCGCACCGAGTATTTACGCGCTGCGCTCACGCGTTAGCGATATTATGGTGCACTGTGCGCGTCAACGGCGTTGCGTTTGTCACGTTTTCGTCGTCGGCGCGCGAATACATTCGAATTCAACTTGAAATGGTCTCTGAGACTAATCTCCGAGTCCAATAAGTTTGGAGACATTCGAAATACGCAGTGGATGGATCGGGAACCAGTCTAGATCATTCCCAACTCTCCTTTTACGGCCGTTGATGGGGTAATTGTGCACGGAGCGGATAATGTCGGCCAATGATAGTGCGAAGTGATTCGTACCTGTTCGGTAGGTTTACACGAATACATGTTGCAATAGAATATCAAGTTCCAATCTGAATCCTGGTAAACTGGATACAGAAAGTAAGGAGACACTTATTCCACTTTTTTATTCTTTTTTCTTCTTTTCTAATTCTTTCACAATCACCATGCTATTTGCTTGCCAACATATTGTAAGAAAACTGTAGGCCTATAGCTGTAAATAAAACTCAAGCGATAATAATTGTTGGTAAAAATGTTATATGAATCTTAAAATAATGTAGCACATCTTACAGGTAATTGCGTATTAGTGGCTGTCATGTATAAACAATCAACTAACAATGAAATAAGAAATCAATAACATAACATTTAATTCAAAGTCTCTCACTTTAGCGTAGTTCTGTGTATTAGGGTAATGTTTTCATGAGCATATGAAAAATGGGGCATAGAACAGCTTCATAACAACTTAAACTTAAAGGACAAAAGACCCTTTTTTAGTGAATTAAATTAACAAAATAACATAATTACACTAGAAGATAAAAACCGTACTTACATAATTTAAATGATTGAAAACGCAGCTGTGTATCTCAATGAACTATAATTTTAATCTTCTGATTGTTATTTTCCAAGGTTTTTGAATGCCTTGTCGATTTTGTGTATGCTAATGGTATGCATGTTCATGAGCAAAACGTTTTACCTGTCAACCAAAAGAATCAAAATTATACATCGCTACAGCAATTCCATCTTTCACTAAGCGGTATAGTGTATATGAACAACAAGTGCATTATTTAATCAAAGGAATACTTTTTGTCTTCCTCTATTACTATTCAGTAGGCATTCCAAGGTCATCATTTGAAAATATACATAAAAGCAGCAATACAAGACATCTGCAGTTTGAATTCAACAATAACATGTCGAAAGTTCGGGGTAGTAGTTAATTATCACAATTTTGAAAAAAAGATATCTTCATTTATCTCGCCGTAATGCATGGTATTCGTTGAAAGCTCTCCATCCACAATGCGCATTAATACATTTCAGTTGCACCCTCTTAGTGGTATGATGCCAGTGTGCCACTCGGAAACGTAATTCCCTTGGACGGATTTGAAACCGATAGCATCTAAGCTAACTAAGCTAACTAAGCTTTCCGGTGGTTTTGGGAGCAGTATTTAACAAACCTTTATCGAGATGGTCGAGTCCTACAACCATCGCAAGAGGAATTGATATATAGTTTCTCTTTTTTTTCTTGGTTTCCACAGATTCCATTGTTTATTTGTAATCAAGTACGATATTTAATTAAATTTTGGCTGTTTCGTTTGTAACTAAGTTTAGCTAACAATATTGTTTTATTTACAATACTGTAGATCACTTTATAAGGCATAATCCACTACAGTTATCTTATAGCATTTTGTAGTTTTGTACTATATACCTATATGCTTTTATGTTGAATATTGTATGTTCTAATATTTTCCCCGTCATGCTCCCATTGTTGTGGTGAATCTTGCTAAATTATCAAAATAAGCAGCAAAAATATACAGCACAATCAAAGTTACTAGCTTAAAAACAAGTAAAGAAAAACTGCTTAAATCATCGATCATGTTAAACTTGTTTAACCTCGATTTTTTTTCCGCAAGGGTCATAATCAGCGTCCAGACATAAACCCGGTCTTAAACGTCTCGTTTAAAACCAGCCAAACATATTTTTTCCCATACCTTTTTGGAAGACAACTTTTTCGACGATGTCTTGTTCACGAATTCAGGTTAGTTTGCTGTTCATATTCTGGAGCCTTCTCTATGAACGCAGCGGCAGATTGCATCCATCCTCCAAAAACTTCAACCCAAGACAACACCCTGAAAGAAGCCATTTTAAGGATTGTTCAATATCAAACTTACCTATTTTACTAACATTGTTTTCAGGCATGTTTTTACCATGAAACAGGAGACAAAAAAGACAGCCTAAGCAAATCGTTTATCACTTTTGTGATACGCTATGATACCGGGCCGAGGGCGTAGCCATATGATTTTGTGAGCAAACCATGAAAGTGGCGTCGTAAAAAAGTGTCACATTTCCAAGCTCATGAACGTACCAATGGCCTACTTGTACGACAGTACGAGTCGAGAGGAGTTTGTCAATACGTCTAGATGTATTGTTTTGGAAAAAGGTCCGACACTAATCTCGCTATGCGGTGATTGTCACGGAGCAGTTTGCCCACGACCAGGCAGTTTTTGTCTGTGTACACGATATGAGTTCAACTAGTTGGACTTGGCTGGTACACAAATATTGAGCTGCTCAGGGTAAAATGGGAGCAATATTAGCGCAAGGTGAAATATGGACTTTTCCATTGCAAGAGGCGAAGCCGAGTGAACTGGAAATGTCCAGATTTTACCGAGCGATAATATTACTCCAATTTCACAATTTAAAGCCACTCAATATTTGTTTAATATAACTGACATGTAGATCCTTGTCATTTGATATTCGAACTTTTATTTCAATACAAAATTGGTGGAAAATGTATTTCTCTCTTTCAAAACAACCCTTCACGAAAATGTTTGAACCCAACGCTGAGAATGTCACGTGATGTGAGGTCTACCACTTCTCATCACATCCAGCGCATCCTCCATAAGCATGGAATTCGAGTCTTCCACACATCCCCTCTGAAGATGCAGAACCTACTGACTTCACACAAGGATCGGTGTGACCCAGAATGCAGACCTGGGGTGTACAAGATTCCATGTCAACGTGACAAAGTGCATATTGGCGAGACTGGCAGGGACCTTCCTACCAGACTCAATGAACACAAAGCCCATGGCCGGAAGGGAGACTTCGAGAAATCTTCCATTGTCAAACTCTCCCACACCGAGGACGACCCGATCAACTGGAGCCAAGCAGAACTACCCACTAGCATCGACCGCTGGTACCCCCGACGCATCAGAGAAGCCATCGAGATCATCAAGCATAACACTGTTCCCCAAGACATCGGTTTCTACATCAGCAACATCTGGCGCCCCATCCTCAAGTCCAAGTCCGATGGGTCTCCTATACCCTAGGACAACTTAGGTTCAGTTCTCGCCTATGGGTCACCTATACCCTAAGCTCCTTCCCCTTTGCCCCTTCACTGTGTACTGACACGCTCCAGTGATCATCCAGCATCCTTCAGTCAACTTGCATCCTGTCTCAGGTTCACCGGTTTCGAGCTCCACCAGTTTGCATCCTTCTCACGCCTCACCCATCCCATCCTTATGGATACTTGAGGATGGCGCCCCATCCTCAAGTCCAAGTCCGATGGGTCTCCTATACCCTAGGACAACTTAACTTCAGTTCTCGCCTATGGGTCACCTATACCCTGAGCTCCTTCCTCTTTGCCCCCTCACTGTGTACTGACACGCTATGACATGCATATCTAATGCCTTGTTCTCCATAACACAACCCCAAGATGGCTTTACGTCTTGTGAGAAATGCTCCTTCATCACTTTACTTGTTTAAAAGGTAAAATGAGAAGAGGTGAAAAACGCTCACTGGGATTCGAATTCGGATCATCTGATTGGAAGTAAGGACTTCTTCCAACCAGTCCACGAATGGGCTGCCAATCGTCGGTGGTTTAAACAATAATATTCATTGTTATATAACTTATTCTCTAATTTCCCTAGACATCATGAATATGCATAACGCATACAATATTCATATTGTCCAATCTCGTTGCGAAAAGAAATGTCGCGGCCGGCGTACGAGCAGACGACATTTCCCTGCAACGTTTTATTCTCTTTATTCAGCTAGGTTTTTCTTCCTAGCAGACGAATTCAATTGAAAATTGTGTAATATAATTTGCAATACCAAAACGTATAGTTTTTTTTTCAAACTTCAAAACAATTTGTTTTGAAGAACACATTTTTTAAACCAGCATTTTACTGTCCCTGTTCAGGGGCCACCTTTGTTGCTGGCTTGTCTTAAACACTTCTGGCTGGCGCTTTATCATCCGTTTAAGACCGGACATGTGACGGGCTCTCGACCAATAGAAATGGTTCAACTGTTTTAGCTATTTATAAATGAGGTATAGAATCTGATCCAAGAGTGTTTGTCGGAAATTTCGCCGTAATTAGGTCCTTGAGCACTGCCGACGAGTTAATCATACTACTATTGTAATGTATCGCTACTTTTGTAATGCACTTGAAGCAATTTCCCTCTGACTATTTGGCAGTTTGTTCCGTGATCCACATGTGCAAGAATCGTTTAACTTGGTAGGAGGAACCAACTTAAGCTTCAGAAGTGTGTTTAAAATGAAATTATTGAATGCTACGAATATATCTGGGAAGAATTAATGACATTGGTTTGTAAATATTGTTATGGTAATGGTAAATCCTGTCTGCTTTTACAATGCAATCTGCCTTGTGTTTGCCAGCTCCCCATCGAACAAGAGAGGTCAAGGGTCCGTATATACAAAATGTATCTAAATTACATTATTTTGCAGCAGATACTGCAAAATCAAAGCTACATAACAAATACACTTTAAAATTAGTTTTGAACATGATCTTTTTTTGGAAGATTTAGTCTGAACCAGGATCAAACTGTTTGCCAGAATTATTTTCGCTGTGATGGTGGCCCTTTAGCACATTCGTTGTTAATTTCTCACTCTAGTTATAATGTATCTCTATTATTGTACTCCTTTTTCAGCCCTTATTTACAAGGTTTATCCAAATTGTCAATTGTCAATCTCAGAACGGACATTTGAGCACTGTCATTTTAACACTTCAGCTGTAATGCATAGTCTATGTACAACACGTTTTTGTCTCCAACAGCACGACACCACCCATCAATTTTCGTCGACCACTGGCAAATTTACCTTAGCGTCGCTGTTCCCTAATTTGGATTGACATCCCTCCCTCCAGCTGAACTGGAACCGCTGGTTTGACTACCGATACTGAAGCCCTTAAGGATGACAGCTGTAAATGAAAAAAAACAAACGGTTTGTTCCAAAAATTCATAAACTTTCATTCAAATGTTGAGCTAAATACGTCCCAATGTTTCTTAAAACAGATGAATGAAAGAATCCAAGTAATGATCTACGGGCATTGGATTGGCCGAGAGGGTCTAACCCCCCCCCCCCCCCGCAAAACGCAAAAATTGGAAAAAAGTCATGTTAAAAAAACAAAATCATGTCTCCTGAATGCGATCCCATTGAGCCAAAGCCTTGGGTCCGCCTCTGATAGCCATTCAGATTTAATGGAATAGAATATTGTGCGCTCAAATAGCCAAGCTTTTAGCTTGCGTTGTCTTGTTTTCAATTAATGTACCTGGCCGTGCACGCGCGTTTTAGAGTTAGCTAACTTGAGATACTAACCTAGTTCTGCTGTTAATAATGTCCTCGTGATCGACTCAGAGCCATTAAAAAGCGATTCTTTTCCTGGAGAAACCTGCTCACTGTGGTGTTCACCGTATCGACACAAATTCACGAAATGCTCGCAGTTGCTGTCGACGAGATCGTAAACAGTCGTCTGTCCTTCATATTGATGCATGTCCTTTGCCTGTTGAATGATACAGTCGGTATCCTGATGCTGCTTTAGAGTGTCTCTGAAGTTGTTGATCCTCACCTTGCAGGAACCGCCTAGAATCTTCTCAATAGTATCAGCTCGTATCTCGGGCTTTTGAGGGGCAGCATTCGCTCTGCCTGATAGCTTCTTTCTGGCAAATCTCTTCCCTCCTTCGAATATACCGAAATGGATGACAGCGTGTTTTTCACCTTGGTATGGACCGACATATATACCCCAGTGGCAATACCACAATCCATCTGGGCTGTTGGTGAACTCCAGCCTATCACCCGGGTATAACTTAGCTTTCAATGCTGTAATATCTGTAGGTGAAGGCTTGTACCAGTCACATACACCTTTGCCATTATTGAGTCCCATTTCCTGAGAAAATATGTCGTGTCTGATCACACGAAATACTCGAAGCGTCGTGCAATGGACCTTATCGCAGAAAGCCCGTTTTTGGAAGTGCGCATTTGCGCGCAAAGGACAGGGGTTAATTGTTTGGGGTAAACAAGAAACAGCTGATTTTGTTCGTCACGTCGCGCTGGTACATGGTCGCTGGAGCGGGCACTTTAAAAATGTAAACTTCTAGTTCTACAGGTTCGAAGTGCAATCCAGCGAAGCAGGGAAAAGCGCGCCCTCACTTGTGGAGATGCAATCTCGAAAGCTTCGACTGCTGAGAACTACGGCTATCCTTTGGTATGTCTCAACAGTTCGTCATGATATCCACATTCCAATGTTCATTTTAATATAAGATTTTTTGTTGTTGTTTAATTCTGGTAGAACCAAGGAGTCCTCAAAATTGCCATAGGCACTATGGTTAGCAAGCCTGAAGAAACCTTTGCAGAAGACAATGAGAAGAAATTAGTTTTAGAGGTGGGAGGAAAACCCACGCAATCAGGTAGGGATTGGAACCACATACACTCTGGACCAGAACAGTAGTCGGACCTAGTTTGTGTCCACTACCTGCTCATCGGGTGAGCCTCAGGGGCAACATATGGCGACAATGAAGATACAGACCAAGACAACGACTCCCATCACCACACGTATGTTTACATTTATATCATCTATATCTATCACTAGCTTCATTGCAAAATATGTGTAAATGCTACGTGTTTCCCATGAAGAGTAAATGTCGTTCTTTCTATTTCAACAGATATGATTTTGACACCCGCATCGGATGGATCTTACCTCACACCAACCAACGTTAAATTCGCTGCATGGAAGCTGGACGAAGAACAATAAAATATTCACAAATCAACAATCGGGCTCGTAGGTGTGACGTCACTTCAGTTTAGACCACGCCCACTGCACATAAAGCAGTATTGGAACCATTTGAAACGGAAGTGCATTACAAAGAATGCAAAGGGCAAATTATGGTGTGCTTGCATAGCCTACTGTAATTTCATTGGTTTACAACGGCCACGTGTTAATAATAAACGTTTATTTCGTATACACGTTGAATATAAACTATTCCATATATACTGCGTTCCATTATAAATAAAGCTCACACACTGCGTTGCTTTTAATTACGCGCCTTGCGCACGCGTGTAGGGATTGCCCGGACGCTCGCGACTGGGTGCTGCAACCGCTCAGGCAAGAAAGCCTGCAGTTATCAAAGGTTACATCGCAGTTACGTCATTTATTTCGTGCATAGTAAGACGTTAGTTACAAGCCTTTATCTTTTTGACTTGTTGCCATATGGTGATGTGGGCTATGGCGTTTCTAACCCCATCGGGCGCATAACGCTTTGTGCACCTCGGATGTCAAAAACGTCATATCCCACATCACAGCAGTCAACAAATTTATTGTTAAATGAATGATAACAATGTATATTTCATAATTATTCCGTTTAGGATATGTAATTGAATTATTTATGCGATTATGAAATGATTACCCTTTCCTTAGCCTTTTTTTTTAGCATATCAGTTATCAAAGGTATTTGTTAGGTATCTTGACTTTATATATATTTAGAAACTATTCTGAAAGGTGACGGAAGATATTTTTAGATGTGAAATAAAAATATACAGTATAAAAAGTGAATTTTAAATTGTATCATAAAATTGTAGTCATACGATAATTGGAATGTGCATAACCTATCGCGTGTTCAAATAACTTATGAAGACTCTAATGATCAATTTTAGTAATTTCAAGTTGTAAGTTTGAGTAACATTGGTTATCGTCTTATGAGCTCTAACTGTTTATGTCGATTGTGTATTAATATAACTCACTGAGTGGGAATTCTCTGGAAACTTGATGCCCCCTGTCGTAGAGGTCGTCCCAACATAACCCTGAAAACATCCCTCGAGTTGGAAACTGGTATGAGTGGTTCGTCTCTTCACAACACTATGCTCGACAGGGGGACAGATGAGCCCAACTCATCATGTCATCACAACAGTTAATGATCAAATGAATGAATGAATGAATGAATGAGTGGAAATTTAGTTAGCGAGCCTGTCAGCGAACTCTCGAAATATAATATCATAAAATGTAAATAGTATTGAGTTCATGTGGATGGAAAATTATATGGTACGTAAGGACAATCAGTGAACTCCAGCGAGCTATAAACAATGTCATCTCAAAAAATAAGTAATGCATTAAATTGAACGGTGGCCAGGTGATTTGTCATGAAAAATAGACAAACTAGACAGAAGATTTAGACAAAATATTGTTTTTCTCTCCCTCATCAGTGTCTTGTTTCAACCCGGTGAAAAATTTGGCGAGAGTTTGCAGTCCCAGTCCAAACGGACCATTTTCCTGACTTTTTGTACGGAAACGATAGTCACGTCGACAAATTATCTCAAAAATTAAGAAATGCATTTAATTAAACAGTAGCCAAGTAATTTATCATGATAAATAGCCAAACTAGACAGAAGATTTAGGCAAAATATTGTTTTTCTCTACCCTAACAGTGTCTTGTTTCAACCCGGGGAAAAATTTGGCGAGAGTATGCAGTCCCAGTCCGAACATACCATTTTCCTGACTTTTTGCACGGAAACGATAGTCACGTCGACAAATAATCTCAAAAATTAAGCAATGCATTTAATTTAAAGGTGGCCAGGTGATTTATCATGAAAAGAAAAAAGACAAACTAGACAGAAGATTTATGCAAAATACTGTTATTCACTCCCTCAACAGTGTCTTGTTTCAACCCGGGGAAAAACTTCGCTAAAGTATGCAGTCCCAATCCAAACAGACCGTTTTCCTGATTTTGCAGGGAAACGATAGTCACGTCGACAAATTATCTCAAAATTAAGCCGTGCATTTATTTGAACAGTAAGAAAGTGATTTATCATGAAAAATATACAAACTAGACAGAAGATTTAGACAAAATATTGTTTTTCTATCCCTAAACGGTGCCTTGTTTCAACCAGGGGAAAAACTTGGCGAGAATATGCAGTCCCGGTCCAAACAGACCATTTTCCACACTTTTTGCAGGGAAACGAAAGTAACGTCGACACATTATCTCAAAAATTAAGCAATGCATTTAATTGAACGGTGGCCAGATGATTTATCATGAAAAATAGACAATTTAGACAGAAGATGTAGACAAAATATTGTTTTTCTCTATCTCGACAGTGTCTTTTTTCAACCCGGGGAAAAACTTGGGGAGAGTATGCGGTCCCAGTCCAAACAGACCATTTTCCTTATTGTTTGCACGAAAACGATAGTCACGACAAAAAAAATATCTCAAAAATTAAGCAATGCATTTAATTGAACAGTAAGAAAGTGATTTATCATGAAAAATAGACAAACTAGACAGAAGATTTAGACAAAATATTGTTTTTCTCTCCCTCAACAGTGCCTTCTTTCAACCCGGGGAAAAAGTTGGCGAGAGTATGCAGTCCCAGACCAAACAAACCATTTTCCTTACTTTTTGCAGGGAAACGATAGTCACGTGGACAAATTATCTCAAAAATTAAGCAATGCATTGAATTGAACAGTAAGAAAGTGATTTATCATGAAAAATAGACAAACTAGACAGAAGATTTAGACAAAATATTGTTTTTCTCTCCCTCAACAGTGCCTTGTTTCAACCCGGGGAAAAACTTGGGGAGAGTATGCAGTCCCAGTCCAAACAGACCATTTTCCTTACTTTTTGCACGGAAACGATAGTCACGACGACAAATTATCTCAAAAATTAAGCAATGCATTTAATTGAACAGTAAACAAGTAATTTATCATGAAAAAAAAAAGAAACTAGACAGAAGATTTATACAAAATATTGTTTTCCTCTCCCTCAACAGTGTCTTTCTTCAACCCAGGGAAAAACTTGGCGAGAGTATGCAGTCCCAGTCCAAACAGACCGTTTTCCTTACTTTTTGCAAGGAAACGATAGTCACGACGACAAATTATCTCAAAAATTAAGCAATGCATTTAATTAAACAGTAAGTAAGTGATATATCATGAAAAATAGCCAAACTAGACAAAAGATTTAGACAAAATATTGTTTTTCTCTCCCTCAACAGTGCCTTGCTTCAACCCGGGGAAAAATTTGGCGAGAGAATGCAGTCCCAGTCCAAACAGACCATTTTCCACATTTTTTTTGCAGGGAAACGAAAGTCGCGTCGACAAATTATCCCAAAAATTAAGCAATGCATTTAATTGAACAGTAAGCAAGTGATTTATCATGAAAAATAGACAAACTAGACAGAAGATTTAGACAAAAAATGGTTTTTCTCTCCCTCAACAGTGCCTTGTTTCAACCCGGGAAAAAACTTGGGAAGAGTATGCAGTCCCAGTCCAAACAGACCATTTTCCTTACTTTTTGCACGGAAACGATAGTCACGACGACAACATATCTCAAAAATTAAGCAGTGCATTTAATTGAACAGTAAGCAAGTGATTTATCATGAAAAAATAGACAAACTAGACAGAAGATTTAGACAAAATTTTGTTTTTCTCTCCCTCAACAGTGCCTTGTTTCAACCCGGGGAAAAACTTGGGGAGAGTATGCAGTCCCAGTCCAAACAGACCATTTTCCTACCTTTTTGCACGGAAACGATAGTCACGACGACAAATTATCTCACAAATTAAGCAATACATTTAATTGAACAGTAAGCAAGTGATTTATCATGAAAAATAGACAAACTAGACAGAAGATTTAGACAAAAAAATGGTTTTTCTCTCCCTCAACAGTGCCTTGTTTCAACCCGGGAAAAAACTTGGGAAGAGTATGCAGTCCCAGTCCAAACAGACCATTTTCCTTACTTTTTGCACGGAAACGATAGTCACGACGACAACATATCTCAAAAATTAAGCAGTGCATTTAATTGAACAGTAAGCAAGTGATTTATCATGAAAAATAGACAAACTAGACAGAAGATTTAGACAAAATTTTGTTTTTCTCTCCCTCAACAGTGCCTTGTTTCAACCCGGGGAAAAACTTGGGGAGAGTATGCAGTCCCAGTCCAAACAGACCATTTTCCTACCTTTTTGCACGGAAACGATAGTCACGACGACAAATTATCTCACAAATTAAGCAATACATTTAATTGAACAGTAAGCAAGTGATTTATCATGAAAAATAGACAAACTAGACAGAAGATTTAGACAAAAAAATGGTTTTTCTCTCCCTCAACAGTGCCTTGTTTCAACCCGGGAAAAAACTTGGGAAGAGTATGCAGTCCCAGTCCAAACAGACCATTTTCCTTACTTTTTGCACGGAAACGATAGTCACGACGACAACATATCTCAAAAATTAAGCAGTGCATTTAATTGAACAGTAAGCAAGTGATTTATCATGAAAAATAGACAAACTAGACAGAAGATTTAGACAAAATTTTGTTTTTCTCTCCCTCAACAGTGCCTTGTTTCAACCCGGGGAAAAACTTGGGGAGAGTATGCAGTCCCAGTCCAAACAGAACATTTTCCTTACTTTTTGCACGGAAACGATAGTCACGACGACAAATTATCTCAAAAATTAAGCAATGCATTGAATTGAACGGTGGCCAAATGATTTATCATGAAAACTAGACGAACTAGACAGAAGATTTAGACAAAATATTGTTTTTCTCTCCCTCAAAAGTGCCTTGTTTCAACCCGGGGAAAAATTTGGCGAGAGTATGCAGTCCCAGTCCAAACAGACCATTTTCCACACTTTTTGCACGGAAACGATAGTCACGACGACAAATTCTCTCAAAAATTAAGCAATGCATTTAATTGAACAGTAAGCAAGTGATTTATCATGAAAAATAGACAAACTAGACAGAAGATTTAGACAAAATATTGTTTTTCTCTCCCTCAACAGTGTCTTGTGTCAACACGGAGGAAACCTTGACAAGAGTATGCAGTTCCAGTTAAAACAGACCATTTTCCACACTTTTTGCTAGGAAACGACGATACGGCATCATGGCGATGCACGTTCGTCGGCTTCAAAATGACGGAGTGTGTAGTTAAAGATTGAGCCCTTATTTGTTAATCCCTGTCGCAGAAAACGGATGGAGCTAATCTTATATTTAACGAACGTTATAAGCACAAACCGGCAAATGCTGAAAGCTTTTTGTATCTGGTACCAAGGAATCGCATTTGAAAAAAAGAAAAAAAAAGAACTATAACCATTACGGGCGTCGCATACAAATGATGTAAAACACTGCCACATCGGTCCACGGATTTCTCGAGAATTTTTTTTTCACTAAACAAATATTTGACTAAAAAAAAACACTTTCGCATGGGTCTCTCATTCTTCGTATTGAATAAAATTGGTTTATATTGAGAACTCCAAACAATATGTTAATAAAAGTATCTCTCAAATTTACTTTGATTGCTTCAGAGGATCTTCCGAAGGTCTTTAACCCTTTAAATTGACCGGATTATTGTAAACCTTTTTATGAAGTCGAGTTGTCGGTTATGCCTGTAGACTGATTATAATATTATTGTAATACTAAATTGAAGAAAGTTGGAAACTGTAGTAGTTGATAATAATGAAATTGATTAGGCCTATGCTAAAAAAATAATGTAAATAAGAAGATATAAAAGTATTTACTGGAAAATGTAGACTTTATTAAAATGGTAAATCCAAGTTAAATAAACAGTTACTCATTCGTATAGGAAGGCAAACGAAGTATGAAGAGCCCTATTATTTATTCGTTAATTTTGACAAAGAAATTCGGGAATTCTGGCGTTACGTCCAAGTTAAGTAGGCTTCAATGAGCAGCTTGCGGAATACCTTGACATTTCATTCAGCTACGAACATACACTGCAAATAATTTCCCTAACTTCGAGACACTGCAGAATGCTTAACTTTACTCACAGCAATTTTGACAAATCAAGTCCACTCACACGTAAAACAAATTAAATCAAAATATATTCAGCAGTATGCAAAACAGGTCTTAAAAATATATAAATCAATATGGGAAGTGTGAGAGATGAATCAACAATATTCACGCAAAACAAAACTCAAACACACACATCTTAAACAAAACTTGGAACATTTAACAATCATTAGATCAGCGACACATTTAAAACTCAATTTGAACATTAAATTCCTGTATCCAAAAATGTCTGGGTTGAAAAAGAAGTAAACTTTCCCAAGCAAATGCGATTAGCACTTAATATTCGAGATGTCAGAGAATACCTACGTTAACTCGCTGCAATTTGAGCAAAACAAGTCCACACACATTTACAACAAACCACAGCAGACTACCGTTCCTCAGATTATCGATAAGATGATTATAGGAACGCAATTTATTCAAATTTTTGGACGTTATTGTTCAAAACTAAACGTGGGGTGGTTTTCTTTTTTTTTTCAATCTCAGCCTTGCTGGAAAAATAGTCATTCAAAAGTAAAGTATATTTTTCAGGGTTCCACTCGAAACTAAAACAGCAGTACAGCCTCAAAAAAAATTCTGCCCTTATGCAATTTTGATTGTCACAAAAAAGTTTCATTAATGTCGATGGGAAGCACTGGCCAGATTTCTGTCAGAGTTCTTGGTGCCTGTTGGTTTCCTCATACTCCAGGCTGCGTCGTTTACGTCGTCTGCTGTCCGGGTGACTCACCCGATAGCGTCCCTGATCGAGAGAGCTAGGCACGAAGCTCGCCCGTCCCTGGATCGAGCCGTGATGGGAGAAGGAACCTTGATCTAGCAGCAAATTACTACCTGCAAAGAATGCAACGTGAAGTACATTAAATGTACTCTTGAAATCACAACCCAAACAGTAATATTCAAATGCCACACACTGACGGCGATGTTTCAAAATTAACTTGAAACTTCCGTGAATATCTGGGCCTAATTTCATGGCGCTGTCTAACAGCCGATTTTGTGCTTACCGAACCTCCATCTATTTCTTAAGTAAGCAGTAAGCACCGTAAGCAGTAGGCACATCAAAAACACGCTTAACCCCAGAGGAACAAGTTGCTTAAATCAGTGACGTAACAATATAGAAATCTACATGCCCGCGCAACCTTTAGCACATCCACGCCATGAAATGGTGTATAAGCAACAGCATAATTTTTTGCTATAGTAAGCACATTTTTTTCTGCCAACTGCTACAGTCCATCATTTGCAGCCATCCGAAAAAGTAACTGGCGTATTATTGTTGAAAAACATACTTGGTTGAAAGATAGTAAGTGGACTAAACTCCCTGTGAAATTAATCTTTCTGGCAAGCTATCACTTTGAAGTAATCAACGAAAGAAGGCCTTTCCAACGGTGCGTCTTAAGACGCACCGTAGGAAAATTTAAATTAGTAGTTCGTTTTGTTATTCAGCGCAGCGCGCGCAAGCATTGGAACGACGCACATGCGCGCACAGTTGCTATAATTCGTGGGATCAGTGCGCGACATCGCGTATAGCTGCAATTCAAAACAATTCAAAACATGATTCAGCAACTTTTGATTTGAAATTGAGATCCTAGAATCCTGTTTTTCTCGGAATATACAGCTGAAGCTGAGCTGAAACTTCATCAGGTTAGTTGTTCAGTATCCTTCATTAGATTTTGAACACTTTTGTTGCTTCAAACCAACAAAATGCACAAATTACAAATGATGGACTATATCTTTAAGCAGCGCTGTGAAATCGGGCCCTCGGTTTATCTAAGAATTGTTCTTGATATACAAAACATGAAAAAATATCACTTTTAAAAGGAAGTCAAACGTGAAGTCGGTAGGTATCGCGCCGTATTATCCCCCAATCTGTCCCGTCCCCTTACCGACTTCCTCGTTATCCATGTTGTAATGTGCGTCCAGTAGATTCTTGTGCACCTGTCGGTCCAGATTTGGGAGTTGCATGTGTTCATGAACCTCATGATCCGACAGAGCTAAACCCCATATGCGGACCTGTGAAATCCAAACAAACAGCACTACGACATGACAGACGGTCAAGTTTTTGTATGACTGTTTTTATGATGTTATTGTTAAGGACCTGATTTTTCAGGAATAAGTTACGAAAACCAAATTTTAAAAACCTGTTATTTTCTTGAGGATGTAATTAGTTTAATATTTTTTTTGTTAATAACTTAAAAACCAATATTTGAAAATTGAGTGGATGGTCGATTCAAAAATTAATTTGAGAACCATATTTGTTTTAAAATTGTTTTGACATTGTGGGATATGACCTTTATATCGCTGTATACATAAAACTTTCAAAATGAGTACTTCCTTACAACATTTCTCCAATATCCTGTGTAAAAACTGGAGTATCACTTCAAGATTTCCCACACAAGGAGTAGAATGCAGCAGCTGACGTGTTAAAATGTAAACCTGAATAAAAACGATCAGGATCCACACTGTGACATTCCTGTTAATTTTAATTCTTCCGAGTTTACGTCAATCTCAATCATAGTGTCTTACCTCGTCCAGAGTTCCTGCATAAAAGTTCATGTCATCTCTGCCGATGAACACCTCCGTGTCATTTTGCTGCAGCAAGAAAAGACAAAAACACACCCCCACACTGATAAATATAACTGTAGCGTCTCTTGTATCCGCTCCGTTCACAAGTACCCCCTCACCGGCAAAGAAAGTACAGTTGGGGGCTGACTGAACTACGCCATCTTGCCTGACTGCAATATTTTGCCGCGGAGCGCAGCCAATGCGTGTAAATCCCCTGGCGTACGTGTGTCACAAACATAGAACGGTGCGCGCGCGTCAACCAGCGAAATGCATGTGTCCTGCCCGTCTGTGTATATGGAGATCAATGGTCCCCGCCCATGGGAAGTCGTAACCAGGTAAAAGGGCGCCCTCTCTGTTAGCGCACGGAGCCCATAACCACTCAAACCACTCTTTAAATTTTTAACATTTTTAATGGATTCGAATTTGATATACTCCACCACACTTACCCAGCTCTGCGCTGATACAGACGACTCAGCATGTTCAGATGTCCCATTGACAAACACACTCAGTTCACAGGCTGAGATATTCACAAGAAAGTAAATGATTAATTTAAACACTTTTAAAATATCATCACGTCAAAAGATAAAGCATTTATGCTTCAGCTTGAAATGGCTTATTGCCGATAGCGTCAAGAGGTTGGTCGAAAATAAAAATAATATTTAAAGTTACAAAAAGTACAGGCAAGCTTGCTAAAATATAATGCAACAGGTTTTTCTCCAACTGTCGGCAACCTTGAGCATGCTAAAGAATTTTTAGTCTGGAACACTGAATAATGTTATTATCTGCAAACAGTTCGTATTATTTCTAATACAGTATACATGTATCGTTGTGTCGTTTATATTACAGTCGTAATATTAAGTATATTCTCTTATCTCCCCGATTTTCTTTTCAATCCTTTTCCACATTAAAAAAACGGTTAACAGTCTCAGTTATATCCGGTATATGCTGATCTTTCCGGAAGGCAAATTTCGGCAAAAGTCGCACTCATACGTTCATTCGTTGTACAAGTATTACACGAGGGAAGAGGTACTTCCCCACTCCCCAACCTAAATCCCATCTTCACACATTATAATCCAATGTCCGGACGCTTCTTTGCGATGGCGAAGGAACGTTTCAGTTTTTCTTACCACACCCCTGGATGAAACGCGGTGCCCGTTCACAGGCAAATCCAGCCCTAGTGTGACTGTATAAAGTCCGAAACAATCAGCACACCAAGACCCTAACACCGGATCTCCTTATGGCATACCTCTATATGTCTTTTTTTTTATTATAACTAACAAATATAAGACAAGATAAGTTTGCGGTAGCACTATGTGAATAAATCTCTTTTGTATGTGTGGTTTGAAAAGAACCGGAGGGACTCAACGTTTCGAACAGTATGCTCTGCCCGTCGTCAGGAGAATGAGGGATTTCAACGATGATGCGATGTTATAAGGATGGGTGCGGTGAGGCGTGAGAAGGATGCAAACTGGTGAACCGCAAACTTATCTTGTCTTAACAAACATAAAAAACTCACTCGGAACATTCAGCCTCATAGCAACATGATGCCATGCTGAGCCGACAAGTGCTGACGTGCTATTGGCTGTCCGATCTCCAAACTGACCAATCAACGACCTTTATGCAAAATTGACAATTCCTCAATAGGGTAAAAAGTTATGGTTCAAGCGTATATTCCTTTCCTTCTGTATATGCTTCCTTTGTCGGCGTCACTTCGCGTGGCCTCATACAGTATGACCATGTCGTCGCCGAGGGGAATCATATGTGCATGCCATAATTAAACCGAAAATTTGCAATGTGCACCACATTTTTGATGATATTTTAATTTTACCCTAAGCAAAGAAATGAAAAATGGGCCTACGAAATATGACAAACATGACCTTCATACAAAATGAAACACAGGGGATTTCTTACCCATTTAGAATGTACATGCACAAGCGACTATCCATGGTGCATATGACAGGCAATTTAGTCATGGTGTAATTGACAGGAAGATGTATCCATGCTTCTAAGGTGAAGCTGAGAGTCAGGTCCAAGGCTTGGATAGAAGGAAGGATGACGTAATCATCCAAGCCGTCAAACCTCAAAGCTTGGTTGATTCTGAAAACAAAAGAACCAGGATGAGGGTAAAAGCCCCTGTCACACATTCACGGTTTGGAGCTACGGATTTTCACGGTTTGAAATTCGTGATAAACCGTGGGAGTACCGTAATCATCCTTAGTCCATCCGTGATTATCCGTCATCTTCCTTGGGTTTTCGTGGAGGGGCTACGGAAGGTTGAAACTGTTCATAACTTCCGTGGTGAACCGTCATGAAAATTAATCCGTAGTGCAACCGTGGGACATCCGTAGGACAACCGTACTTATTCGTAGTGTTATTCGTGGCTCATTCGTGCATATTTTTGGAGATTCGTAGCTAATTCGTGGTAGAAATCTGTACGAATTCGCTACGAATGTCCTACGGATATGCACGATGTGCTAGGATTCTACTAAGGTTGTATACTACGAATATGCATGCTTTATTTGTAGGAGAACCTTGGCATCGGTGACCCAATCGCAGACAACCGTGGCGTTAACGTCATTATTGTTAATACCGTGGATATTTTTCAACAATCCGTCTGCATTCTTGACAAACCGTGGTGTATTAGTAGGGAAACCGTATGACAGCCGTGACTAGCCGTCCTGAAACCGTAGTACATTCTAAGAAAGCCGATTTCTCCACGAATCTCGACGGTTCATCATGATTGATTAATTCTTGGTCAACATTCGTGGCTCCAAACCGTGAATGTGTGACTGGGGTTTAAGAGACCTCAGGAGGAGACCAAACCGGGAGAGTTTAATTTACGAGTCCCAAAAAAATACCATGTGTTTCTGGTTGCTCATGGTTAGAAGATATTCTGATTGGTAACGTTTCTAACTGCTTCTATATTAGTTGAACACGATTCAGTTGTTAGAACAACACTCTCTGGAGTGCTGAAATTTACTACCTTACGGAGACATGAACACAATAGGGAACAAAAGATTGTATACGTCTCCAGAAGAACATTTCTATAGATGAATACGTCTCCACAAGAATTTCACGAAATAGATATATGGATTTTACTCAAAAACTAGGAATTTCCAAGGTGGGTTGATTTGTCGCAAATGGAAGAGTTTTAGAAAAGGGATATTTAGTCCAAATTTCAGCCCAGGAAATTAACTCTGGTTAAAATAAGAGCATTTTGAAACTTCAATTGCAAACTCGAAAACTTTACTACACGAGAACAAAGAAATGTCTCCACAGGAATACAAATTCCAGAATGGGTGTTCTTGTAGATGTGTGAAGTAACTGGCTGTGTTCACTTTGAAATTTTGATCCGTAGAGCATTGAAGGAACACGCATTCATGTGCATACCAGTTCTTTACTGGTGAGAGAAACGTTTGAAGTTTTAGTTCCGATTAATGGTCGGTTCATATATCAGCGCGAAAACGAAAGCGAACACGCATAAGTGACGTAGCGGCAAGTATTCGGGCTGCAATTTGGGGGAAAAAAACATTTCAACTCCGGCCAATTTCGCAGCGAACGCGTCCTTATTTCGAATTCGCCTCCCGCCATCGCAATTTCGCAGTAAATGCGTCCTTATTTCGAATTCGCCTCACGTTCTTCACGCAACGAGAACCAAAATTGACATTCAGAAAATATTGGCAGCGGAATTTGCGCAATATTATTGAAAGGTGCGAATTCACAGCCGATCGAATTCGTAGTGCATGTACGTGCTGTGTCGTCACAAATTCACAATCGCTTTCGCAATCTCGCCAACTATAAATCGGCCCTTACCTGTCGACACATTTGTAGGAAAGGTCCGACCAAATGACATCTGGCTGATTGTACACGAAGACTCCAAGCCTTCCACCGGCGTATGTAGTATCGTACAGGTCTCCTGAATCGACCAGGATACCAGCAGCTGCTTCGATCAACACCCTGCGTCCAGGTAAAACATGACAAGCAGACAATAATGGAACTGGTATTTCGTTTAGTTAAACAGTGATTTCATTATCACGCATGCGTAACTATGGACGGGTCAAAGCGGCACGCCCCCTTGAAGCCTCCCCGAGCATTCGTTTATGAACAAGTCTTGGTGACTTTTCTCAAGTTGAATTACCAATTGTCCCTTTCTTTAATACATTATGAAGTTCTAGATCGGTGTGTTTAATTGTCAAAGCAAAACAATAACGGAACTAACTTTTTAAAAATTATTGAAAATCACATGTAAAAAATATAAAGCTACCTCATTATGCTCACAAATCACACACAATTAGGTGAATTTAGCCACAAGAACTACGCTTCCTCAATGCTCAATAAAGATTATGTGTAAGAAAAACAGGTTGTTTTAAGATGTCATTTTTAATTAGTACTGTAACGTGCGTCGCCTAGTCGGTCCCTTGCCTCTCTGGCCCAGTCCCGATGGAGTTGAAGCACCTGCGGTTGGAGGCCACAGCACCAAGTGACGAACAGCACTCCCAAATCTGCTCCACCAGGGGAAAGCGCTAACTCAACTGTGTTTGGGATTTAGGGGATTGGGTGGATTAACCTGTGGTTTTGGGTGGATTAGCCTGTGGTTTGGGAGGTTGACCGGTGGCTCTGGGTGGCTGACCGGTGGCTCTGGGTGGCTAACCAGTGGCTTAAGTGGCTTAAGTGGCTCAAGTGGCTCGAGTGGCTCAAGTGGGGGAGACTTACACCCTAATTAGTGACAATTAGACAATAAAACAGAGACAGGAGACTTCTTTGACTTCTTTGGTCCCACCAGGCGAAGAAGTGAGATTTATTCTCTCGAACTGTGCCTTTTATAGGCCAACATGGTCATATACATTCACATACAATAAATGCCCCTCATTACTTAAGTACACAGGGTGCCTCAACCAATGAAAATGCAGTATTGCTTAGTAGATGACTTAAGCCACGCCCATTAACAGCGCTGGCCAATTAAATGCTGATGTTCTAGTATGAGTGACTGGGCACTACAGACAAGTCACTATACAGTTCATGTTAATGTATAAAACGTATAGTTGATGATTCATCACATGACCTCCCCCCAGAGTTTTCAGTCCCTGAAACTGTTGAGTCTTAATTGATTAAAGTTTCCACACAACAACATTTGAAAACTTAAGATTTTGAATCAGAGCCACATCCTTCATTCAGTATTCTTATATAAAGTTTACAATCTTCACAGCTGACAAAGTGGGTTTAATAAAGCTCATAGGCAGCAATATTTGTGCACACAAACCTAGTTTAACAATCATCTTAGAACAACTCTAAAATGGAATGATTAATCCTTTTTATCAACACATGACTTTATATGAAATAGATGACTTTATATAAAATAGATGGCTTTATATAAAATAGATGAGCAACACTTTCAAAATACCTCTATAAAAGCCTTCTTAGTACATGTACATGTATAACAAAATAAAGTGGTTCATATTAAACCAACTCCTTTAGAAATAACTTGGTCCTCAACTTTTAAAGTTTCAAAATTAACTGTAACTTTTATAACAACTGAACATTTCAAACTTTAACCTTTAAAACTCTGTAATTATTTGGAACTTTAACTTTAGAAGTAAAAATCTTGCTTTGCCTCTTTCTGGGAGTGCAATACTCCTCGGCGGAATACCCGGGTGATGGTCGTTACCTCTATGTGATCCGCCATCTCCCCAGCTGGGTCTTCACTTTCCGTGGAGGAGCTCACTTGGGGCACCATCTCAGTGTGAAGCTGCCTAAGCAGCTTCAATGACTTTCCCCCAGTCTTGGGGTGGCCAGTAGCAGTGGAGGTTGAGGGGGAACCACGCGGGGATGGGACAGGGAGGAGTTGCAGCTCCGGCTCCGGTGGCATGATGGACGGAGAATTGGGTGCTCGAGGCTTGGCTGAGGTGGAGCAATCCTTCCCACCATAGTGCAACTGGGACTCGGCATGGCGGTGCAAGCTGGTGTTCCTGGTGAACCGCTCCCCGCACGTGCTGCAAGCGAAGGGCAAGGCCTCCCTATGTCTCTCCTTTTCATGTCGGACCAGGCTGGCTCGAGAGGTGAATTTCTTCCTGCAACCACCCACATGGCAAGGGAAGGAGGTGGTGGCTGGCGGGCGTATCACGGAAATCTTGACCTCAGGCTTCTGGGGATGGGCGCTTGGTGTTGAGCTGCTCTTGTGATGATGACTGCTCGTTCTAGGGCGTTTGCTGGCCCCGTCATCCCCCGGTCGCTTCTCGTCACGCCGCTTGCCGGCCGATGGCTTGTCACCATGGTTGCCCCTAGGCATGGTGGACAGTGGTACTGTACTACTGTAGGTTGTGGAAACGGCGGTGGCTGTGGTGGCTATAGTGGCTGCGGTGGCTGTGGTGGCTATTGTGGCTGTATACAGTGCGATATGTGCGGTCGTAGTTGTGGACGGTTCAAGGTTCAACCACAGAATGAGCTGAGGCATGTACGCGCGCCGTATAGCGTACGCGTCACACGTCCATGCCACGCCCACCCATACATGTCTCGCACGCACAAACGGTACACGCTGTGCGTGGTTGCTATGCAACCACGTGGTGTCTGGTTGATTCCCTTTCAGCACACACATGAAGTACAGGATACCAGTTACAAGTTGCGGCAACGATGACCATTTTAGCAGATTTTTCTTTCTGCTAAATCCTTTTCTTTCTTGTACGGGCTAAACATCGTAATCCTGTAGCCTAGTGGGACGTCGTCGCTGGCGTTTTGGGTACCGCCCGACGGAAATTTGGGTATTTGATGCTGGTTCTTGCTCCTCGTCTTGAATTAGGCCCGTTGTGATATCTTCACTGCCGTTTTCTTGGGTGGAAATGTGTTGTTCTTCCTCGAATTCCTCCGTGCGTTCAGCCGAGGGCTCGAAGTTAGGTTTGCCCCCCTGGCCAGGGTATTCCCCCATGTCGTCTGTGGTTTCTCCAAGTGGATCATCGTCCATCAAGTGAACACCATCTTCATCAGTTGGTGGAGGTTCCTGCTCATCCTCGGTCTCCGGCTCCACAGGAACGCTATCTCTCCCCTCGGCTCGCCATTTTCTTCTCTCTGGGCCTGTGTAGATCTTCAGTTTGTCATAATGCACAACCTTCGGCTTTGATTTTGGTTTCTCCTGTATCCGGAAGGTCACATCTGATAACCTCTTCAGGACTAGATACGGGCCAATCCATTTGAACTGCAGCTTGGGAGACAATCCTTTCTTGCGTGCAGTGTTGTGCAGCCATACAAACATTCCAGCTTGTATCTTGCTACCCGAAACATGGCGATCATAGTTGCGCTTTTGCCTCCGAAGATTTACTTTCATTTTGCTCCGAGCTCTTTGATGTGCCTCACTCAGTTTCTGTCGGAGATTCTTGGCATAGTCAGTCGACATGTGGTCATCACTGTCGTTTGGTAGTTCGGTAAGCGCATGTAGTGGTAGTGCTATCTCCCGCCCCATAAGCATGGTGCAAGGTGACTCTCCGGTGCTTTCTTGAGCCGTACTTCGGTATGCCATCATCGAGTATGCCAACTGGACATCCCAATCCTTCTGGTCTGGCTTTACGAACGGCCCAACCAGATTCACCAAGCTTCGGTTGAATCTTTCAATGAATCCGTCGGACTTAGGGTTCCATGGGCAAGTCCGCGTCTGGTCGATCCCCAGCAATCTGCAAACTTCTTTGAATATGGCAGACTGGAAGTTTGTGCCTTGGTCACTGTGGAGTTCTTTTGGACAGCCATATCTGCAAATAAATTGCTCCACCAGAGTTTCTGCTATGGTCGGTGTCTTCTGGTCTGGCAGTGCGTACGCCTCAATCCACTTCGTAAATGGATCTCCCACAACTAGTACATACGCGTTGCCTCGGTCGCTCCTGGGCAGGGGGCCCATAACATCCAGAGCGATTCTCTCCATCGGTGCGCCAACCGTGTATTGTTGAAGGGGAGCTCGGGGTTTCTTGCCCGATGATTTCCTCCTTGCACACACTGTGCATTGTCGAACCTTGGAACGCACATCGGCCGATACTCCTGCCCAGTAGTACCTTTGTCGGACCTTGTGTAGGGTCTTGCGCACTCCTTGGTGACATGCCGTTTTACTATCATGGAGTTCATCCAGGACACTTTCCCGCAGGCATGACGGCAAAATTACTTGCAACTTACATTGCCTTCCGTCATCTGTCTCAAAGCGTCGGCATAGAGCTCCCTGTTGCATCTTCAGCTGTTGCCACTGGGCCCAATATGTTTTGGTTGCCGCTGACTCAGTGGAGAGAGATTCCCACTCTGGTCTGTCCCCTCCATTCTCCTTAGCTCTGACAATAGGTCCAATCGTAGGATCACCCAACTGTTTCTCCCTCAGTTCCTTCAGCGTCCATTTTGGTGAGAGACTTATCATTCGGGTCCCACGATCTGCATTCACCCCTGTCGTCGGTACGTTTTGTTGGCCTTGACTTTTCCCTTCTGTCTCCTCCTGTCTTCCCTCGTTCCGAGGATCGCCAATTGCCGAATCTTCTGGGCAACTAATTCTAGGCATCTCCACCTGGTCCTTTTCGTTCTGCTCCATACCTCTTCCGCACTGCTTACATGGCATGCGGGAGAGTGCATCGGCATTCTGGTGGACTCGACCTGGCCGATGTTGGATCGTGAAGTCGTACTCACTCAAGATCTCCATCCATCTAGCCAGTTGTCCTTCTGGGTCACGGAAGTTTAGCAACCATCTCAAGGCTCCATGATCGGTTCTGATTACAAAGTGTCGACCATACAGGTAATGCCGGAAGTGCTTGACAAATGTCACAACGGCCAGGAGTTCTCGCCTCGTGACGCAGTAATTCCTTTCTGGCTTTGACATAGTGCGGCTGGCATATGCAACGACTTTCTCCACACTATCATGTTTTTGGGATAGCACAGCTCCCAGGCCTGTGCTACTGGCATCCGTGTCTAGTACAAACTCTCCTCCTTCTTCGGGGTAGACTAGTATGGGTGCTGATGTCAACTGTGTCTTCAGAGTGCGGAAAGCAACCTCGCAGTCCTCTGTCCACAGAAACATCCGGTTCTTTTCCATAAGTCGGTGCAATGGTTGGGCAATCTTGGCAAACCCTTGAATGAAACGTCGGTAGTAAGAAGCCAATCCAATGAAACTCCTTACATCTTTGGTGGACCGAGGTGTTGGCCATTCCTCCACAACTCTCACTTTCTCGGGGTCCGTGGCTACGCCCTCACTAGATATCACATGTCCCAGGTAGGCTACCGATTGTTTGAAGAGGCTACATTTCTTCGGCTTTAGTTTGAGGTTGGCCTGTCTCAGCCTCCGGAAGACTTCCTCAAGTCTCCCTATCTCCTCATCCACCGTCTTGGCGAAGACCACGATGTCATCTAGGTACAGTAGTAGTGTTTCCCACTGAAGCCCGGAGAGAATCCTTTCCATCAGCCTCTCGAATGTAGCCGGGGCGTTACAGAGGCCAAAAGGCATGACCTTCCACTGGTACAGTCCTCCTCTAGTAACGAAAGCTGATTTGGCCTTGGCATCCTCATTTAGTTCCACTTGCCAGTATCCACTAGCCAGATCTAGGGCACAAAACCATTGTGCCCCTGCTAGCGAATCTAAGCTGTCGTCCACCCTGGGTATCGGGTATGCATCTTTCAGTGTGTGTTCGTTGAGAAACCGGTAGTCCACGCAGAACCGGGTGGATCCATCTTTCTTCTTCACTAAGACGACTGGAGATGCCCATGGGCTATTTGATGGCTCGATTATCCCCTTCTGTAGCATGTCTTGTACCTGCTCGTCCGCCTCAGCCCGTTGCCAGGTAGGGAGACGTCTGGGACGTTGGCGTATGGGGGCCGTATCATCTGTCCTGATCTCGTGACGCACCAGGTCCGTTTTCCCCAGGTCTCCCGTGCCCTTTGAGAAAACGTCTTGATACTCGATGAGTAGCTTCTTCACCTTGTCTCTATCTGGACTCTCCAGTAAGTTCTCAACACTCTGTTGGTACAGATCGGTGAGATGTTCTGGAAGCTCTTGACCAGCCTTGTTCTCTGCTGTTTCTTCCCCTCTTTCCATCATCCTAATCGTAGATCGATCATCTTTCTGAATGTCCTTATCAGCCGTGGATGTGATGGTCCCCAAGACACTTCCTCCACTTATCATCACAATTGTAGTACTTGGGTTGAACACTCGAACCGGGTATTTATCTGCAGTGGCATCCACAAGTACCCTCGCTACCATCAGACCTCGTTTTGCCACCTTACTCCTGTCATTTGGCTCGATGATCCCCCATCCATGGAGGTCTTTCTTCTCGTCCAGGACACCAGTGATGATTGCTTCATGCCCGGGTGGTATCCTTGTAGTCCTGTCTGCTCGCACTCGGCAGCTGAAAATGCTTGTCTGATCTTTTCCTTGTAAAGGAATTACATGCTCCCCAATCTTCAATTGCCGATGCCTCAAGTCCAGTACACTGCCAGTTGTCAGAAGGTAATTCATGCCGAGTATTCCTTGGTTTCTGATGGATGCAACCAAGACTTCCACCTCCGCTTTATATCCTCCAATTTGTATCTCCATCTGGGCACTTCCTTTTACTGGGAGTGGTTTCCCATCGGCTTGGCGGATAACTTCATCGACCGGTGTCAGTATAGGTCTGGTTTCTCGATCCATCAGGTTGTACTCTTTTGTGTCTATCAATGTCTCTGACGACCCAGTGTCTATTAGGAATGGCAGTGGATGTGTCCCAATTTCACCCGGCACGAATACCCCATATGAAGCAACTTCACTTGGTAGTGGTACTGGGTGGAGCTGCTTCCTTGGAAGTTCTCCACCATCCTCTACTTTTTCTGGATCTGTATCACAGGTTTGGGGTCTTGTGTTGCCGACCTTCCCACGACCCCCTGGGTTGGTCCGGAGTCGTTTCCCGACGGTGCGCTGTTCTTCAGTTCAGGGCAGTTTCTCTTAAAGTGCCCCGTGTTTCCACAGTGGTAGCAGGCTAGTTTTTGACGCTTCTGTTCGAAGTCGGCTTGTTCAGGGCGCCGTGTGTCATTCTGCATTGCTTGAGTTAGCCCGGCCAACATCTGATGCACCTGCCTCAGTTGCTCCGACATTGCCCGTGTTTGCCTTTCAAACTCATCCCTTGAGACAATCTCCACTTGTCTTGTGACTCGATTGTTTCTGTCTGGGCGACCACCCTGGTTTCGCTGCCGTTGTCTCTCCGCTTTCAGAAAAGACTCGGTCTCCAGCGCAGCTCTGATCGCCTCATCCAACGTCTTAGGGTGCGCTCTGAAGATTCCCGCTCTAATTTCTGCATCGGGTATGGCATCCACCAGATACCCTCGTGCCAGACGCTCTCTGCTATCTCGGGGCAGCTCAGGATACGCCAGCTCCGTGAGTCGACGTATTCCCTGCCCCAGCGCTTGCAAACTTTCGTTTTCTGTCCTTGTTCTGCTCCTAAGCTCGGCTAGGTACGTTTCGGCTTGCTCACCAGGCCCATAACGTCTTTCTAGTCTTGCTGTTAGCTCCGCATAGGTCAGCACTTCTCCAGTAGCCCTGTCTCCCAGCACTTGCTGTGCTTGACTCTTGAGACTCGCTGCCAGGAAGAAAGCTTTGTCCTCTGCCGTCCAGCTATTAATAACTGCACATGACTCAAAATGAGATTTGTAGTCTCTCCATGGCACCACCCCGGCGAATCGATCCGGCACGATATTTGGCTTCCGATGAACTCTGCTGGTTCCTTCTGCCCCTGCAATTGCTGCTCTCTTGGGTGGATCCTGCCCCTTTTGTTCAGGCAGAGTTTTCTTTTCTACTGATCCTTTCTCTCCCGGATCCACTGGTTTCCTCAGGTGCTGCCCTGTGCTCCTGACTTCTTCCACCACCCGCTGTGGTGCTGTGCACGTCTGATGTCCAGGCGCCTCTCCCAACCGCTGCTGCAGATTACACCTCGCATCAAACGCCGACTGTGGGGTGTTTAAGCTACCTGGCATTTCCCCTGGAGCCTGCATCCTTGGCCGGGCCGAAGGCCATCCAGACTCCACCAGACCATCGCTCGTTCCAGTAGGTCTCTGCCGTCGAACCTCTGCTGGTTCTACTCCACCCCAATCAGTCAAACTCCGGTAGACTGGCTGCTCTACCACCCCCGGTCCCCATGTCACTGGTGTTGACATGAATCTTGCCTGAGGAAAGGCCTCCGCTGTGCCGACCGTAGGCGTCATCACTTCCCCAACTCTTCCGGTCTGTTGGAAGAGCTTTTGTGCCGTCACTGGCTCCTGCGCCCTGATGCCAACACCCGGCATCCTCTCGTCAGATCTTGCCGGTGTCAATATAGGAGGCGATGGTGTTACCGCAGGGTGTAGCCTAATGCTTGCTCTGCTGGTCACCCTGGCCGGTGTCGTCTCAAAGTATCCCACACTTTCTTCCAACATCCTGTCTCTGCTGTCCATTGTTGCTGTGACTAGTGGTTCTCCACGTCCACCCTGAATTCCGTTATCCTCAAATCACTGCTTCTGGTAGATCAATTCTGACCACTCTCACCCTGTGGTTCCTTTGGCTAGCTGTCCCGTCACTCTCAGTGGATCCCACCGCTGCCACCAATGTAACGTGCGTCGCCTAGTCGGTCCCTTGCCTCTCTGGCCCAGTCCCGATGGAGTTGAAGCACCTGCGGTTGGAGGCCACAGCACCAAGTGACGAACAGCACTCCCAAATCTGCTCCACCAGGGGAAAGCGCTAACTCAACTGTGTTTGGGATTTAGGGGATTGGGTGGATTAACCTGTGGTTTTGGGTGGATTAGCCTGTGGTTTGGGAGGTTGACCGGTGGCTCTGGGTGGCTGACCGGTGGCTCTGGGTGGCTAACCAGTGGCTTAAGTGGCTTAAGTGGCTCAAGTGGCTCGAGTGGCTCAAGTGGGGGAGACTTACACCCTAATTAGTGACAATTAGACAATAAAACAGAGACAGGAGACTTCTTTGACTTCTTTGGTCCCACCAGGCGAAGAAGTGAGATTTATTCTCTCGAACTGTGCCTTTTATAGGCCAACATGGTCATATACATTCACATACAATAAATGCCCCTCATTACTTAAGTACACAGGGTGCCTCAACCAATGAAAATGCAGTATTGCTTAGTAGATGACTTAAGCCACGCCCATTAACAGCGCTGGCCAATTAAATGCTGATGTTCTAGTATGAGTGACTGGGCACTACAGACAAGTCACTATACAGTTCATGTTAATGTATAAAACGTATAGTTGATGATTCATCACAGTACACATGTTGTAGGCCGAAGAACGCAGGTATCCACATCCACGCTCGCTGAACTCGAGCCAACGGCTCCTAGAATCGCTTACCTTATCAGCCCGATGTCGGGACGGTGTCGAAGAGTCCATCGATATCCTGTGCTAAGGTCCCACCCTTGTAATAGTGGATCGTGCCAAATTAACTCCACCTCATTGGCCGTTGTATACGAGTGGTATATTGCATCGGACAGTGTCTGGCCTGGCCCACTGGACGAGTGCACTTTCTGATGAAATAGGTAATTACAGATGTTTAAATTCATTGATACATCATCAGTACAGGAGTGAGTGACATTGTCTTTAAAGTGTATTGACTTTCATTTTAAGCTGATGTTATCTTTCCTTCGATAACAATGTTGTCTATATTAACCCTACATTTAATAGTTATTCTTTTCCCCCGTGATAATTATGAGACGCATGATGATTTTACCTTAACCTGAAGACCTCGTATTCCCGCCATCGCATTCGCATTGTTCATATTTTCCCGCCGCCACATCACCAGATAAAACTTCCTGTTGCTTTGGTAACCGAACACGAAGCCGATGTACCCGTTCCCTTGGCCCGGGTTGTTGACGAAGAAGGTACCGGAGTAGTCGAGTGCAGCCAGGGCGTGTTGTCCAATCAGCATACACGGTGTAACGGTCGATGAAAGTTGTCGAATTTCCCGACCCTGCCATCAAAATGAATTAGTTATCAAATTCTTATCAAAATCCTTAAAAGTAACCTGCCACTGTGAACTATATCGCAATGAAGGCGATAATAATCACTAGATATCAGGTGTGAGGCTTACACACACCCATTCGCCAACTAAATCGGCGAAACCTACAAGTATATCTCGTAGTTATATGTCACAAATGCGAAATACTCGCTGCACGAGGTATTGGGGCCTACCTCAACTCGCACAGTGAGATGTTATCATATGCCGCAACAAGATTTGTTTTGTCTTGGTTAACAAAGATCGAAACATCAGTCAATCATTTCCCCATTATTTCGACCGTTTTGGCTGTACGTGGATATTTGTTTTGGATCAAATGATAATGGCGCATACTTGCCCTTAAATTACCCTTAGTTCGTATCCTGCTGTGCACAATGCCGGCACCGAAGCCGTCAACGTTATCACCGTCACTACATGCCCGGACCTACTGCTTCTGAACGTGAACAAAAACTAACTCTCCGTCTTGAAATTTCACGGAAACGAGACATTTAGAGACGCCCAACTTTTTTTTTCATTTGAAAAAAAAGTCAATGAACTGTAGACCTACGTAAATGGATCAGAACAGTAATTTTACACATTCGTGATATTTTAACGGGCACAAAAATGTGATACGAAAATTGTCTTGGATTTAAAATGTAATCAGATGAATATCTTACATTGTCTGTAATACTCCACTTTGATGTATTCCCTCCATTGTTTGATGGGTCCAATTCCACGGAGATAAAGTTCACCGAGAAATCTGAAGTCTGGTATCGGTTACTCCTCGGGCAGATATCTTCACTGTCTATGGTCCCATCACCGTCTTGGTCGGACTCGCAAGCGTCGGGTAAGTTATTTCCTGTCAATTACGAAATATGTCAAGATCAGATTCTTTTGAAACTATAAGCTTCTTTTTGTGGAGGGCATCGGACTCTAGTCCTCGGACTCGACTCAGAATACATACACAGTCTTAGAAACTCACATGAACCTACAAATGAAATTGTTGGTCAAGTGTGTTTTGTGTATAAAAGTATTTGTATCTAAAGTTCGTTGAACCCACCATTCAGATCCTCCTGTCTTGGGTTGGGAACCAGTTGGCAGTTATCCTCAGCATCATTGATGCCATCACCATCCTTGTCATCATCACAAACATCCCCTAGTTATATAAAAGACAAACTATACTGAAATAAATTGATTACGTCAAGGGCAACATCAAAAGTACATTTTCATTTAACCTGGTGCAAATGCAAACACTCCTTATAATACAACCTGAAATGTTCAGACGGGGCGTGGACAAATCGAAATGCAGCTGAGGGTGGGGGCTGGTCATAGCTTTGATGAACGTATTGAGTGCTGTACATAACCACATTTCACGCCAATTTCCGGAAGTGTCTGAATTTTGCGTTCAGGAAAAATAACTGCTCCACAAGTAAATATATTTGAGAGAAAAATCGATAGAAAATATAGGGGAAATGCCTCTGCTGGGAAACCGGATTATGTAGCTGGTGATTACTCACCTATCCCGTCTAGGTCAGTGTCTGTCTGATCAGCATTGGGTACACTGAAACAGTTATCATCCAGATTCAGTACGCCATCACCGTCACTTCAAAATAGAGTAACGAAATGAAGAAAAAGTCATTAACAATTATTAAAAAATATAAATATATTTAAAACATGAAAATTCTGAATTCAGAGCAACAACAACTATTAAACTAGGTTCAATCTTATATGTTTCAGAAATTAAAGTCGTAATTTTGTTTTTCCTTAAGAGAGTTGAAATGTGAGAACCGGTTGTTTTCTCGACGTTTTGGGCAACACACTCTGTCCGTATTTTATTGGGGAATGCTTCGGACATACAGTCTCCTTTGGATATTTTCCTGACTAAGGTTAGGGTATACCCAAAAAAACCGAAACAAATGACACTCACAACCTCACACAGATTGATATTTAACCGGGGGTCATCCATAAATGTTCAAATTTAGTGATTAAAAATGAGGAGGTAAAGCCCTTTTCCCTCTTTTTATAGAAGTGATCTGTTTGGTTGGTTGAGTGCAAAGTGCTCAAGTATTCCCATTAAAAAACACTGTCTTGCTAATTCGAATATCCGATCGAGTTAACAAATTATCGTTTATAGCTTTATGATTTCTTCATCTCTATACTAAGTAGTTGCTCGCCTTACTTGTCACTGTTTGTAGCCCCAACTGGGTCGCAAGGATCACTGTATCCGTTCTGGTCGGTGTCGACCGTGTCTGAGCTGGAATCATCAGGGCAGGAATCACAAGCATCCCCGATACCATCCGAGTCTCTGTCTGCTGACTGGTCTTCATTAGCGGTCAACGGACAATTGTCTGCCGTATCGTTGTGGCCTAAGCAAATAAGAAAACCTCACTTGAATTCATCTTCACGAGCCTATCACACCTAAAATGTGAAACGGCAAACTATTTACATCTACGGATGAATATCATACAATGTTTAAAATTACCGAAACAAGTGGAAGTGATTTTTTTTATTGACCGGCAAAAGAAGTATTCTGGGGAAACAATATTAGAGGACTAATGAACGGGAGCTTTGCGGTAACACCATGTGAGTGATAAGTTGTGTGGTTCTAAGAAGAGCCAGTTGATTTAACTCTACGCTTCGAACAGAGTGCTCTGTTCATCATCAGGAGATTGCTGCACTCTTGTTGGTGTAGTAGTTTAAGTAGTGGATGCTTAATTTAGTGGACCGTTAAGAGGGAGATTCTTAAACAGGATTAGAGTCCAATTGTCATATATATATAGTGACTGCTGTCAATTATTGTTTAGAATCTTAGCAATACTAATCCTCCATTGTTATACATACCATCGTTGTCATCGTCCAGGTCGCATTCATCTCCCAGTCCGTCATTGTCATTGTCTTCCTGGTCTCCGTTGACATCGTCAGGGCAATTATCACAAATGTCACCCACACCGTCACCGTCGCTGTCCTCCTGCAGGTAGTTCTTGATGTATGGACAATTGTCCTTAATGTCATGGACACTGTCGTTGTCATCATCCTCGTCACACACGTCCCCTAACTGATCCCGGTCGTTATCTTCTTGGCAACGGTTCAGAATCTTGGGGCAGTTATCCTGTTAGTAAAGGGAAATCGCACTGAGTAAATGCGCGGAATTGTTGTACACTTAGACCATTTCAATTAGTTATACGCCTACAGTTGCTATAAAGCACTTAACATTTTAATCCTTAACGTTTGACACAGAAAAAGAAATACAGTATCCATAATAGCAAAGTTAGTCTTATCGATCCTAAATTGGCTCCCACTTTTTTTCGGTTTAATTATCACCGTGTGATGCCTGAATTGAGCACGTCCGGTATAGAGTACATGTACACCAAGGTTTTTGTGGGTAGCGGAACAACCAACTCACCGCTTTGCATGTTTCTTGTGAGCAGGCAAGACTCAATGATGGACGGCCATCCCAGTCTGCATCTGAACCACACAGAAGTCCGTTACCTGCCCAGCCACTGCGACACTTTGCTCGGCAAAAAAAATAATAAAAAGTAGTCGGAAGTGATACATAAAAATGCACGGGATACATTGCGAGAAAGTGATATTTTAAGGGGTTCTAAAGAAAACACACAAGAAGGGAAGTGCTTGATTATTTCCCAACGGCAGTCAAGTTCGAATCCTGTCTGGGCCAACATTTGGATTGGGTTTTCAGTCCCTGCCTGATTCCGTGGGTTTTTCCCAGAATATTCTTCTGGGGTTTTCCTCCTAAATGTAGTGTAATTTCTTCTCATTGTCTTCTCTCAACAGGTTTCGTCAGGCTTGCAAAGCCTAAGGCGCTTTTGAGGAATCCTTGGTTTCATAACCTGCTATAATTAAAAATAATAATAATAATAACAGGTGAATTTTCTATGGTATAGTTATCAGATGAATGCCAATTATGTCAAAGCAGAAGCCAAAGGCTAGCCATGCATTTACATAAATTTACTTCAATAATTACCATTACTTTTGTAAATTGTAAATAAAGTGGAAATTGAGAACAGACAAAGACTAGAGTTGATTAGTCGAGCATACTCGGCATTTGTAGGTTCCAGCCCCTGTAGAGATACAGTCAGCGTGAACGTGACACCCATTCTTCCCAGTCACACAGAAATCTCCTGGACTGCATCCAATCACGCCGTTACCAAAGTAACCAGCAGGACACAAACCGCATCTGAAGCTTCCCTGAGAATTTGAATAGAAAAGTATTGACTAAGTAGCTCTTTGCAACCAGATAATCCAAACTATTTTCTTTCCATGATTTTTATGACCAGAGGCAATCATATCATGTACATCCCACACCATTTTGTGATGTAAACCCCAATTCAAAACTAGGAAATGTCACCAGATTTATGTCAATCGCAACAGCATTAGGGAGCGATAATAAGGGAATATAATTATGTGTGCTTGGCCGGGTTTAAACACTATTTTTAAGACCGGTTTGGAGTCTGTACGCTGATAATGACCCGAACCGAATCCCATTCATAAATACCTTTTCGGTCAAAGAGTCAAGAGAAGTTACAAAAATATTAATGTCAAAAGATTTTGTTCAACAATTTTACTTCAGGCTTTTTTAACAGCCCTCTAGCTATGTATAGTATGTGCCTCACGAGTAGTCGTAAAGAACTCCTTATATGGAGATTGGCGCGTAATGAGCGATGTGGCGCAGAACGCAGCTGCAACGGTGTGATATGAAAATTAGACTCCTGTGCAAATCGGACTCCGTTTTCTTCCTATTGGTTAAACGCTCTCACGTGACCGGTCCCTCTCCTAATTATCTATACATAAGCATGCGCAATACCACCAATGAGTCCGTATTTCATAAAACCCAAATTTATGCTAAACCGGTGTAGTGTGAATTTAGGGATTACGAAATACCGACTCATTGGTAGGTTTGCGCACGTCATAAAAGGGTAAAAGGGACTAGATTTCAAAGGAGTCTCAATTTAATGTGACACTGGAAAAGTGTTTCAGCCCAGCCAGCCGGTGTTTTCACCGTTTAAAACCGGCCACGTGACGGGCTTTCGAACAATAGCAATGGGTAAACCATATTAGTTATTTATAGATAATTATTAATTTCGGTCCAGATAAAATAAATACAATCTTAAAGACGACTGATATTTGAATACTCACGACTGAATTAATGCACTCAGATAATGGGTGACAACCTCCGTTGCCAGCTGCACATTCATTGATGTCTACACATGTCTGAAAACAACAAAAAATATTACAAAAAAAACCGTTATTTTGAAGCTATATGAAATTATTAAGAAAATCTTCAACATGCACTATAACTTAAAGGGATTCTCTAAAAGAAAATGTTTGTGTTTTTTAATCTAGGAGCAATTTCTGTTGAAAATAATTCAGTCAGAATTGACAATTTGCTTCGCAAAACGGGAGGTGTTATAAAGTCCGAGTTTAAGATTTGGCGCAATCGATGATTTCGCCGAGAAAATTTAGTGAGGTCAAATTTGCATTGCATTTACAGTTACAAAAAAGAACAACCACCCTTATATTCAAACTTAAGAAAAGAGCCGTATAGGTGAGATCGTATTAAAGTGCAGGCATTAAGTTACTTCCTTTTCGTAAAATTTTGCTTTCATTGTTTACAAATAAATTGATCAATTAGTTAATTTTCTTTCACTTCTACAAATCTTTCATAGAAATTATCGTTAAAAAAAATAAAAGACAAATTATCACAAATGATACAGGCCTAAAGTTACATGAAATGTTGTTCACTGTTCGGGAGAGGAATGATTGTCCTTCTCCGTCAAGACATGTTTACATGTATACCCACGTCATGGTTTGGGCACGTACCTGGTTTTTGCTTCTTTCTGCATGTGTTATACCTATCCCATGTGGAGTGTAGCCTTGGTAGCCTGGTGGGCAGCCTCCGCACTCATATCCGCCTAATAGATTTCTGCAGGAGTCAGGGTCCCAGCACGGATTGGTGGTGGCGCACTACGAACACAATTGACCATCACACATCGGTAAACTTATGTCAAACAAATGTCTACCCTTGATTATTTTGAGATATGCTAACTTTATAAATATGATATTAAAACACACACACGAAGTACTAGAAACATTCTCGACATCAAGCCTTCTATGCAGCAATGTTTGGAGTTGGGCCATTTTATTTCAGTTTGCTCAAATCCGTACTTTGTGAGAAAGGCCCAACCATTTGAAATTGTGAGGCTCAACTGTGTGTATTTTACTAACTTGTTCAATTGCTTTCAATGTATAGAGAGATGAAAAGCACAAACTTTCTACATTTTAAAGGCCCAATTAAATAACGTCGTGACCATTTATAGATAGCACGTATTAATACAACTTTTTAATATCTTTAAAGGCAATTTGTTTGAAAATCTTAATCGAGGATGGTTGAGTTTTTCAAGTTGAATTAGTTTTACAGCTTCTCCTTCCTCTAAAAATAAAACCTACGTGTGCAAGCGCAAGCAAGTCTAAGACGTGAGATAACACCTGTTCCAACCTGCCAACCTCCTGCCGGATATAGGCCTGTCTGTGCCCCCTTACCTCGTCTATATCAACACACGTGATTCCATTCCCCTCATAGCCTCTGGGACATTCCAGACACTCAAATGATCCATCCCCGGTATTGACACAAGTAGCTCCAGGAAAGCATGGGCCTGGCTCATTGAAACACGGACCTAATGCAAAATATGAAATAAATACAACATTTATTGAGGCAACAGCCGTTAAAATTGTTTTTCTCCTTATTATAAGGCATAATTCTAGAACGATGAGGGAAAACTATAAGTAACACAGCTTAACGTCTTCGTACTTTGGGACTGAAAGTAAACGCTTTTGGAAAACACTAATCTTTGACGCCATGAATGGTCGTCTGTTACAACTGACAATGTAGTAACCAACGGATAACGTATCACCAACCGATAATGTATCACAAATTGACCAATATTGTATCACTAACCGATAATGTAGCACGAATTTACTGATAGTGTAGTACAATTTGTATCCGATAATGTATCACGTGTCGACGGATACGTACAAAACGTTTGCTACATTATCGGTTAGTGATACAATATCGGTCAATTTGTGATACATTATCGGTTGGTGATACATTATCCGTTGGTTACTATATTATCAGTTGTAACAGTCGTCACACAGCCAGTGTCCTTTAGGACTTCGTCATTTATTTGAGCAGGATTCATCTCTAGCAAGCTACGTGGCTCTTCTGATATGAGGGGCTTGTAGTGAGCACAGTGATTTGCAATATGGAAATGCCTCATCATCATCATGATAATATTGTTCCCCTGGTTGTCCCTCTATAGAAGCGTCGCGAGGAGGGGAGGGGGGGGTCGCCGAGGGGGGGGGGGGGGGGGGGAGTCGCCGGGGGGCCGCAGGCAGTCATGGTGATAATTTCGCTTGCCTCCCCCCCCCCGGAAAAGCGAAGAAAAGGGGGAGGGAAACACAAAAAAGAGGTGTAAAGACATATTGCAATTCATTTAATGCACATTTAACGAAATGGGCGTCTGCAGGGGTGTCAATGGGGTGGGGTGGGCAAATGTCCTCCCGCCAACCCTCGAACAATTCTTAATTGAGGATATAGGGAAAGAACAAGTGTTTTGGGGGGATGTGCTTGCCTCCCTCTAAAAAAAATCCTGGCGACGCCCACGTCCAGAGGATACGATTGTTGCATCCATCTACACTGTCTATTTTCACAGCCCTGCGTGGTATCGCTCAATGCGACCTCCACATCTTGTATGCAGTGCACTCAGTGCGACATCCCTACAGGAAATCGCTTCAACAGCAGTCATCAGAGATTACAGCTCAACCTCCAGTAATGAGTCGAACCACAGATTTGTTTCAGTATACATGCGTAGTGAGACAAATTTAGTGATTCAGTGCCCATCATGTAAAGTGAACATAACACGAAATAAAGGTCCAAGCTAGGGGGTAACTGAACATACCGGTACGAATGTTGCTGGAAATATCAATTCAACAGTGATTTCAGTGGGTCAAAATTAATCAATTAACCAAATGCTTTCCTTACACTAGCTACTCAAACTGACTATTGTCAATGTGAACGAGTTTCACCAATTTGAGTTTTTAGAACTCACAGAATGTCTGACTGGTACAGCCTTGACACATACTGCCATCTCCGAGAGAGTAGGTTGAACGACCACACGGACTACAGCCAGCTTGGCCGCGTGCGCTCCCGTAGCCGGCCGGACAGTTCAAGCAAGACTCTTGGGCTGGCTGGTTCTGGAAGGTTCCCGGCGGACAAATTTGGCAGAATTCTTCTTCAAATAACGACAAGAAAAGCAAAATTGGGGTCATGGTTCTCATTTAAGTATAACGTCTATGCAGTAGATTCCAAAACACGCAAGTCTAAAGCAGACTTTGTTGCCAGCAACTCAATTGCAACCGAGAGCTAAATTCCATGTATGCTCTATATCTACCCGCGCGTAAATTCCACAGTATGATGAAATACAATTATTGAAATAGATGATCGTATTCAGTGGAATTAAACATTTACAGCATTATGTGAGCATAACAATTACTTATAAAATCAACCCGCCAGCATATGTACTTGACTCTCATAATATTAAAAAAAAATTCTCTAAAGAAACGTGGAAAGAAATATTTTAAATTCAAAAGAAAATAAATTAAAATGTTCCTGTTAAATAGTGTCTTTGACAAACTGTTGCTGATTGCAAGCTAATGACAGTCCACTTGATAAGCAATCGAGGACAAACCTGAATGGACTCCTGAGTAGAATCCAGGAGGACAGATAGACTGGATCCCTCTGAAGCACACGGTGCCAGGATCGCACAGTGCGCACTCAGCTGGACACTCCTATCATAGAACAAGACATGCACAGGTTCAGTTCTGATTCTAAAGGTTACCGAGGTAAGGGACCGTGACCATTCAGCCCTGGTATGAAAAGGGCCCCCCGGTACCTCGTCCGGTCCAAAGCCAGTCCGGTCTTCAGCCCAGTCTCGTCTGGTACATGGTCCTGTCTGACCAGAAGTTTTGAAGTCAGTCAGGCGCATCAATTTATTGCCCTTTAGAGAATGTCCAGAGCAGAACAATAGCAGACTTACCGGATTAAAGATAACATCCTTCCATAACGCCTTGGTAATTTACGGTCCCATTGTGCGCGAAACCGCATGGCAGGGGTTTTGATCTGTGCCGACGAAAGTGTTCTATTGTTTCGCGCTGAGAGATGAAAACCACAAGCGGGTTTCTTCTGGGATGTATTACATGTGTCAATACTTGCAAACAATAGACCCCAGGATAGAGGAGTTCCTGATTAGCAACCGGACCAGCTCCTGGGCTGGTAGCTGGGACGGTACGAGAGGACTTCTTGGGAGGGGACGAGCTTACTGGGGGGCCCTTTTCATACCGGGGCTGAATGGTCACGGGCCCTAAGTCCTCTCAATCGGTAAGAAGTAAGGGAGAAAAACAAAAAACTTACCATCAATATAAAGCACTGGAACGTGCCAGGTATGCAAGAAATCTTTACTGTTAACATGCGATGAGGAGCCTGGAACTAAAATGTCAAGCTTGACAAAATTGATGTCGAAAGAATCCCCCCTATTCAGTTTTGTAAACACTGATTGATATTCAAACAGAAAATTCACAATACGCAGGAAAAGGGTCATAATCCAAACAAAGTTTTTCATTAAGACCTTGTTAAAATTATTGCAAATTGATGAAACATTAATGGAAAGTTAATAAAATTCCCTATATATTTAATGTAATAATACAGAAAAGGAACTTACAGTTGTGTTACATCTGCCGTGATGATATTTAGGGCAGGGAGTGGCATATCCATCTTTGCATAGCTGGAATTATATATTAGTATATTTAAAGTATTAGTATATCAGTATATTTAGAATTTTTTTAGTTATTACGTTCAATTTAGATATTAGACATTTGAAATTGAAGCAGGATATAGGAAATAGGTAATCAGCATTTGGGAAATGGAGAATCAGTTAGATGGTAAATGGGGAAACGAAAAACGGGAATCGGAAATCTGGAATGAGAGATAAATGGAAGTTTGAAATAATAAATTCAAAATTACAGCTCATAATTACTGGGTGGGCTAAAAAGAAAGTGACCTCAGGCTGGATAATTTATTTTTTTGTAAAAAGGAATCAAATTAAATTCCTGAATGAAGTATCTTATATAAGATCCATACTTTCAGAAGTTATGCATGGTTTACTTGAAGAACCTATTTTTTTTTTTAAAGCTTTCCGTGGAATTTGATTGGAAGCTATTGAGCTGAGTGAGAACTATAGATTACACACACGCATTCACGACTGAAATATTATTTTTACAGATTTTGTTTTGAATATGAGGAACGGGGTTAGTCCACTTTTTTCTGAAATATTGATTGCGATTTTTGTCTGCTTTCCTTTGCAACTTTCTCTTCATTCGTGGAGGTGGGAAAACGTCCATGTTTCACTGTATTTAATGGGGATTCATCACTTTGTAGAACGGTAAATGATCAGTGGTGGACAGCTGAATTTTGTGATTTTTCTATTGAAATTGTCATAACTTGGGAGTAGAGTATGCAAATTAAGTGAAATGTTCATATAGGTACTAGTCAATAACATATACTTTATTCCCCATGTTCTTTTTATAAAATAGAACGAGCCATATTTCTTTAAATATTTTTTTTTTTCACATTTGGTCCGATTTTCTTTCGACTCACCCTATAGACATAGGAAAACAACCAAACAAATTCACATGGCATTTACCCATCCTACGGGGCATGACGAGCACTCCGCTGCATGTCCGAAGGAATGCTGAGTAACGGACATGTTACACGGAGTCTCAGGCTTCACGCACCGGCCACACGGTAGCTGATGCCCGCTTCCATCACAGTAAAAGGTAGTCAAACATCTTTGGCATTCAGATAGTACTATAAAACAAATATGATTTTAGTTATTGGATCCTTAGTTTGCACACAAATGTATGATAGTCAGGAAGGAGGATTCGGTGTAACAGATAAATTGTAAAAGGCTGAAGATGGTTGTCAGATATGGCTTTCAAAAATACTGACGCGAAAGTGATTAGATTACATTCACATACACTGAATCCGTCTCTTTAATCTGCAGCCAATGATGTCAAATCGCAATCCGACACGGTTATGCCATGATTGTGGTAGTATCCGTATGAACTGACCATAGACTTCACCAAAAGTGACTTCCACTACAGCTGTCTGGTCAGAGTTGCCAAGGAAGAGCTGTATAAACGGAACGGAGTTTAAAAGAAAATAATCAGAAGTGTTGGTCATTTGAAAGCTAATGCAACCAATATTTTTTTTTACAAAGGTGAAACACACGCCCAAGTAAAAACGTACAAATGGTGGATTCATAAGTACTATTTTGTACAGCATTAACTTATGTTTTAAATTCCATAGCTAATTGCAGGGGCGTAAATCCAGGAGGGTATATAATCTCCTATTGGATCATCCCCCCCCCGGCGGATTTTGAGGTATTTTGCGAACTTCCCAACAACCAAAATGTATTCAATAGCACTGACAAAGTACCAAAAAAGATGTAAATGCGCCAATTTGATGTAAGGTTTAGGGGCGGAAATGTACATAAAATACATACGTATCATGAACAGTGCCCCAGTGTGTCATGTGGTGTCCAGCAAGGCCCCCCCCTCCCACTTTTCGAACTGCCACAGCTGGACAATTTGTTAATTTTGGTCGTTCCCTGTTCGCCTCCTCCAAAGTCCCCTGCACAGATTTATGCCACTGGTTAATAAGCATTTTCAGTGGTGTTCAGTGTTGCTATTCGTGGATTTTACCAATGCTAGACCGTTCTGAGAACGGTATTAAATTGAGAAGCGTATTTAAGTTGTGGGCAGAGATCTATTTTGGCTTCGTTACCTTAAAATTGTTCAAAGCGGCGGACGTATAACTGTTAGTTAATTACAGCTTCGAGGTGCTGGCACTTTCATTGATTGGTTTAGCCTATAGGTTACATATCTTTATGGGACAAGTCTCTAGATGGTTAAGTGTTCCTCTGCCCTCCCCTCACCCGCCTGCTATATATGCCACTGATTCAACTACCGCTAGATAAAGCCTACCCTAGGTGCACCGTCCTTGTCTGTTACATATCGCCAATCCAAGGAGTCATTGGAGTAAGCCAGTTTATAGGTTTCAATCCACGCCTCCTGGTTGCCGCATCCTTGCGTACGGAGACCAGACATGATGTGAAGTGAAGTCAAGTTGACCTGGTACCACGGAGCAGTGTCAGAGGGATCGGGAATCCAGCCTAAAACAGGATGGACATAATCAGGTGAAGAAAGCTCTGAAGCCAATAATATATTTAAAAAAATGAGCTGCATGCGATCAACACACGCTTGTTCAGGACCAACCTTTACAACTCAATTACATTTTTTTTCCCTCCAAATTTGGCGATTTATTCCTATAGCTATTGTTTGACAATCTGTTAAACCCAGTTATTCGATGTTTAAGAAGCCGTACCATTGCAACCAAAAATAATGTCCGACAAAAGTCAGACACGCGCGCCCTTACGTGTGGCGTGCGCAGCTTGTGGGGGAAATGTATACAATCTGTTCATTTATCTTCATTGTGTTGTTGCCAAAGTACGAAGTGGGCGGACATTATTTTCATGAAGTTGACATCGGCTCAGACTTATTAATATGAGAAAACGCGACCAGGAAACATGTGATTAAACGAATTTACAGAAATGAAAGATATTCTGATGCAGTATTTTGTACGGATCTCAAATAAAATTAACCATCCTGCACTCTTTGCCGAAACTAAAAAGCATTGTTCTTGTTTTTCAACGGCTGCCACTTGAGAGTCACAGAAGGTTAAGAACCATAATAATCATAGCGCCGTTGATATACAAGCATTCAAAATATTTATGTTAAAGCAATAGGTCATTAGTGTACTAGGCTAATAGAAACCTACCAGCACCGATAGAATTGGGCAGGTCAGCTACACCATTCAGCCGAGCTCTGTTGGGTTCATGTATTTTATCCACCGATGAGGATGCAGACAGCATACGGTCTGTAATCGAGCCATCCTCCATGCCTAGTGGCCCATTACAATCTTCAAGAGAAAAATACTAAATCTGCAGTTAAACCCTGGATATAAACTCTTCTGTTGCATTTGGTATCGGCTAGGTAGATCGCTGTGTTGCTGTTTCAATTGTCAACTGAATGTGCTACCATTTACGCAAATTCGAAATGCAAATTCCTGCCCGTCTGTATACAAATTTTACTGAAAATGCATCTATACACTGTAAAAACACCTAGTTAGATTTGAGTAAAAAACAGTCAAACTTTCTTCATGCTGATGCAGCTTGGATAAGCTGGGTTCAAGTTTTTTTAGTGTTTATTATGCTCATCTCGGGAAAGACAAAAAGTAACATCGGACACAGGAACTATTACATTAAAAAAAAGTGACTTTTACCAGCTGAGTCGAGATAATACTGCGGTATTTTTAGATAGAGGTCCCCCGTGTTGACGACATAGACACGTAGCGGAGTAGGATCTCCGATAGCGTCGTAGAGGCAGGACTGACTGACGGTTATATTGACATCTACCGCCACACCACGGGTAGGTATCCCACCATCTACAGCAACCAGTTGATACTGCACAACGGTGAAGGTGTCGTTGATCAGTGGTCTGAAAATGGTCAAATCGATATTGGTTCATGAATCAAACACATTCTCATTAAATCAGTTTGCTAATAAATTAAATGGGCTCCCTTAGTGATCCGCGTGACCCGGCCGCAAATTCCATCAAGAAACAAGACCGAGATCCGACAATATCAAGAAACAAGACCGAGATCCGACAATATCAAAAGAGGGCGCCCTCTCTCTACGGTATGCATATTCATGGTGTCCAGGGCTTTAGAGAATACATTTGATAAAAAGGAATAATGGTGTTTCAATCACCGACGATTGGCAGCTGATTCGTGGACTGGTTTGTAGTAGTCCGGACTTATCAGGTGATCCGAGTTCGAATCTCAGTGAGCGTTTTTCACTTTTTCTCGTCTTGACTTTTAAATAGCTACAGTGAGGATCATTTCTCACAAGACATAAGCCTATTGTGTGTGTTTGTTATGCAGAACAAGGCATTAGCTATGCATGTAATGGACCAATCAGAATGTGTGAAGCCGATGTCATTTGGGGAAAAAAACCGCAACCCGGCCTACATCCGGGTACCGAAATGTTATAGCGTCGCCTTCTTTGTGGAGACCGATCTTATTTCTATAGTTCTCATATTTTGTTTGCCATTTAAGTAACGTCGGTCGATCGGCCCGGTACGCCAAAAAAATGTAGTTTCACCCATATAGATGGCCAAATTACATGATGCCAAGTGTTTATTGTATCTTGTTTTGTTTATTTGTAATGATATATGATATCATGCACAAAAATAAAGCAACTTGAGAGATATGACTATATCTCGTTTTGGCTGCAGTGGCAGTACCATGCTTTCAATGGGGGCGCTGTTCAAATCCGACGATTATTAATACTATATCACAGAATAATGTATATATACCTCCTAACCAAGCTGGCTCTGTACGTACTTTGTGCAAGGCGGACATTATTACTACCAAAAAAGCTTGGGTGTCGGAGCAGGGGGTAGTCACATTTTTTCCCATTAATTTCTATGGAAACAAATGGGACAGAGCTGGGCTGGAATCCGCGCATAAAAACCTCAAAATGTACACTACACGTTCATTGAACAGTGATTTGTATAAAGTATTAGCACAATAGCACTGCATGTACTCACATTTCTTGTATTTTCTCGATATGAAGTTGTATCTGACTATTGACTCCACTGTCGGCATCCTCTACCATGATACGCCCGATGGGTCCTTGCTGTAGCACTGGCAGAGGGTAGAAGCTTCGCGTAACATTGGATAACTCGGGACAGTTGTCATTAACATCTTCAACGTAGATCTTAAAAAAAAAAGAAAACATGTTGGGAGTTGTGAGGTTCTTTATCGTCTACTGCCTCGCCCGCTTGACGAGGAAATAACTGCTAAAATTTGATCAATGGAGGAAAGCACTTCCACGCCACAACAGTCTGGGTTAGAATCCTAAGAACCACACACAATATACACAAGGGGCGTATTCGCAAACCCGTATTCGTGTTGAATGAACACGGCAACCAACGCAGGAACGGGCTCATTGGGGTGCTGTGGTCCAATGCTTACTTGTGTGCCGTGGTACATGGGTTCGAATCCTGACCGTGGGAACATGGTGCTTGTGCTCTTGAGCAAGGCACTTTACTATTATTGCTCTGTCCTTCGGATGGGACGTAAAGCCGTAGTCCCGTGTGTTGTGTAATGCACGTTAAAGAACCCAGTAACACTTATCGCTAAGATAAGAAGGGTTTGCCCCGCTGTTTCTGGCAGTGGCTGCAATATATGCGCCGCAGCACCTTGTAAACCCTTAAAAAGTGCTACATACTGGGTCTCATATTTCTCATAAACTTTATTTACCTTTCTTTATTAATAGACATATTTTCCAGCGCCTTGAGTACCTAATTGTTGGTAGATACGTGCGCCATATAAGGCTCCGATATTATTAACGGTGTTCGTGAACAAGGTTTTCACTCCTCACTAATACTGCATGGGGAGTAGTTGGAGAACGTCAAGAACAAAGATGGCGGATTCTACAGCAACTTGCGTTCATTTTTGTGCATAAAATTGAAATCACACATTCAATATAGGAGCAGAAATACTAAAAAATTATATACACAAAATTGTACGAATTCATAGAGTGGGCTTGTCTTTGCCAATTGTTAGAGCTGTTCGATATAAACTATTTTCGTAAGGTCATTAGTTTCCCTTTTAAAATGGCGGCTGTCATCTTGAATATTCGCCCAGCTGCACACAATACGCACTTGGGCGTTCGTTATCGGCAGCCCGAGAACACTATTCACGGGTCACTCGAGAACAGGTCTCGAATATGCCCAGGGAGTTGCTTTTGGGTCTAAATACGAGTCTGGGCACTGGATTGCTCTACACTCATGAGGCCCCCTTCAATGGAGAAACCAATAGCGCTATTGCACAATGCAACTGCCCCATGACGGATTATCTGAACAATACCTAGCACAATGCTTAGCCACTGATGGCTATCCTAGTAGAATTGATAGCCTGCCCGGATTGATCTTTAATACCTTGTTCCACAAGTATTTCACTCGCCTGTAGTTAAATTACCAACATTGATTTTTTTCGGAACCTTTGAGAATGTGATATTGTATAATTTGAGCCTATCGAGAGATTAATGTATTGATCCTCGATATAGTTCCAACTAATAACTGTTCCACTTTGAATTCAAAATTACATTGTGTTACACTACTCACTAAGAAAAACGTATTACCTTGATAACTACGAACCATTCCTTGGTTCTGGCAAAAGCATCCACTATCTTTAACCTCAGATGATACGAGTGTGTAACTTCGTAATCCAATGGCCTGGATAGGAGGAGGATGGCACGGTCGGTGTGGATGTTACTGAGTTCACTGCTGGTGGACGATTCTTCTGTGTCTGCGAGAACTGCAACAATTTAATATTCATAATTTAAAAACATCACAGGGAATTTGCACTTGGTCCGAAAAAAAGAGAGAATAAGTACAAAGTGGTACAGCCCACGGTGGGTATGCGTGGAGACGGGTTATGGCAGCTCGAGAGTAATGGGGCGTGATCTATGCAAAATAGACGCATGCGCATCAGTGTCACACAAAAATCCACTTGCAAAGCTGTGTTACACGCGTGGCATGGACACAGTATAATAAGCCTTTTCGGAGTTCCAACTGCGCGCATTCGTAACCTGTGACAACGAACATTGTTGGTCTCAAATGACCTTTGACAGTACCCACAATGCACAAACAGCCTTTTTGTAAAGTCAGTGGCGCGATGTTGTCAAAGGTCATTTGAGACAAATAATGCGCGTTGTCACAGGTTACGAATGTGCAGTTGGAACTCCGAAAAGGCTTATACACTGGATAGAATGTGCCGAGTAAAGTGCCCAGCAGTCCACCAACCCTCAAACCCACCTCCCCACCTACCAACCCACCAACATAGCGAGCGCAAGCCCATTTTGCGTTTCACGCCGCCGTGGGAAAAATTAGGTGGGCCAATTAACTTATTAGGTTTTGCGTAGTCGCCGTTAAGGTCTGGTTTAACGTTACATATCTTCTTACGCTATGAATATCTTGCACAGTTAAAAGAGGCTTTGAACTTAAACAAATATCTATCCGTTCAGGGTAAAGTTACCGTCTGTTTACAATTGGCCTTTTTACACTCTTTTCAATTATTGGTCTTCTAAATATTGTACAAAAACTGCTTTTAACACAGGTAAAGGTACATCGCTAAGCGTAGCTTTTTTTAAGTGTTCGATAAAAACGTATTAAAATGTCACGCAACAAGTAAGATTCGAAATTGAAAATAAGTCAGTCCTAAGAACATGCCTTGTTGGGATGAGCGGTTACATGGAAAGAAGTGATGGCCCAGCACCGTCTGGATTAGTGGGGCATCAGTAGAGGACGGGCTTGCTGTACTGGTATCCTCATCGCTGTAATTAGCCACGGTAAACTGTTGGGCCTCGTCCACTGCAACAATAATAAAACAACCTCACAAAACACTACTAAGCAAAAGACGAGTTTTATAAAGGGATGAATGTGTATGAAATGTCACTGATACAACATGGGATGGTCGGCTCAGAACACGATGAGCGTTTTCTACACTTAAGAATTAATAACCATCGATACCAACCGTAAAAAAAAAAAAAAAATGTTAGCCCTATTTATCAGATCAAATAATCTTTCAATTATAATAATAATAATAATAATTTGGGAGGCTAATCATCCTTACTCGCAGCTGGTATGCTGAATTGCGAAGGACGCGGCTACAACGTGGTCGGGCCGCTGGCACGTGAAGGCGCCTATGGCTACCGGCCACAACGACCCATATATGACCACGGAGCACAGCCTGAGAACGAAAGTGTTTGATTCTTCCGGAGGGAGGAAAACCGGAGGGCCCGGAGAAAAACCATCGTGGCACAGGAGAGAACCAACGCACAACTCTACTCACATGCGATCCGCGGCCAGGATTCGAACCGTGGTCACCCTGGTGAGAGGCGAGCGCTTTACGCACAAGCCACCCAAGCCACCCGACAATTATGGAAGGAAATAAGGATGGCAAAAACAAATCAATATTAAACTTGTTAGCAGCATTGGTTATGTTAGCAGAATTCATCATACCATTCAAAATTGTCACTTGGTGGACATATCCTGTTGATAAGGCATCTGAAACTGCGAAAGAACCGATGACGTCACCAACGCGCAGATCTTCGGCAGCGTAGAAGGTATAATCGATGGGTCGGCAATCATTATCGAACCTGACTCCTCCAACTTGAAGGAAGAAGGCTGACGAGCATGGGTTGCGCTCCGTGTGGAAAATATCCAAGCGATACAGGTCACCAATCTGTGAGTGTGAGAGTTGATAAGCCGGTGTGACAGGTAATTCTGTCCCCCCTGGTAAATGTGCCCCCCCCCCCGACACATTTACCGGCTCGTGACCCGGTAAATGTGTCCGGGGGACACTTTTACCTAGGTAAATTTGTCCCCCTCCAGATAAAAATGTCCCCCTGCCCAACGGTGAAAGTGTCCCCCTGGTAAATGTGTCCCCATGCAGTATGTACTGAGAGCAGCAGCGTGTCGCACGCGCCAGTACATGCTGCAAGATTTGAGGCAGTGATTATAACATGTGTACATATGCGTCTCCCTCTACAATGGAAATTCGTCCAATAGGAAATTTCGTTACGCGCTATGATGGGAACACAGACCAATCCAAGGAGACGTTGTATCATACTATCAATGAGACGAGGGCCATCGCCATGCATCGCCGCTGTGTTGACCTATCGCGGTAGAATCACGATAGACTTCACCGTACTCCGAATCAAAACATTGTGTTCACGTATCATCCAATAGACTAAATTAAATATTTTTTATATTCATGAAGGGCAGACTAAAAGTCCAAAATGTATACCTTGTAGAGTGAATTCATCAAAACAATAACCTTCCGGATTTCAAAAGAGGGGGACAAAAAAACCTGGGGGACAGAATTACCTGGAGGGGATAGAATTACCTGGATGGGGACAGAATTTATGGGCAAGGGAGAACACTTTTACCTAGGTAATTCTGTCCCCCCGGACACTTTTACCGGGGGACAGAATTACCTTTTACACCGGTACGTGCAATCTGTCAATAGAGGGCGCCTATAAAAGGTAAAGCTACTTACGCAATTGAAAGAAATTAACGGAACAATTTGTTGCAAATATCCTAAATAAAAACATATCTTTATATAAACCTAAAGTGAATAAGGTGCCTGTTACTTGCCTTCAGATTGACGTCAATCTTCTCATCGGACCATATATCTGTCACTAGGCATTCACCATCGATAAGAGTTCCTAACTCCGGAACAATGAAACCCTCGCCTATAAATATGAGAACACAGACAAAAATGACAATTATATATGGTGGGTTGCTTCACTTCCATAAGGGAACAAATATGTGCTTGGCCGTTTTTAAATGCTTTGTATGAGACCGATTGGAGTCTGGATGCACAGATAATTACCCGAGCCGAACCCATTCATAAATACCTTTTCGGTCAAAAAAATCTGAACTTTTCGGTCCAAAAGTCAAAACAAGTCAAATATGTTTAATTTCCAACGATTTTATTCAATTATAGCCATGTTTTTCGGGGGAAAACCCTCTAGCTATATTATGGTATGTCGATCTTGCGAGAAGTCGTATAGAACTCCCTATATGGAGATTGGCACGTGCGTCGCGCGTACTGCCCGATGTGACGCAAAACGCAGCTGTGCCAGTGTAGTGTCAATTTAGGACGATGCAATACAGACTCATGTTTGGTGGTATGGGGCATGCCTGCCTTTGTCGTGCTCAAAACACTGTATTGTTACGGTCAATTTAGCTTCATTGATTGACGGTTTCTTATGAAATTACATCTCGTAATGTTAAACATAATGACAAATCACTACACGAAAATTCAATTTAATACACTTTGTATTTCTGAGTTGTTGCTCCCCCCACCCCAACGCGTTTGGTGGCAGATAATTTTCGAGACCACTATTTATGTGGCTCGCCCTCTACTGAAAGAATATTAAAGTGCGAGACCAGCCGATGCTGCACTAGGGAACAGAAATGCACAACTCGTTTTCCGATGAATAACTCAAGAAATACAAGATGTATTAAACTGAATTTTCCTGGACTGATTTTCCATGATGTGTGTAACAGGTGTATTGAATATCATGAGAAACAGCACGACAATAAACATGATATGGTCGTAACAATTTAGTGTTTTACACGCCAAAAATCCACATTGACTTTCATTCGGATTGCATTTGTTGCGCTCAAATCACTGTATTGTTACGGTTAATACAGCTTCATTGGTTGACGGTTTCTTATGAAATTACATCTCGTAATGTTAAACATCATGACAAATCACCACACGAAAATTCAATTTAGTACACTCTGTTTTTCTGGAGTTGTTGTCCCCCAAACGAGTTTGTTGGCAGATAATTTTCGAGACCACTATTTATGTGGCGCGCCCTCTACTGAAAGAATATAAAAGTGCGAGACCAGCCGATGCTGCACTATTGAACAGAAATGAACAACTCGTTTTCCGATGAATAACTCAAGAAATACAAGATGTATTAAACTGAATTTCCGTGGACTGATTTTCCATGATGTATGTAAGAGGTGTATTGAATATCACGAGAAACAGCACGACAATAAAAATGATATGGTCGTAACAATTTAGTGTTTTACATGCGAAAAATCCACATTGACTTTCATTCGGATTACATTTGTTGCGCTCAAAACACTGTATTGTTAGGTTAATAAAGCTTCATTGGTTGACGGTTTCTTATGAAATTACATCTCGTAATGTTAAATATCATGACAAATCACTACACGAAAATTCAATTTAATACACTTTGTATTTCTGGAGTTGTTGCCCCCCAAACGAGTTTGGTGGCAGATAATTTTCGAGACCTCTATTTATGTGGCTCGCCCTCTACTGAAAGAATATTAAAGTGCGAGACCAGCCGATGCTGCACTATTGAACAAAATCAACAACTCGTTTTCCGATGAATAACTCAAGAAATACAAGATGTATTAAACTGAATTTTCGTAGACTGATTTTCCATGATGTCTGTAAGAGGTGTATTGAATATCACGAGAAACAGTCCGACAATAAAAATGATATGGTCGTAACAATTAAGTGTTTTACACGCGAAAAATCCACATTGACTTTTATTCGGATTGCATTTGTCGCGCTGAAAACACTCTATTGTTATGGTCAATATAGCTTCATTGGTTGACCGTTTTATATGAAATTGAATCTGGTAATGTTAAACATAATGACAAATCACTACACGAAAATTCAATTTAATACATTTTGTATTTCCGAAGTTGTTGACCCCCCCCCCACCCCAAACGAGTTTGGTGGCAGATAATTTTCGAGACCTCTATTTATGTGGCTCGCCCTCTACTGAAAGAATATTAAAGTGCGAGACCAGCCGATGCTGCACTAGGGAACAAAAATAAACAACTCGTTTTCCGATGAATAACTCAAGAAATACAAGATGTATTAAACTGAATTTTCGTAGACTGATTTTCCATGATGTGTGTAAGAGGTGTATTGAATATCACGAGAAACAGCCAGACAATAAAAATGATATGGTCGTAACAATTTAGTGTTTTACACGCGAAAAATCCACATTGACTTTCATTCGGATTGCATTTGTTGCGCTCAAAACACTGTATTGTTACGGTCAATATAGCTTCATTGGTTGACGGTTTCTTATGAAATTACATCTCGTAATGTTAAACATAATGACAAATCACTACACGAAAATTCAATTTAATACACTTTGTATTTCTGAGTTGTTGCTCCCCCCCCCCCCCCCAACGCGTTTGGTGGCAGATAATTTTCGAGACCACTATGTATGTGGCGCGCCCTCTACTGAAAGAATATTTAAGTGCGAGACCAGCCGATGCTGCACTAGGGAACAGAAATGCACAACTCGTTTTCCGATAAATAACTCAAGAAATACAAGATGTATTAAACTGAATTTTCCTGGACTGATTTTCCATGATGTGTGTAACAGGTGTATTGAATATCATGAGAAACAGCGCGACAATAAAAATGATATGGTCGTAACATTTTAGTGTTTTACACGCGAAAAATCCACATTGACTTTCATTCGGATTGCATTTGTCGCGCTCAAAACACTGTATTGTTACGGTCAATTTAGCTTCATTGATTGACGGTTTCTTATGAAATTAAATTTCGTAATGTTAAACATAATGACAATTCACAACACGAAAATTCAATTTAATACATTTTGTATTTCTGGAGTTGTTGTCCCCCAAACGAGTTTGGTGGCAGATAATTTTCGAGACCACTATTTATGTGGCTCGCCCTGTACTGAAAGAATATTAAAGTTCGAGACCAGCCGATGCTGCACTATTGAACAAAAATAAACAACAAGTTTTCCGATGAACAACTAAAAAAATACAAGATGTATTAAACTGAATTTTCGTGGACTGATTTTCAATGATGTGTGTAAAAGGGGATATTGAAACTCAAAAAAAAACAGTACGTCAATACAAATGATATGGTCGTAACAATTTAGTGTTTTACACGCGAAAAATCCACATTGACTTTCATTCGGATTCAATTTGTCGCGCTCAAAACACTGTATTGTTACGGTCAATATAGCTTCATTGCTTGACGGTTTCTTATGAAATTACATCTCGTAATGTTAAACATCATGACAAATCACTACATGAAAATTCAATTTAATACATTTTGTATTTCTGGAGTTGTTGCCCCCCCCCCCAAAAAAAAACGAGTTTGGTGGCAGATAATTTTCGAGACCACTATTTATGTGGCTCGCCCTCTACTGAAAGAATATTAAAGTGCGAGACCAGCCGATGCTGCACTAATGAACAAAAATAAACAACTCGTTTTCCGATGATTAACTCAAGAAATACAAAATGTATTAAACTGAATTTTCGTGGACTGATTTTCCATGATGTGTGTAAGAGGTGTATTGAATATCACGAGAAACAGCCCGACAATAAAAATGATATGGTCGTAACAATTAAGTGTTTTAGACGCGAAAAATCCACATTGACTTTCATTCGGATTGCATTTGTTGCGCTCAAAACACTGTATTGTTACGGTCAATATAGCTTCATTGGTTGACGGTTTCTTATGAAATAAAATCTCGTAATGTTTAACATGATGACAAATCACTACACGAAAATTCAATTTAATAAATTTCGTATTTCTGGAGTAGTTGCCCCCCAAACGAGTTTGGTGGCAGATAATTTTCGAGACCCCTATTTATATGGCTAGCCCTCTACTGAAAGAATATTAAAGTGCGGGATCAGCCGATGCTGCACTAATGAACAAAAATAAACAACTTGTTTTCCGATGAATAACTCAAAAAATACAAGATGTATTAAACTGAATTTTCGTGGACTGATTTTCCATGATGTGGGTTAGAGGTGTATTGAATATCACGAGAAACGGTCCGACAATAAAAATGATATGGTCGTAACAATTTAGTGTTTTACAAGCGAAAAATTCCACATTGACTTTCATTCGGATTGCATTTGTTGCGCTCAAAACACTGTATTGTTACGGTTAATAAAGCTTCATTGGTTGACGGTTTCTTATGAAATTACATCTCGTAATGTTAAACATAATGACAAATCACTACACGAAAATTCAATTTAATACACTTTGTATTTCTAGAGTTGTTGCCCCCAAACGAGTTTGGTGGCAGATAATTATCGAGACCACTATTTATGTGGCGCGCTCTCTACTGAAAGAATATTCAAGTGCGAGCCCAGACGATGCTGCAGTATTGAACAGAAATGAACAACTCGTTTTCCGATGAATAACTCAAGAAATACAAGATGTATTAAACTGAATTTTCGTGGACTGATTTTCCATGATGTGTGTAAGAGGTGTATTGAATATCACGAGAAACAGTCCGACAATAAAAATGATATGGTCGTAACAATTTAGTGTTTTACACGCGAAAAATCCACATTGGCTTTCATTCGGGTTGCATTTGTTGCGCTCAAAACACTGTATTGTTACGGTCAATATTGCTTCATTGGTTGACGGTTTCTTATGAAATTACATCTCGTAATGTTAAACATAATGACAAAGCACTACACGAAAATTCAATTTAATACACTTTGTATTACTGGAGTTGTTGCCCCCCAAACGAGTTTGGTGGCAGATAATTTTCGAGACCACTATTTATGTGGCTCGCCCTCTACTGAAAGAATATTGAAGTGCGAGACCAGCCGATGCTGCACTATTGAACAAATATAAACAACTCGTTTTCCAACTCAAGAAATACAAGATGTATTAAACTGAATTTTCGTTGACTGATTTTCCATGATGTGTGTCAAGAGGTGTATTGAAAATCACGAGAAACAGTCCGACAATACAAATGATATGGTCGTAACAATTTAGTGTTTTACACGGGAAAAATCAGCATTGACTTTCATTCGGATTGCATTTGTCGCGCTCAAAACACTGTATTGTTACGGTCAATATAGCTTCATTGGTTGACGGTTTCTTATGAAATTACATCTCGTAATGTTAAACATAATGACAAATCACTACACGAAAATTCAATTTAATACACTTTGTATTTCTAGAGTTGTTGCCCCCCCCCCCCCCCAACGAGTTTGGTGGCAGATAATTTTCGAGACCACTATTTATGTGGCTCGCCCTCTACTGAAAGAATATTAAAATGCAAGACCAGCCGATGCTGCACTTTTGAACAAAAATAAACAACTCGTTTTCCGATGAACAACTCAAGAAATACAAGATGTATAAAACTATAATCTATATAAAATGGATTTTCAAATTACATATAAACTTTACCTAGAATAATTGCAAGACAGCAATGCATGCTGACTTCATCTTAACTTCAAGAAATCAATCTCCAATGGTCCAAATGAAACTTATACATGTATTGTAATTGAAAAATAAAACAAGACGATGAGAGAAATTGTGAATATTTTGTCATGCATCCATACCGTATTCCGACGCTCCAACCAGCTCGGTTCTCTTGCAAGGGGTAGTTGTTCCTGTTGGATCGCTGTGTAGTTCCATCAGCAGAATTGTATTGACATACAGCCAGACTTCCTCGCCTCCGCCAAGGACTATCGTCTCGGACCCGGTGAAGTTGATGCAAGTGTGGATGGCGCTCGTGAAACTAAACAATATAGTACCAAATTAAATAGTTATATTCGCAAAAAAGTTGTGTTTCATATTTTGGTCGTTTAGTTTGACCTGACAATTTTTTTTTTAGCAGTTTTGACATTTGAGTCTGATGACTGTCTGGTATCACAGCCTCGCCAAGGATAATAGACATCATTTGATGTCCCAATGAACCAAACATAAAATATGTTGAACCTGCATGTCAACCTCCTAGCTCTGATATTCGATATTGCAAGACAGAAGTAATTGAGGGGATGTGAACATGAAAAAAAATGGTGTGTGAATTCACATCGATCTCTCTCACTTGAAGGGAAAATACGACATTTGCAAACCTCAAAAAATAAATCTACCAAATTATTAGGAAATATCCTGCTGGACTGTTAGTGAATGACAGTCTAAAGCATCCTGTAAAATCATGGCACCTGGTGTACTGTCAGTTTCAAGAAAAGTGGTATTTTGTATCAATTTCTAACACTGGTCGGCCGAACAGCGTTTGAAAAACCTGGCTTTTTTCAAATACTTGCCCCAATCGACCATATTTAGTTTTAATTCTGTATTTGTTTGCAATCGATGACACACCTGTGAATGGGTACAAGCCAGCCAGCCTGGTTCTCTGACCTTATAATTCGCCAACGTCTATATAATGCTCAGTTTCATCTTAAATGGAGTCAGGGAGCCAGACTACAGGAAAATGATTGTTTTTCATTGGTTTTTATAGCATCTACGAACCCAAAACGTCAAAAAGTCAGTTTAACAATATTTGCTATAAAATACTAACCTCCCAAATCCATCCATTTCTGAAACCTACAACAAAAGCAAATGATGTATATTCCCTTTAAGCTATACAACCGGCTCGGACGGGATTTTTCGATGGTATTGTCAAATGTTACATCTCCTAAACTTGCGATTCATATTCACAATGTGAATGCATGCAGTCGACAATTAACCACACCCCTGCCATACCATTTTTTCCCTTGATCATCTTACCCAAAATTATGCAGCTGATTGGTGCAATCTCGCTGTCCTTGTGTTCCGAAGCCAAGTCCATCCACAGGAAAAAATGACTCGGAGAAAAAGCTGCAACCGAGAGGAACAGAACTCACTTGAGAGATTAACGACAAGGGCAGACTTAACTCAAATTTTGCTATAACGATATTATACAAATATAACATGGTTTGAGGGTTAGCTATAACGATATTATACAAATATAACATGGTTTGAGGGTTAGCTATAACGATATTATACAAATATAACATGGTTTGAGGGTGGATAGTTGATATTAGCTCCCCGAGGTATTGCAGGTTTACAAACTAATTCCCGAGGCGAAGCAAGCGAACTAGTTTGTCAACTTCCAATAATAGGCCTATCCACCCGAAATAAACCATGTTGTATTTGTTTTACTATAATAACTCATACATATTCAGTTGCCAAATTTTGCCCTTTCAGGATTCACTTCGCGGGCATGATATATTCGGAGAAACTTGTCCAGCTCAATAGAAGAATATTGCTCAACCTTAAAGAGTACAGTTTATTTGCACTACAGTATACAAATTTATACCGCATTGTGGATATAAATATTAACTCGTGTACACGCCTTTACCTTGAAAACAAATTGCCCTTTTCATGTAATTATTGCACCAAGGAATAAGGGTTTGAAAAATGTCAGTCCTTGAAAATCGAGCCATTGCAGCGGCTCCATTTTTAAGGACTGACTGACGCGTTGGTGAGCTAGTCTTGATAAAGTTACACATTAGTTTTTATTCGAAGGCGTTGCGAATAATCACTTCCTTGTTACATTGTATATCATCAGCGGTGCTTGACTGACATTTACAGAGTTGACTCATAACTCGATGGCGTTATTTGCTGTACATATGTTAAGGTAAGGCAAACAAACATGATGCAAACAAACATGATTTTTTTTTCAATATAGTCTCGATTAAGTATATATAGGATGTTATGTGGCTTTTATGTGACCAGACTGTTCAAGTAGCATTTTGATATAGAAGCCTTTAATTGTTGGTATATCTCCAGGCGAATGTGACCCTTTTCGACATTCCATTCAAAGTAAGTGTTGGTGTAAAATAAGCTATTAATTTTAAAAAAAAATGGCCCCTTTATGAAATCAGTCACAAAAGAAGGTTCATTGTACATGTACGTATTGGCAAAGTGCTTATCCAATGACTCATGAAATTTTATTTTTCAAAATGGTCGCTGCTTATGACTTTGAGATTTAATTTGCCAATGAAGTGTATAGATTGCACAGGGCAATGCAAGTCCTACCGAAACACTTGGTGATCATTTGTGGTGTTGGTCGTTGACAGGACCAGCTTGCCCTCGTGGACCGAATTGATGGAAGAATCATCACGGAACCAGGACTCAATCATACTATCGGACGAATTGTTTGATAGAGCCAGCCAGGTTCGGTATGGTGATAGCATGTACGTTGGCTTGGAGACTGGTGCTTTCTCCACAGCGTTGAAGTCGATGTTTTCTATGCTGGAGAGGAAATGACGACCAGACTTTGAAGATTTCAATACATACCCTTAATTAAAAATTAATATCTAAATTCAAATACATGACACTTTTAGTGTATTTTTTTCTCATGGCTTAACTGGAAGGATTTTTTGTCTTAAAACAAAAACAAAAAACACGGCGATCTTTGCTAATCGTCAAAGAAAAGAAGGTCAAAATACTTCGTTTCAATAAAACTGGTATTTACCTAAAATCTCGATAGGTGATGTTGAGAACGATGTCCGATGTTTCATTCTGCGTTAAATCATCTGTGTGAAAAGATATAATGCCACCTGTGAGACAGTGCGTATCAAATCTCAATATGTTTCACGGGTTTATGATCGGACAATTTCAAGTATACCCACACACGTCCTACAACACGTTTGTTTATGGTGTAACTCGAGGATTTTCTATTGTCCTCTTCCCTTTTCCTTTGTTTATACTCTCATTGGTTTTGTACACGTTTTCTAATCGAGGTCGTCCTCGATTTGGTTCCAGTCCTCGATTCATCAATGATGTTCCACGTGTGTGTCCTCGATTTACACCATAAACAAACGCTTCTTTTCACTCATATTATAAGTATGTCCTGTTGAATTTCTTGAGAAGAATCGTACTGTTTTGGAGTTTCATAGGTATCTCGATGCATAAAAAATCATAGGCCTATATCGAATACGATAGTCCAATATACTATAAGGTCGTTTAAGTAGCAATTGTGTTCAAGTCACTTTCTATCTTTTGTCTTTTTGTTAAAAGTATTATACAACGTTTGCAAACATTAAACAAAACTACTAAATTATTTAGAAACACCTTACTTGACTCTAAGTGAATGAGAACCTCAAGCATCTTGTGAAATCATGGCACTAGTTGTGTGCCGCCAATTTACCAAATTTAGTTAGTCCACATTTTGTTTACAATCCATGAACGGGTGCAAGCCATCTAGTCTGGTTCTTTGACCTGACCCTTCCCCGACGTCTATAAATAGGTCCATTTCGTCTGAAGTAGGGTCAGGCAACCAGATTACAAGAACAGGATTATTCTTGATTTTCCATCATCTACGAACACAAAACTTTAAACAGGTCAGTGTAACAATATTTGCTATAAATACTATCCCAAAATCCATCCACTTCTGAAAATGAAATCCTTACCGAGTCCACGGTACTTCATTAAATACTTTTGGAAAGCCAACTTACCAAGTAGATATTTGTCGACGACGACGGTAACAAACTCATCCGGCGCGCTGGTATAACCACTGACCGATAGCATGACTTGGCAGGTGTACTCGCCCCCATATACAACTCCATCATGATTTGACAAAACTATCTGTGTCTCATTAGTGATCTTACGCACCGATGGAGCACTATGACTACTGCAGAGAATCTCATACAACCTGTGCGTGCGAAACAATGGGCTGTTGTAGTCTTTGGCACCAAATGACAGTGTCTGCTTTGGCATCGTCCATAGCAATGTTCATGGAATAAGAGTATCTCTTGTATCAATGAATTAGATTTTAATTGTTGTTGGATTGGTTAATTATTTGCAATAATAAAACGTGGAAACAGTTATAGCTGCGACTTCAATTGATGTAAAAGCAAAGAATTAAGTCATCGGATATAATAAATGTTCACTGTAAAAGCATGTTGCTTTAATCTTGTTGCGTAACGCGAGCTACCACCGTCATTTGACTGATGCTACATTCCTATAGCTTACCACTCATCACTGAAGGTGTCTGCATGCTGACTCTCTGTTATATTGACCGGCACATCGGTTATATTGACTGCGCTTATATTGACTGGGATGGCTGTAGTATTGATCCAACCAGCTTCAGTCAAATAGAAGTTAAGCATTGAGGGCGCTGTCCATTTGAGCAGTATTTCACCAGGGACGGGGCTCTTTGCTTGTACGCCATACGGTCCTGAAATATCAAAGAGGGCTTCACATTACGAAAGTAATTATTATGAAACCAATTATGAAACCAATTAAACCATGACGGACATTATATATAGCATTATATAAACAACAAATATCAACAAACAAGGATAAAAGATGTCTGACAATAATATATTAACATTAATGCTCCCGTATAACGACGTTCACTGTATGTTTCCCTGCCCCTGCCCCCTTAATACATGGGGACCGGTAGCTAGTTCCCGTCGTTGGTTGGATCATCTCTGCGCGTAAGCAACATAAACAACAACGTGCATGGATGACATTTGAACAAAATAAAGCCCTCATTGTATACTATAACGAGTAGACACGATCGCCAGTGACTCCACGAAGGCAACTTTCGAGCATTTCGTCCGCATAGGCATGATATATTAAAATACTAAAAGTTAGTGCCCGTCTCTTAATTGATAGCTGCCAGAAAAACTTTAGAATGCAGCGAAAATTGAAGCTCATCAACACAGACATATTGCACGTTAGTGGTTCAACTTGTTGCCATTTTGCCATAATCTGGTTTGCAATGAAATTATCGCTGTATTTTGTATTCAGAAGGCGGGAATCAGACCTAAGGCAGTCCTGCATATAATTTATATTAGGAGGAAAACCTCTTAACGTATTCGGGACTCATTTCTAGGGCAGGTAACCAGTCTAACACTCAACTCTATGAACCAATCATTCGTTTCTATTATTAACCCATATCTTCCTCGTTTATAATTTGAGAACACGGTATCTTAGCTGAACTGTCTCAGGACTCAATATTCAACATTCTAATTTTCAAAACTTAAACAAAGACAGTGACTGTAGCGGGGTTTGAACCTGCGACCTCCAGAAAACCGTTCGGTGCTCTACCAGCTGAGCTATCCAGCTGTATGTTGGCGGTTCCCCATTTAGTCATTATCTTTGTTCGAGGGGCGCTAGTCAGGAACCACAAACTCGTAACCCTTTGTGGTTCATTTGAGAGAAAAAAAAATGAAGAGACTGACAAATAACTATATAATAATGAAGCCATATTCAAAATCAATATGTAACTGCCCGCATGTGATATATTCATACACGTACCACATTGAAAAAGATGGACGTCACGGCTTCTTGAATTGAGAATGTCCTGGATGTATTCGCTGGTAAGCTCTATTCCGCTGGTTGCGGTGGGCATGGCGCACACGGCTGACGATACGCTGTTAGCAATGTGCGACAGTGATGATATTGTGTTACACGTACAACCCAGTGGGTTTCCGCCTAGTAACCTGGACAAACGAAAGATGCGTTAAATGTTACAGACGCCGAGATGAGAGATGATTCCAAAGCACATTGCGATACTAATCTTTCTCATAAAGTCATCACATTATAAAACTCTGAAATTAATTTTGCATGTGACATAACCGAAAGTTATCTAAGGCAAATCAGTAAAATAAAGAAGCTTTCAAATGCAGGCAATTCAAACATCACAATGAGCATTAATCTATTTACATAAGTCACAATGAATTCGTGTATATACATGCAAAGTTGGAATAGTTTTTAGTTCACTTTTGATGTTATGGAGAGGACAATGTGACTTCAAAATTCTGTAATGAAATCATGAAGACCCTTGACATTCCAGCACATATCACATCCTGATGTTTAATAGTGGAGCTTGGGTAAAATAGAATCTAAAACTTACACTTTGTTTGCAGATTGGAGAGAAAAAAACGCTTCCTGGCCAAAAGCTTGGATGTTGTTTTCAGATAAATTTCTGGGAGTCAAAGAAAAAATGATATAAATATATGTATATGTAATATATGTATATGTATATGTAATAGTTTCATAAATGACAAGTTCGTTTAGAACTTACAGCAGGACTGTTTTTATCAGAACAAAACAAACTACTTAGCAAAGTTGATAAAAAGCAGGACAAGTTCTTTTCAGAACTAATATCTTCTAAGCAGTAGTTATTACCACATGGTGTTACCGCAAACCGAAACGATACCGATACCCCACCATGCAAAGCTTCAAATCTTATAGTTTCATAAATAGAAAGATATACCTGCCGCAAGGATAACCCTAAAAGCGAGTTTCTGTCACCTATTGGCAGTGGGGCGGATTCTGCCCCGTTCTTATGAAACACTCCAGGAGTATTAAGTTTCCCGCAAAACGCAAACGTGACTAAATTAAGTTCATAAAAAAGTCTGAAAGTAAAAGGTCACGCGGCAAGCTTTCAGACCCCTCACGCGACCCGCCTACGGGCATTTTACACTAGGTTACCATTTTTCTTGCCATAACTTTTGACAGAATGATTCCTACCAATAATTAACCCAAGATACATTCATGTTGAAATTTTATCTTGGTATTCATAAAAAAAGGGAAATAAGAAATATCTGGGAAATGGGTCAAAACGAATTTTACTTAAGCCCTTTCTCATCCGGCGTTTTCGTTCCAATGTCTCCTCGTTCGATCACGTTTGGTTTCACATCGTGAACTTGCGTGGGAACGAAAATGTATAATGACCTACCTACAGCCGATGGGTTGTAGATTTAGTCGGGCTGGATTGAATGCAGTCCTTATTAGCGGTCATTTTCGATTTGTGTGTGTGAACATGCTAATGAGTCCTTTATTTTAAAACAATGGTCACCCTAACAGACATTTTAATGTCCTATATAATTTTCAGTTTTCACCAAATGACCGCCACAAAATCACTTCATAAGTGTTCATCTTTGTACGAGTACACCGAGTTCCAAAAGTAGACATGTATTTTGGATTTTTGGAAGTGAAAAGTCATTTTTGGCACGTCAGGCATTTTTCAAGTTTCCATAAATACAGATGCGTAGCAATTTTACCAAGGCCTTTTTCGAGGGTGTTATTCTTTTTAAAAATCAAGGTACCAAAAATTATTGCAAATTTTAAAATGTTTGCTGGTTAATGTTCCTATTTAAGGGGTCCGTAATGCGCCTATCAATTGTTTCCCCACCCCTCTCCTCCCGGGCTGCCCCACCCAAGACGTGGGGATTGTCACTTTTGAAGTGACAAAATCCCCACCCCTCGGGCAAAATTGAAGTGACAATTCCCGACCATGCCCCAACTTACATACATGGGGCGCACTAGTGATTTCCTTTCCATTAGTACGCCAATGTTAACAATGTAATTTGAGTGACCAAAATCTCCACCCTGGGTCATGAAAAACGTGACCAAATCCCGACATCGGACCTGGGGGGAGGGGTGGGGAAACATTTGATAGGCGCATAAGCGCGCCACTAATTCAGGTTCTATATTAATTACACCAGTAACAAACAAACAGTAACTTACAGACATAATAGATTCTGCATGCCTGAATACATCGGCCAGAAGAACAGTTGATTATTGGCGAGGTTTCTAGAAATAAAGGTGAGATGATTTGTGACATATTAACAGTACCAATTCACTGTCGGTTCGGAAAACATTTGGTGGTTTTTTTTCTGCCTTATCCATTGAATGTCTTTGTGCTCGATTTTAAAATCATGTAGCGATATTATGTTAACATTTATGTCTTTCTTGGTCATTATTTTAATACCAAATAAGTAAGTTTGAAATTCGGGCGATTCACAATGCAGTGCGCCACCAAGAGTTTGCCGCGGAGAGTCCATTTTTCAAGTTAACGGTCGACAAAACATGGCCCATTTAAATTCGTATCAGTAGACAACTTGAGATACCTTGTCACAGATTGGGGCATGGCGTTCTGCCGCCTTACCAAAAACGCCATATTGATAAAATGAAAAGAAAGGGGGCAAACAGATTTTCAAATCATACGCTTACGAAACAACTGACTGGAAAAACGAACAATTTCAAATGTCCCGCGCTGCGAATTTGTCGACCATCTCCCACAATGCACGGGGGAAAATGAACTCTGCGTGGCAAACTCTTGGTGGCGCACTGCATTGTGAATCGCCAGGTGATGCTTATTGTAATAACGCTTTTTTGAAAAGTGGACGGTGCGGCCGCCGGCGGCGGGTGAACATTTTGGGTTCTGTCAAGTACAAAATGCTGCTGCCTTGTTGCAGGCACAACTATCAATGAAGCTGTACACGCATCAATGTGTTTGTCTTGGGTGTACAGGCTAAGTGCTTTGTTCCGTGATATTTTCCCAAGGTTATATAACCTTGTACTGAATGGGTTTTGGGCTTTCTGTTTTGTTCCCTGATATACTTTTCTATTTGCCAGGAAAAGTTCACAACTCCTGTTGGTCTTGATACACTGAATAGAATGACCAGTCATCCATAGAAACACTTAATTGTTACTTAATTTATAAATATAGAAATATTTAATTACGCCCAAACTTACAGGATCTCAAGGCTTGTTAAAGGTTCCAGAACAGCACCTTGTACTTCCGTGATTAGGTTTTCCTGAAGATATCTAATACGTATAAATAATGAGATGAATACCTTTTTAAATGTGAAAGGCACATCATTTCCGCAAAGACGCCTGAACATACATTCATAAGCCCGGCTTAGCATACCTCCGTAGTTTTCCAAAAAAAGTGAGTAATACATATTAAATGATATAAATTTGGATATTCAGATAGAAAACCCGTCAACGTCTGCACCAATATCGTACTTACAGCTCTTGCAGTGCTGATTGTTCGGCAAATGCGTCATCTGGTATGAATGCAATAAGATTACCATTGAGGCGCAGTATCATCAGTCTCAAGGCAGAGAAGTCTGGAACAATGGTCAATCTGTTGTCATCCAAACGACTGTATAACAAAAGAAACTCAACTTATGATTGCGTGAATCTGGAATATAACTGATGTTCATCTTCACACATCGATGACTATTGTAACTATATTTTCAAATATCCACGCTTGGATGGGCGGGAAATAATGTTAGACGAGAAGGAGAAGTTTTTTTTTCTTATTTTATTTCTTATATTAACTGGGTAGCCCATTCAGTGGAATCCACTGATCTCCCATGGGTCCCAGTAAAGAGAAGACAATGTGAAGAAATTACAGTTTTAGATGTGGGAGGAAAAGCCCAGAAGAGTATTCTGAGGAAAACCACGGAATCAGGCAGGGACTGAAAACCCAATCCACATATTGGCCCGGGCGGGATTCAAACCCGGGTCACAGCGGTGGAAGGCGAGGAAAGTACCGCTACGCCAACCTGACTCCCAAAGGTTGGTGATTACTCCAACATTTTCTTGACATTGAAAAAGTGTAAAGGAGGGCTGGCTTGTTGGATATGTACTCCTTCCTTGACAGAGGTTGCATTGCGGGGGGGGGGGGAGCTAAAGTGGGTATAGGCCTACATGTGTCTGGCAACGGACGACAACTTACATTTGCTGTATGCTGACACCTTCAAAGGTATCCCGCGGTAAGGAAACCAGCTGATTACTGCGCAAATCCCTTGGGATTAAAATGAAATGTGATTTACCATTGGATTAAAGCATAACCTCAGTTATGCAACAAAAAAGAACTTTAATTTTAAAAACTTTAATGTTTATAAACGTATGTCTCTCAGAGTTTCTCGGCAAATCACAACCAAACGCACACTTGTTACGAACATTGCATTTCAATTCAAGCACAATTTAAGTTTCTGAACAAGCCTAATAGTGAGTCCGCCCTTTTCAAACTCGCAATTGAAGCGCTTTAAAAACGCCATTACTTTTGACAGGTTTATTCTCTGCACAATGATGCAATCATTTACTTACAATATGTTCACTAAGGATCCATTGACGAACATCGTGCCTTTGATGAAGTTCAAACGGTTGTTGCTCAGATCCCTTTAAAAATAAAAAAAAATGTTGAGCAAAAAAAAAAAATATGTTTGTTGAACATGATTTCTTACTTTAACCCTCGGAGTCGAGTGACCAAAAAATCACACCGTGAAACAACATGGAGAATGTTATCACCACACTGTTTCTAGGTCAATAACCCCCTCATGCACAAGATATAGGCAGGTCACATGGCCTTTGTGTGGGCCAGGATTGTTTACGACCTGTCTGAGCTCTGGGCGACACGAGGGGTTGACACAGAAAGATCGGCGGCACAAAGGGGTTGGCCAGTAAGATCTCCAATTACTGCACAAAGGCATTAGGCGCCTCTTGGGGCTGCTGTCTTTCAACACTCCTTACTCTGCAGTGGTTAGGGTCTGGCCAATGGGAGTCTAAAGGCTTGTGGTTTATACCAGGGGTGAGAATTATTTGGAATCTTGGCCTTATTTGCCCATTGAAAAAAAAGTTATAACCATATTTGGAAAATGTGGAGAATTTTATCACCACGTGGCCACACCGAGACTTCAATATTTGTTATAAAACAAACGGAAATTTCCAATTGATATGAACCAAAGTTTTATAAAATGGTATTTAAGTTTTGGCATCATGCCACCTTCAATTTGCTTTCTTCGTGCTATTATCAAGTTTCATTCCGAAAACTAGATTTCTTTGTTTAATTGCTATTTTTTTACCAACACAAATGTTATTCAATTTTGAATGTCACATTCAATCACTGTATAATTTTGTTCGAATTATTGGCTACCCGACAATAATTCCATTCGAGCGGAGTAGGCTCGTCCCCGCCCCACAATCAGCATCGGTAATTCATGGACCGGGAACCAGAGTGATCGCAAAGCCGTTCTAAAGATGGAAAAACCCTTTTGGCTGCAGAGGTCCAAAAAGGAGAGACGGTTATTTGGAATGATTCAAACAAACAAATTGAACATTTATTTTTTAGAAAAAAAATGTCGATTTGTTGAAGCGCTATCAATCTTTGTCGTCTCGCCAAGGAATAGTTTACTTACAACACTTGCGATACTGTCACGTGAAAAGCCTCAACTTCGACCATTGCAATACTGTTACTGCCTAAAAACCTGAAACAAAAAACAACACCATTGAGTTTATTGATGTATTTTGTTTTGCCACTTTTCACTCCTGAAGTTTATGAAATTTACACATATCGTAAACTGAAGAAAAGGGGGAAGTCACACAAAAAAGGAAAATGTATATAACAATTGACTCGTTTTGTATATTTCTCTTGTATGTTGTGGCCTCACGACGCAAATGAAATGACTTACATCTTTACCAATTACACCATGACACAGTAAATTGAAATCCATCCTTAAAAACTGTTGACATTTATTAAGGTGCATAGGCTACATCCGAATTACCGGGCTACTGGCCGGTGGCATGTGAAGGAGGCTGAGTCTATTTCGTACCATTATAAACGCTTATGTAAGTTGCTACGGGTCATTGCTATCGTTTGAACGCATTGTACTTGGGTACTTCACTGAAGATGTTTACAGACAATATAGAAAATCGAAAGTGAGATTTTGTGGAATAAAACTTACAGGCTTCCACACTTCACTTTGTTGAAAGAAAGTGATCGTAAGACGCTCAAGTTGTTTCTGAACATCTCACTGTGAAAATGATACAAATATATATTTAGTTTAGGGCCTAAACTGGTTGTAATGGTCACCCGAATTGTAACGAGTCACTGAATTACGTAACTCGAATCGAGTGGAGTCGTTCTAAGGAAGTGACTGGAGCACAGTGAAGTCGTTATAGTCGACATTTACATGTAAATCTTTATCTACTACACTCAATTCCTTGCATTTTACTGACTCCACTATTGATCAGCTTTAGACTTGACTCGAGTCAAGTCGAGTCATTCTTACTATGTCTCAAGCCAGGTCCAGTCATTCACCTGCAATTATTCAATCCTAGTAGAGTAAATGAACATTGCGACTCGAACCGGATTTGAGTCGAGTCATTGCGACCCTGATGCCAATGTGGGAAGGAGGATAACGACGACAGCCGAGTGGCGATGATGTGATTAGACATTTGGTATTTTGTTGTAGAGATTAAAGAAACTGGTACTCACAGATTGCTGGTGCACGATACATCATTGAATGCCAGTGGATGAACTACTCGTATGGGGTTGTCGTTCAGCAACAAGTTTCTAAACACAAAGACAAAATCACAATATTAGCCTAATCCAGTGGATTTGGCTGAAATTATCCGGGTAAACAATGTTTCGCCGAATATAGGTGACACATAGGTGAATATAGGCCAAGGTAATTGCACAAAATGTTCACACTCTCTGACGAAATTATCAAAGTCGTGTTTTAGGTAAAGGACAGCATATATTCACACTTCGATCATTACAAGCAAACTGTGTGCATATTCAGCAAGGTAGTTTTTGTAAGACCACCTAAAGCAAATGTTGAAAGTAAAAGGAAAAAATAATACAACGGCATACATACACAACTGGCAGAACGTTAAATGCGGTTTGTTTCAAATGCTGGAGTACAAGATTAAGGACAACATTGTAAATACATGTATTGGCAGATCATTTCTTGTTTTTAAAATGTGACGGATTCTCAAACAGACAGAGAGCTTTTTCATAATAGGATAAGTAGTAAATGACCTACCCGACTTGTAGGGACTGGAACGAGTTGCTTTCAAGTGCCGATATCTGACTTCGAGAAAGATCCCTTCATGTAAGACAATAACTCTTATTACCATTAGGAAAGGCTTTATTTTATTCCAAATAAAGATACATAGTTGTTGTCAATTTTTCTGCTTTAGAGTTTTGATGGCAACAAGGATACTTTGTCATCGAATAATTATAGTCAACTTTCAGAGACATGTGGAGAAGTTCTAAATGCTTCTAATAGCTAAGATAGAACATATATAGAAAGCAAGCACGATTGCAATTGGACAAGCCAGCGTGCGGTAAATAGAAATACTAGCTATATAGACCGTGGCTGTATTTTCTGCTAGATTTATCAACAATCTGCTTGTGTACAGTGCTGGCTTAAGCCCGGCTCACATGTCACCTTTCCTTTCACCGGTTCACCAGATCATTGGGCCATCGTGAAGAGGTGTGCGCTGAGAATTGGGACTGGTCTGACTGTATACCAGGCGAAACATGTTTAATTTTTTTTTTGCATGCGATTTAACCGGATCCGATATCTGCATTGGAAGGGTGTGCGGGCAGCACTTTGATTTCATCGGACGCAATATTTATGTTGACCAATCAGCTTCACGAAGAATGTCGCAGACCAGTAAACAAAGTGCCAAAGCCAAGTGATTCAAAATTCCAAAATTCAATTTCCAAAATTTCCTGAATTTCCAAAATTCAGGGAAAATACTCACAGGTCTTTGAAGTGTTTTAGACACACATCAAAATAAGGCTTATTTTATCATCTATAACTTTCTGTTCAATTGTCTGGGGGTTAAACCAATGATGCTTGGGAGAAAATGCCATCCAAAGATGATCACCCCTAAAGGCAGGCATGTAGCCCATCGCCATTCTGAAAATGATGCCTGCGCTCTATTGCAAGGCAGAGCAATTGTGGGACCCTATCTCATCCAAATTTCACAGAAATACGAGCTCTTCTTTTTTACAAACACTCCAGTTCATGGCCCACAAAATGCTCTAATACTGGAGAATTTGAGGGCATGCAAATCGTGATTTGGCCGGCGTCGACAATTTCGGGCACATTTATTGGCCTGCACCCACATGATTCAAAATTGACGGCTGCCATCTATCATCATGTGACTAACATCATGTGAAAAAAAAAACGTACCGTTGATGGGGTGATCCAGTGAAGCGGCAAAATTGGGAAGGGGTGCGCCTGGCTTTAGGCCGTTCCCTTATGGATACAACTGCTACATAGAGTCTGGATGTATATACTTACAAATTGGCACTGCATGAGACATCTCTGAATGCATCTGGATGGACTATTTTGGTAGGGTTGTCATTCAGCAACAGATTCCTGAGAAAACATACAGAAAGCATACAACACGGTGCTCACCATAAAATATACGGTGTATAACAGAAATACAATCGGAAAGTTTGAAAATCGACCCAAGTTTGGAAATCAACCAAATTTAGAAATTGACACAACAGAAGCTCGGGAGTTGGGCTTGGAATCTGTCCAGTCTGACGCAGCTTGGCCCTATTTAAGAAAAGCACAGACAATAAGAATATTTGCAAAGGGAAATGTTCTTCAATAAATTACTCACGTGACTCGTAAGGAATGGAAAGAGTCGTGCTCAATCATCGAGATTTGGTTTTGTGATAGATCCCTGAAAGATAAACAGATAAATATGTGCTAAGTTGTTATTTTATCACCAAATCCAACATAACAAGAAAATATTGAAAACATGAACACGGTTTAAATAATTTACGAACAACAAACACATATTTTCTTCCCGTTGTTAATCAAAGTTATGTAATAATTTTGTTTTGGAAAAAAATATCAAACAACTTTCAATAGATTGACCAGTGTTCTACTGCTTAGAACAAAATGCCTGACCAGACTAGTATGTCGTCATGTATCAAGACACAAATTTCTAATAACAAATCATGTCAGGCAAAGCTGAAATGTGTGCGTGTTTTTGGCTGCTTTTAAAATGAGGTTACAGTCAAAAATAAGTCAAATGAATTCTGAGAAGAAAAAAACTCACACAGTGCATGAAGACTGTGAATCAATATTCTCAAAGTCGCCAGCACGGATGGAGGTAATGCGATTATCTCGGAGATTTCTTGAAAGAGGAAAGGTAAAACAATGTTTTTTAAAATACAATATTATATATTTTAACATCTCTTCTTTTTGATAGTTTATCCACAATGTGGACCCAATTACAATATAATTGTAATACCTTGTGGAGTAACAAAATTATTACACTGCGTTTTAGAATGTTTATATATATATTAAATCAGACATATGACACTGGATAAAGGATGGAAACATTTTGAATCAAACCTCACATTAAAAACAATCAACTACAAGTACTCACAAAGATGCTTCTCCTGTAAATGTCAGATTCACGAACGAATTTGCCCTGGGAATTTCCGTAAGTTGGTTAGCCGACAAATCGATAACAGATGTCGAGTTGATATCAGCAAATACTCCGTCCTCCACGTAAGACACCTCGTTATTGGACAAACTAAGACGAGTGCTGATTGGACAATCTTCAATATGCGTCAGCAGCAAGCGACCAATGCTGTTATTTGCAAGAGAACTTGAAAGGGGGAACAAAATTTGAAAGACTGGTAAGGTCTCATTTAGTCCGGAAATCAGTTTCGAGAGACACCTCAATCGGTGACACGTGTTACTTCTGAGGAGGTTGTTACATAGGAAGGTTATTTACTCACAGCGTGCTAAGTGAGGTGCATCCATCAAAGGCAGTCTCTGGTAGGACCAGGATCCGATTGGAATCCATAATCAGTGACGTCAGATTGGTCAGGTTGGTGAAGGAGTTTTCGTTAAGGAAGTAAAAATCATTCCCCGTCAAATTACTGCAGAAATATGCCAAACGATACAAACATTGCGCTTATTATACCAAGTAAACCTAATAGGAAACCTATAAATAAAGCTCTTAGGCAGGATACCACATTATTAAATAATAGCTACAATACAAAGTTTTCACAAGATGATTTGTGTTTAAGCCCCACTCCAATTAGGCCAAGGCAACTTTGTGTTGCAACTTATTCCTGACTCGTCAAACTCCTTTTGGAAAAGTTAGCTCAGTATTAAATGTTATTGAGGGTTGCACCCCTTTGTTAAATGATAAAATAGAAGCCCACCGGGGTGGGCTTTTATTTCATTATTTAACAAGGGGTCCTGGAAGAGATCTTTCTCTCAAGATTTTCTTTCTTTGTCATTTCAGAAATATTGTCTTCAATCAGACATTTTTTGTTTGTATCTTCTGTACTCTCCTACATGGTTTCGACGAATTCTGGGAAAGTGCCATCCTCGATGGAGATAATACTGTTTCGGTCGAGATGCAGGTGCCTTAAGGTTGTCACGTTGGAAAAGGTTCCCCTCTCCATGAAGCTGATGCTGTTATGCCTGATCGATCTGACAGGGAAGAAAAAATGGGCGAGGATAGTAAGGGCTTTTCACACTGTCCACAACGAAACCCTAGTCGGAACTTACACATGCGCGAGAGTCTCCTGTATGAGGAAAAAAGACGCCATCGGGACTAGTTTATGAGGCTTTACCCAGGTAGTAAAATGTCAAATCAGCCGCTGACCAATGTACCCAACGGTGTAAGTGTGACCGGTACACTTTCCTTACCAGTGTTTGATCAAACCGGGTTTTGGGTGTTGCAAAAAGACGGAAGCCCACTTTTGACAGCAATTGTCACATACTTGTTGGGCATATTTCAAAAATTAAATTTATTGGTGTTAAAATATTGATCTTTAAAATTAAGTGACAAAGTTGCAAATGCATATTTTGTCTCTGATATATATGGTAATTTGGGGAGTGTGTGGCCTAGTGGTTAGGGTTCGTGACTCATGATCAGAGGGTCCGGGGTTCGAATCCAGCCGCTGGTCATATATTGTGTCCTTGGGCAAGGCACTTCACCCCACTTTCCCCTCTCCACCCAGGAGTATAAATGGGTACCGGCATTAGCTGGGGAGTAACCTCCGATGGACTAGCATCCCATCCAGGGGGAGTAGAAATATTCTCAGTCGTTTCATGCTACTGAAACCGGAGATAAACGCCGGCCTGATGAGCCACATTGGCTCGGGACAGACTTTACTATATATGGTAATTTAAACATGTCATTATCCAAACATGTTTGTCCACGGACGGCTATCATCTAGTCTTATTGAATTATTAAGTATTCTAAGCGTGTGTTTTTCCATTCTCACGAATTTTCCAATGAAATATATCTTAATCATTTGCATGTGGAACAACTTGTCAAAAAAATTACAATATTTGGAGTGATGGGACTCTCTCGGGAAGCTGTAATGCCGCTGGGATAGATCCGAAACGGTTGGATGAAAGCCGCCTGAAACGAAGAAAATATACAAAGTGAAATTCCTTGGAAAACGTCCACCCCACATATTTCTGTTCAGGAGTAGAGCGCAAATATAGACAAGAACATTGCTTATTGGATACAAATACATCTGCAAGATAGGGCTATTTCACGAATGCACATTTTGTATCCTTTGCTCACGTTTATTTTGTTTTCATTCCATGTTTGCAAACATCGACCTAATAATTAGAAAGAAAATCTGATGTTAAATATAATAGAAAGTTGATATTCTAAGTAAGTCATAAATCAATTTCAAGTCTCGACTTCAGTTGTACAATACTACTGAAACTTGGACTTACAGTGTGGCCAAACTTGGCAAACAGGCAAATGTGGTGTCATTTAATGTGATCTCGTCCAGTTCGTTCTCGTTTAAATTGAGAAGTTCGAGCATCGCAAGGTTGCACAAGTCGCCTCCGTTTATTCCTCTGATTTTGTTGTCATTCAGATACCTGCATGTACAAAGCATTTCAAATCCCAGCTTTGTACAAGATTAGGATATCAGAGGTGTTTATGTGGTTGACCAATATTTTTCCGTCGTCTAAACTATGTTTTTATTTACAAATACAGCTTGAAAAAATCTAACAATACTGGAAAGCTTTCGTAAGGAATTTCGGTTTTTGTAACACTGTGCGTTAACTTCATTACCTCAACAACAAATTCTAAATAGTTGAGATCCTCAACTACAGCCTATAGGCCTACATGGAAGTTTGTTTTTATTAATTCAAAGGCGACGTGTTACTTCAGAAAGGAAAACAGATAGGAACGTTTAAATGCTTAATAAAGCATCACAATAACGACATCCTTAATACATCTCAAATGAATGGTCCCCGGCTAAACAGCATCCTTAAAGCATCCAAACTTCGGCTAATGGAATATATGCTACCTTAAGTATAGCATTGTTTGGACAACAATCAATTTCAACTTTGCAAGCAACTAAAATGTCACAATTGGTAGATAATCGGCAGCTAATATCCTGGATTATAACATTGAAAAGTGAGGTAGATTATTGCCAATAAGTAGAAGACGTAGTCTGACAACTTACAAGTGAGTAACATTTGGGAGACTCCTGAAGGGCCGATGTCCGGCCAGCATTTTCTCGTAGATTATTGGCTGGCCCGGGAAGGCATCATCACTGAAGTGCGTCAAGTTGCTGATCATATTGTTACCTAAATATCTGAATAAGATAAAATAAAGCGTACTTGAGGATTGCTGCAATAATTGTAAGCAACATAGACCGTAAATGCTAACGCTACTGACCACTTTTTAGATTTTATGTAGCCAATGGTGCCATTGGTCATGAAACATGGGACTATACTGCTTGCACGTACTTAAAAGCCGCCGTCGGGTCGATCTTGAGACGATATAGAATATTCCGTGAATGTCTTTTAAGGATCAAGCTGGGGCCTGAGCTACGACCGTCGGAAACATTTCAGTCGTCGATTTTTGTTGCGACCTGAAGACGAAGCCCAGTTTTGGCATACCGCCATGGGTAACCGTCGTCAGATTCAAAATATATGTAGTACATGCATGACGCAGCTAAGCTCGCCCCTTGGACGATCCGAGTGCATACTTGATGCACAAATTCGTGACTGAATTTCACGTTTTTTAAATGCAAGCAATGAATATGTGAACTCGTTGGTTTTTTCGCAGGCATGGCAGGTAAATACAACCTATCTATGCCCGGAAATATCCGGCGCCCTCCGAGTGTCGACGAAGTGATGACGAAGATTAGTTTTGAAATAGTCAGAATCTTTTGGTCTGGGAACCAGACTAAGGCGTTATTCCTCCCAGATGATGTGCATATCGTAAAGCCTCATGAGGTCGCTGTTTGCGCTCCGCACAGTGCATAAGCACGCGGCTAGTGTTTACGGATAGCGGCCAGATACCATCACGGACACTATACACGAATCCCTTGACCAAGGCTACGTCTTGGGTTATATGAGCATGGTTGCGACTGTTACGTCAAGATGCCGCTTGTTTCACGAACATCTCACGATGTCTCAGTTTGTGACCTGATCATGACTTTTTTGCTTTATTCAATGAGTTTTTATCCACTCCAAACCAATCAAATATAAGCTTTATGCGTTCTGCTACCAGCTTTAATACTTGCCTGGTCTCGCTTTTTTTTAATCATAGTTGAACCTAAAGTCAGACATCAATGGCATAAAGATTATTTTTATAATATGTCTATTTCAAATGACTAATTTAACTATAAAAACATGCGAAAATGTTTTACTCACATATGAGTCAGATGGTTAAATGTTTCCAGGGATAACACCGCGTGTGGGAAAGTACTCAAAGAGTTGTCACCAAGATGCCTGCCGATAAAGAAAACTAATCGCTTGTTATTATGTTTCAGAAACTTTAAAAACTAATGACATGGAAATGTACAGGATATGCTATAGCCATGGGCGGAGATCACAGTGGTGGGGACATGCCTCCCTAAACCTTCCCACCAACTATTATTTCATAGTGCGTAAATTTATAGAAGCCTGCACTGTGGTTTCCCAAAATTATGCTCAGTTATGTAAATGCATGAGTACAGGGTGGGAATGGACGTAACATTTTGATTATGCCCATGTGTAAAATGCAAACAAAATGTTTAGGCCAAATAAAACAAAAAACAGGTCTAGCGTCCTGCCTTTTTGGAAAAAAAGGAAGGAGGAGGCCCTTTTTTTCTTTTTTTCCTTCCAAAATGGCCCCCCGACCGAGTTATTTGTCAAGATGGCGGCCAGCTTTTTTTTTTAAATGGCCGCCACTTCGACTTAGGAATGACATACCAGCTTTATATGGGCTAGATGCAACAGACAAAGAGGCCAAAATGATGTCACTGTTTAAAAATTATAATTTTTTCGTTAAAAAAAAAAAAAAAAAGAGGCGGCCTCCAAAAAGGAACCGGGTGGGGCGCTAAATTTTTTCTCTTGGCCTTAAACGGCAGCCACAGAGTCAAAAGGCGCCCAGACCCCCACCCGCACGCCGTTCGAATGTCCAAAGCGCTTGCTGGTCCCCCCCCCCCCTTCAATGTTGACCACAAATCTCCACCGCTGACTATCGTAGTCATTATTACATACAGCTTGGAACACATCCGTATACATGTACATCTACATTGATCACTTTCACTTTCCATCATCGCAAAAGTCGTACGGAAAACAATATAACTCAAAGACCGAATTCAAGTGGAAAATTGTAACAAAAGAACAATTTTTAGAATATCGAATGATTAAATGAATCTACATGAGAAAAAAAGCCGAATACTCACAGCTCCTCTAGGGAATTCGATATTGCCGAAAATGCATTGAATCGTATGACACTAAGTCCAGGAACCTGACCAGACAGATACCTTCGCGGAGAAATGAAACACATTTATGTTGAAAAATAACAGATTTTATATATTTTTAACACACTGTGCTACCAAGTTTGCGAACAACAAGGTTGACCAATAGTCTACAACTGACATAGGAATTTACAATGATCTACGGGCAAGTTCATTGTTACGAAAACTTACAACCGTTTTTTTTTTGGGGTTTCATCCAGTATATTCTACACAGGCCCAGATTACCCAATAGGCACAGTAGGCACAGTAGCCTACGAACAATTTGGGGGCCTACGAAAAAAAAAATTGGGGGGGGGGGGCTTACGAAAACACCGCAGTGTGCCATAAAACACATATGCCTATCCACGCACAAACACACACGCGCACGCACAGAGAAAAGTTGTTTTTAAGTTTTAGGGTCTCTCTCAGAATTTTCGATTTCACCAACTGACGCTGTACAACATGTATGCATGGGCCCTTCATGTTCTGAAGCACGGTGCCAACAATAGGCGTCGATCGGTGGGCAACGGGGAACATGTCGATTTTCGTCCCTGAATAAAAAAATGTAGCCTACATTTGATTCTATAGCTCAGAACAGCTGATTTTAATAACTCCAAACTCGAAAAATTTGTTTAAATGATGATCTTGTGTTAAAACTTTGGCAGTCGTCAGAAATTGCCTCAGATCGCACCACAGGGCGCCTAGAATCCAACTTTTTCTGGGGCCCTTAAGCGGACCCCAACCCCACACCTTTTCGGCTTCGCACTCGCATAATTAATACTGATCAAGATACACATGTATGTTCTACCCCCACTTTGAGAAGCAAATGACGCCCCGAGTCCCGAATTGGTGCCAACAGGCTGTTAGAGCTTGGACCTATACCAGTTTGGCCTGTCGTGATTTGTACAGTGCTTTGTACTTGGGTATTACATTAACATGAATTTTGTGCCAGTGCCTAGGGTGGAGCGGGGCCTACGGAACACTGGTGCCTAGGGCCTACGAAACACTTAATCCGGGTCTGATTCTACGTGTATCTGCCATGACCTTCTAAACAGTTCTCAGTTCTTCGCTTCACTCTACGTATCTAATGTCAAATACTTCTCACTCAAACGTCTGCACTGCGAAGTATTAAAAAAGAAGTAGACGAGGAAGCTTACAGGTGTGTCATGCTCTGCATGTTGGTGATGGCTTTCTCCTTTAACTCTTTCAGCTGGTTTTCTTTCAGGTCTCTGTGTCAAGAACATACCCTCTGATTTATTATGTTGATCCCATGCTGCTTGTATTTATTTATTTATTCATTTATTACATTTTCTTTAACGAGGGTTTGCCTTGTGGGAATGATGGGGTGGGGTACACACTTATTGGCATTCGTATATTATTTTAACTGCGGGTGAGTCGAAAAGAAAGTGAACTGTTTTTTTTTTCTTCAATCATCTTGGAAATAGAATTACTGAAATTGATCCTTGCTATCAGAAAATACACATGTAAACTAAAAGAAGCTATTTTTTAAAAAGCTGTCCGTGGAATTCTAAATGTGTGAAATTACACACTGGAATTCAAATTTAAAACTGATTTGACTAGTTGTGTTTTGTTTTGTCACTTTCTTTTTGACTTGCACTGTATTCAAAATATCATTATTATTTATATGGTTTACATTTATTACACAAATACCACTGTGCTTTTAAGGATCAAGCTAAAGCAAGGTTTTAAAATGGATTATATAAAGCTGATAATAATATTTTGAACGTGTAACTTTATTTTTCAGTTTACTAGTAATTGTGATGTAATGTGAGGAGCGGGCACAGCGATAGTTCACGGTATGAATGCAGTTGGCGTTGGGGAGTCAGGTTGGCGTAGCGGTACTTTCCTCGCCTTCCACCGCTGTGACCCGGGTTCCAATCCCGCCTGGGTCAATATGTGAATTGGGTTTTCAGACCCTACCTGATTCCGTGGGTTTCCTCAGAATACTCTTCTGGGCTTTTCCTCCCACCTCTACAACTGTAATTTCTTCACATTGTCTTCTCTTTACTGGGCCCCATGGGAGATCAGTGGATTCCACTGAATGGGCTACCCAGTTAAAATAAGACATAAATTGATTAGTATCAATATTATTATTTACCCACGCTCATTTACCTGCACCTCGTTTTTTTTAAGCAAAAATCTCCATCTTTAAGACAAAGGGCCACTTATAAAGGTGGTGATTGCAAACGAAAAATGAAAGTTTTCCTTTTAAAGGGAGACTGAGTGAATTACTTTGATGATTTTGATAATGGAATTACAGAGAGATAAGGAAATGCAGCATACTCACAAATGAAGCAGTGTTGGCAGACCATCCAGTGTCTTCGGTGGCAGATCTGACAGCAAGTTCTGGTTCAACTCCCTGAATTTTTTTTTAAAAAGGTGCTTCAAAACGTCTAACGGGTATATGTTTTCCAATGTCCTATAAAGTACCCTTAAAGTGCCCATGACATAAAATGTAATTACTTGGTAACTACTTGTGCAACTTTCTACTCCTCTTCTATGTATAAGAACTATTTGACATCCATTTTTGGTTGATTTTATTGAAAGGCGCACTTTTTTTAAACATTCAAATACTCCATGCTTTTCTTGACAAATGAGGGCGCTGTTGCTGTGATGTCACTTCAGAAAGATGCTGCTCAGTTGAGGGGTTTTCTGTCGAAATTGTGAGCCCAAAAGTTGCTCATTTGATAACATTTGTGGGACAATTGTGCTCAGTGACCTAATGTCATCTACTGAAATAACAGCGAATCACCAAAGAAAACAAAATTGATGCACGAAGTTGCTGTAACATGGAAGTTTCTGCCTGAAATTACATCACACGTTT